TCACAAAAAAGTACATTGACTTTATTTATTGTTAATAGTATATTATATAAAAAAGGCATACAAATCCAAAGAAAATCATATAGATAAAAAGTTAAAATTTCAACAAGACCTTAATTCCCAAAACTTTGTTGACCCAAAAATAGTTGATACCAAAGGTAAATTGTTGATAAAGACAAATTTTTAAACTTTTTTAGATTATAAAAAATCTTCTTTACACCTTTTGAAGGATCTTCAAGTGAACTTAGTAGACTTAGTAAACTTTGTATACTCAGACTCAAAGTTCTAAATTTGTAATTTTATAATTATATACAGTTAATTGTAATTCTTAAATATCATGATTAATTTAATTTTATTTTATTTATATATTTAAAGCCATAGATGACCCACTCGTTAAAATCATTCAACATACATTTAAACATTTTTATAATCCAACTACCAATATTTGGAGGAAATATCATGCTAGTCGCTTAAATTTAGCGTCAGCAAAAAAGAAAGTCTCTCAAAATATAGGAAGGGTGCTAACTGCTCCATCACGATTGGAAACAATTGAGCTAGATGGGAATTGTTTTTACCGGTAATTTAAAAATTTAAAAATAACTTTGGTTGTATTTTTTTACTAATATACATAGAATATGATTTTGTTTCTTTCTTTACCTTAAATTTTAATGATTATATCCTATATTAATTCATAATATTATTTTTTTAAAACATTGATAGGCTTTTAGAAACAGTAACATGATTAAATTTTTTAAAAAATAATTAGATGTATAAGTATAGAGATAACAGGAAAACAAGACTCCTATGGTTTGATTAGATCACATATGGTCTTACTGATGCTGCAAAAAATAATGATAAAAAATATATTAGATTATACTCAAGGTCAAAATACGTGTGAAGATGATGTGCAACAGTATATAATAGAAAAGGCAAGTAAGAATGGTGAAAGGGCAACGGATATTGAATTGCGAAGTGTTGCCACACTTCTCAATACCCCGATATTGGTGTATGCTAGGTATGGAGCTTCATTTTGCTGGCAAATGTATCCACCATTTAAATATGATGATGGAAATATAAAAAAATTTGACCAAAACATTTATATTAACAATTCTGAATCCCATTTTGTAAATGTTATTGATTTTGAAGATTAATTACAAATGTTGATATTTTATATTTTTTACCAAAAGTATTTTAGTTGATTGTATTTGTTTTGTTTTTATGCATATTTTTTATTTATTTATCCTATTTTAACATATTATAAATAGATATATAGACTACAAAGATATCTTTTTTAATCATACCATTTTTATATATATTTCATTACAACACCAACACCATATAATCATCCCAATTATTATTTTACTTGGATTAATTTGTATTGCTAATACAATTTTTACATTCTAAAAATAAATTTGGAGATTTTTTTAAAATCTGAATTAATCCTCTTTTTTTAAAATCATCAACTCAAAAAAGACTATATAAAAAATTTAATATATAACATGAATATCATTTTTTTAAATAAAAAAAATTGCCATCAAATAAGTTTTAATAAAGTATTAACACTGTCGGGGGGGGGGAGGGTATATTATTTTTATTTTTTTTATGGTTTTTTTTAAAATCTTTTATTTTTGCCTATAAATTTTTTATGGTAAAATATAGGAATTTAATTGCGCATATTTAAATTATATTTAGGAGAATTTTGCATACAAATTTAATTTTTTTTGTGGTAAAATATTTAAGTTATTTTTTGGAGAATTTTTCCTACAAATTTAATTTTTTTGTGATAAAATATAGGAATTATTAATTCTTATATTTTAGGTAAATTTTGCCTACAAATTTAATTTTTTTTGTGGTAAAATATTTAAGTTATTTTTAGGAGATTTTGCATACAAATTTAATTTTTTTTGTGGTAAAATATTTAAGTTATTTTTAGGAGAATTTTGCCTACAAATTTAATTTTTTATTTAAATCTAATTTTTATTAATTTTGCATTAGGGATAAAATAGACCCCACCTTTGAAGTTTAAGTGATTTTTAACATTTCTAGTGAAGGGTTAAATCGAAATATAGTATTAAATGACGCAATTAAATATAGTATTAAAATTTATACACGAAATATAGTATTAAATAAATTTTATTCATTAAATTGAAATATATTATTGAAGTTAATACAATCATTTATAAAATGAATAAAAATGTCCAATCATAAATTTTTAAAATTAAATTAATTTAGGTAAATTAATTAAGAACATTATGGGAGCTCATTAAGAGAAATTTATTTTTTAAACTCTATTTAAAAAAATAATATCAAAAGATATAATTTATAAATTTCAACAAATTCAATAAAAAAATTTATATAAAAAATGAGTAATTGTTTGTAAATTTGAAGCTTGCTAGGGATTGTTGTGTGCCAATTTTATAGAATAAGTCATCACAAGGTAAGATCTTTAATGTTTCCAAGTAACCTTTAAAATAAAACATACATTATAATTTATAAATTCAATAAAAAAAATTATATAAAAAATGAGCAATTGTTTGTAGATTTGAAGCTTGTTAGGGATTGTTGTGTGTCAATTTTATAGAATAAGTCATCACAAGGTAAGAACTTTAATGTTCCCAGGTAACCTTTAAAATAAGACATACAATATAATTTATAAATTTCAACATAAATTTAATAAAAAAATTTATATAAAAAATGAGTAATTGTTTGTAAATTTGAAGCACAAGGTAAGATTTATTCTTTACTCAATCATTCTAAATTTCTTAATTCATAGCCATCTTAAGATTTATGTAATTTAAATTTCCATATTGCTTTATAACATCTTGTAAATCTTTATAGGATAAAAATATATCTCCTTTTTTCATATTTAAAAGAAGAGTTTTTAAATCTATTAAAAAGGTTTATAAATTTGTCTATATCAACAATTTACCTTTGGTATGAACTATTTTTGAGTCAACTAAATTTGGGAAATAAGTAAGGTATTACTATGGTAGTACTTTTTGGTGACATTCTAAAATCTGATATATAAAGATCTATGTAATTTAAATTTTCATATTGCTTTATAGCATCTTGTAAATCTTTATAGGATAAAAATATATCTCCTTCTTTCATATTTGAAAGAAGAGTTTTTAAATCTATTAAAAAGGTTTATAAATTTGTTTATATCAACAATTTACCTTTGGTGTGAACTATTTTTGAGTCAACTAAATATTGGGAAATAAGTAAGGTATTACTATGGTAGTAATTTTTGGTCACATTCTAAAATCTGATATATAAAGGTTTATGCAATTTAAATTTTCATATTGCTTTTTAGCATCTTGTAAATCTTTATAGGATAAAAATATATCTCCTTCTTTCATATTTAAAAGAAGAGTTTTTAAATCTATTAAAAAGGTTTATAAATTTGTCTATATCAACAATTTACCTTTGGTATGAACTATTTTTGAGTCAACTAAATATTGGGAAATAAGTAAGGTATTACTATGGTAGTACTTTTTGGTGACATTCTAAAATCTGATATATAAAGATTTATGCAATTTAAATTTTCATATTGCTTTATAGCATCTTGTAAATCTTTATAGGATAAAAATATATCTCCTTCTTTCATATTTAAAAGAAGAGTTTTTAAATCTATTAAAAAGGTTTATAAATTTGTTTAAATTTACCTTTGGTATGAACTATTTTTGAGTCAACTAAATATTGGGAAATAAGTAAGTTTGGTGACATTCTAAAATCTGATATATAAAGATTTATGTATTTTAAATTTTTATATTGCTTTATAGTTTACTAAATTTCGTCCACGATATTATTTATACATCCATTTTATTATAAATACAAATTTTAAATGATTCGTTAAATTTTCATAACTTTTTTATCGATTCGGAAAATGGGTATAAATAAGAAAAAATATAACTTTTATTTCTTGCTAATACGCCATTTGGCGTAAGTCTATCATCTCCCATTTTATTCATTAGTGTCTGGCGACATAAAATTGTTGTACGTGGATAGATTTTTAATCATCATGGTAAATGATGGATTATCAACTAAGGACATTGGCTGAACTGTATAAATTATAAAATCAACAATAACTTTATCAGCCAATTTCTGAGAAATATTGTCATTTGCATTATTAATTAATTTGGTTTGAATTGAATTAGTCTTTTTGGATGTAGAGTCGCTTATACCAAAATTATTTAGATGTTTCTCCATTTCCTTAAAACTCATGAACAGTCTTATAAAATAAATATTATTAGAATGTAAAAATGACAATTTACCTTTAGGTGTTTCTTGAGGTTATAGCTACTGGATTGATTTGAGGAAATATTTTTTTTGGCATTTTAAACAAATAAATTTGAAACCAGTTTTGGTTATATATTTATTTAAAAAAAATTTCAAATCTAGGGAATGGGAAATTTGTATTATAGCTATTAAGAACATTTTCTTCCCTGGTATCTTCCATTTCATTAACATCATTGTCTGAATCACTTTCAACGATTTGGATATCCATAGGCGATGACATTTTAAATTATTAACACGTGATTTAGGTTTATAATACAAATGAAAATATAAATTACAAATTGAAATTATATTTTAATTTCAAAATTAAATAATAAATCATAAAAATTATATTTAATTATGATATTATATTTAAATTTTCATGTTTACGCTTACCTTCATTATATTTTTCAAAAAAGTAGCGCGCTAAAAAATTAAATAATTAAAAAAAAAGTAGCCGCTATTAGCTATAGCTACTAAAAAAGTTAACGGGCTAATTAGAGCGCTACAAGTAGCGCGCTACTTTAACAACTCTGATAAAGGACAATGATTTTGGAGATTAAAGAATATAAAAATCATCTGCTTTTAAATTAAAATAAATAACAGAAAATATAATAAATGACATTCATAAATGTTGACATCTTAAAAACACCAGACCCTTCAATATGTCAGATTTAACTGACATGTAGCTTTGACAAATGCCTGTCCACATTTTTGGAGAACGGCAACATAAATTTATTAAAAATTTTTTTTTTAATGCTAGCAAAATATCCATGGATATTTGTAGACCTGAAAATTTATATAAAATATCACATAATTCTAATCTTATTCGAAATATATGCCTATTAGCTCATGTAGACCATGGTAAAACTACGTTTGCAGATCACATTATTGCAAGTAATGGCCTTATATCAAACAGGACAGCAGGAAAACTACGATATATGGATAATAAAAAAGAGGAGCAAGAAAGAGGGATCACAATTAAATCCAGTTGTATTTCATTGGTTCATAATGTCAATAGCATGATAGGAGTCATTCCAACTTTATATCTAATAAATCTCATAGATTCTCCAGGCCATATTGATTTCAGTAATGAAGTCTCTGTAGCTGTCAGATTATGTGATAGTGCAATAATTTTGGTAGACGTTATTGAAGGCATTTGTCCCCAAGTAAGCAATACAAATAATTTAAATAAATTATTATGCATAATTATATTTATTGGTTGCAGAAATATTTCTTTCTATACATTTATATATAATTTTTTAAATATTGTATATAAGACTCAAACTGTGCTTAGGCAAGCTTGGAATGAAGGCATTAAAATTCTTTTAGTATTCAATAAAATGGATCGGCTGATCATGGAAATCAAAATAACACCAATTGAAGCTTATGAACATTTGAGAAAAATACTAGGAGAAGTTATAATTTTTTAGTTTTGCTATTTAAATTTATTAATATAAGTCATTTTAGGATATGGGATTCAAAATCTATCAATTTTGAATCCTTTACTAATTGGTGATTAAATTAATTTACATAAATATATGTCCAGCACCATAATTTGTATGAACCATTTTGCTGTTAACTTTTGTACTATTAATTTATATTAATTTTTTGAGATTATTTATATAAGTTAGTAAATACAACAAAGCTTATAGGAAAAAAAGTCTTCAATGCATAAGGTAAGAATTCTAGAGTCCTAAAAGTTGGCTTTAGGTGTGGACCAATCCTATAACTAAATTTGGGTATATAATTTTTAAAATATGAGTTGGGTGCATTTGCTTAAAATTAAAAAAAAAATTGGGCCAGATGTGAGCTTGAAAAATATAAAATAATATAAAATGATGTATTCTCTTGTTTTATCAAAATAAAATGATAATTATATTTTATCTGTGATAAGGATAAGGCAATAAATGATCTTCACTTCACTTACCTTAAATAAATTTAAAATTTTTGGCAGGTCTCTGACCTATAATAATTTGGATGATGTAGTCTCAGACCTAAAAATAATAAAATTTTCTAGTCAAACTTGGGCCTAAAAATTAATAAACATGTCGGGCTTTGTTTCTTTAAGCAGGGCTTTAAGGTTCACTATACATGCTGGAATATATTTTTATTTAAATATTGCCCCATTTAAAATTGAAAGATTCCATATCTCCATGGATTCATATCCTAATAAAACCTATAATATATCAATATATTATTTTAAAATGTTTATTTTAAAATAATGATTTTTAAATCATAATGATCATTATTTAAATAATTTCTCTTTGGATCATTCCATGTTAATTCGACAGAAAAAAGGTAATATTTGCCTAAATAATTTGCATGACAATGAATTATATTCAAAAATTTACACAAATAATATGTCTATGGCATTTTAATGCAGCCAAAGGCCTTTTTATTTATTTATTTATAATATTGAAAAACACATTAATTGATTTTTATAATTTTTTTCATCAATCCACATCATATTACCCATGAATAGATTATTGTAGTGGTGTAAACATTTCTAAAAAAATCGAACGCGTTCAACGTTCATTGACAAAATTTGAACGCGTTCAAGTTCATGTTCAAGAAAAAAGGAAGACGTTCACTTTCACAAAAGGGTTCACGTTCATAAAACCGTTCAAAATTTTGTGATAAATTTTTTTAAAATTTAATTTAATATAAATAAACTTATATTTTTTAATACAATATATTTTATTTAGCCATGTTAAAAAATAATATAGTTTTATTTTGATAATATAATTATAAATAAAATATAATATAAATAAAATATAATATAAATAAAATATAATATAAATAAAATATAATATAATATAGCGAATAAAAAGATATTTTTATTTATAAAAAATTTTTCTTATTAAATTTTAATAACAATTGTTTTCAAAATATTTATCTGATAGACAGGAACACTTCGCAGTTAATACGGCATTAGCTATACTAAAAACGCATTCTACAGGGTCAGATGAGGGGATTGCGGTATTATACTTAATAAACAGCTCTTTTAAAACGTGGATAATTAATTAAAAACATATTGTTTTGTTATTTGCAAAAAATTGAAATAAGTTATCCTCCTCCAATCCATTCTCTACTCTCGACAAAAAAAAGGATATCTCTAAATTAACAGTTCTCTAGGGTTTTCATAGCATTTTTTTCAATGACGCTATAAGTTTATTTTTAATAGGTTCGTTCTGTGGTTTATCCATGGCCATTGAAGTTTGAATGCTGGATGTATAATTGCAAATATATGTAATTAATTGAGAGTAAATACCATTTATTAATCCCATTTAATACGGCGTCTATCAATGGCTGACCATATTTGAGACCACTAATTTTTTTGATTTTAAAATAACTATCGTTATTGTTGGGGTCAAATATCCCAAATGCATTATTTCTTCAAATTTAATGATTTAACTTAGTTATATCATATAAAATCAAATAATTAATATTAAAATCAAATGTCGTTTTAAATTGGAACCTGAAGGACAATATAATACTTTTTGGACACATTTTACACTTGGTAAGCATTGGATTAGTTCCTTTAATATAGGATGTTAATGTAAAACATTTATCATATTTGACCATAGTAATGATAATTCATCTTTTTGGATTTTCAGAATCAGATGATGAGGATTAAATAATAATATTCATGCTTGTGATAATCTATTAAATTAAAATATAAACAACAATATTCAAATTAATAAACTATGTGTTAAAACAGTTGAAATGTGAAAAGGAAATACACAGCCGATTAAAAATATAAAATAATACATTTTTTTAAAAAATTCGGAAATATTAAATTTTTCAAATAAATAAAAAAATTTTTTTTTTAAATTGAACGAACATTAAATTCGAACGCGTTCATCATAAAAAGGAACGCGTTCACGTTCAAAGTTCGTCAAAAATAAAAGGAACGCCGTTCATCATTTTTTTCAAAAAAACGAACTTTTAAATCGATTCCAAAATGATTGCTCTTTAATCCTTATTATCTCAGGTAATATAAAAGCTGGCATGTTCAATTATTTATTCTATTTATAATATTTATAACCTTACTTAAATTTTTTGCTGAGAATGAAGAAGGTAATTGATGATTAGCGATTTGATATGGGGAGATTTCATTTTTATTTATTTTTAAATCATTATTCAGTTTTTAATTTCCAATAATAACATTTTATTATAAGTCATTTTACCATATTTTTACTTTATAAATTTTAATTAATAAAAGATTTTATATGTTCTGCTAAAGCTCTAATTTTTTTTTGGTATATTTTATAAAAAATTAATTTATTATTGAAATTTACAAGATCGAGTTTGGACGCATTATAAATGTGAAATTTTTTGGAACCACACCCATAGAAGATCCATATATTTTTTTATCCTGTAAGATTAATTTGGGTATAGTATATAACAGAGGTCGACCTCAGAGTCCAACTCAGTACTTAGGAGGAAATTTTCAGACTGAACTGAAAAACTTGTACAAAATATTTTTATGGGACCAGGTCAGAAGTTTATTATTTTTTATCTAGGATGTTAGGCAAATTTACGCTTTTTTTTCCATCATAAAAATTATTATGGGCTGGGCCAGCCAACTTGTATAACATTATTTTACAGGATGGGCTGAGCCAAAATTTTTTATGAGGCCAAAAAACCTTTTAAAAAATTTCCTCGTGCCAGACTGGAACAACATTTAGTTCCTGCTTAAAACTTGTTTTAAAATAAAATATTAATTTTGGTTTATAGGTAATAATTAGACTTCTATTTTAGTTATTCATAGTTAAAATACTTTTTAATCAATTCAATATTGCCAATTTGATAATAGTTTATTCATATAAACTAATATCCATACATAAAACTCATGATAGTGATCAGTATAGGTACCTGTTGATACTTAAAACAGATGCCATTGGCCAGTGCTGTTAAACGCTACTCTTGAAAACAATGCACTACCGATACTGCATTCTTTAAAAAAAGTAGCACACAAAATTATATATATATATATATATATATATATATATCTAATCTATGTCCACAAATAAGAAAAATAGTGGTATAAAAATATGACTAAAAAATTTTAAAATATACGTTAATTTTGTAGCATTTCAATAATATATTGTCATCCCTAGTCTAGAACGACGAAGATAGTACTACCTTGCCTTACTAAGTAATCGCTCAACAATAGAATTTGAGGGCACAGCACTATTTTTAATATAAGAAAATAAATGAGTTTTTTTTAGATTTAAAAAAGATGTCTAAGGGATTTTCTATTGTATTTTTAACATTTATTTCAAAATAATATCACTTAGGTGACATTCTTGATGTATATCCTTGTTTGGTATAAAATTATTCAATATTATCATTAACCTATATCTAGTTGCCCTTTTGATCTTTTTAAAAGCTGTTAAATAATATAACATTATCAAATTACCTTATCTTCACGAAATAAAAAAAATATAATAAAGCTTAAAGGCTTTGAGAAAATTGGATTCATTCTATTAGCATTTTGCTAACCTTGCTCTGAATTTTAAAAGACCTATGGATTCCTAAAATAATGTTTGTAAGCACATTACAGCAATCATTCTTTTCAGAGCAGATGCAGTATATCTCATTTTTAGTATCTTAGGATCTAATATTGGCCAGTTATTCCTAATAAAAATTTTAATATTAGATTAGAAATGAGAAAATAAATACTTATTTTTATCTTCTATCATGAGTCCAACGATATGCTTTGTGCAGATGTAGGAGATATCGAAGATCAAATATTAAAGAGTTTCATTTAAAATTAGCCAAAATTACTGCCACAATGTCTGCTTCCAAAATATCTTAATACCTGGAAATAATGTTTATTAGATTGAAAAATGATGTATTATCAACCAAGGAAATTGGTTGAATTATATTAATTATATTATTGATCATGACTTTATCAGCCAATTTTCGTGAAACACCTAGTACTAATTTTGTAGAATTGATTAATTTAGTTTTAATTAAATTTGATTTTTTTATTCTATGTTTTCCTTATGAAATTTACTAGTAATAATTGATTTTGACCAGTGTCAGTCCGATAATGGCTGCCGTAGCTTCCCTTAATAACCAAAATTATTAAAATGTTTTCAATCTTTCCGAAAAAACATTAATAATTTTAATAAAATTTGTATGTCTTTTCATTTTCAGGTTGAAGGTGGGATGATATATTCTCCAACATTTTTTACATATGAACTTAAATCCTGTGCTAACTTTAAAAAAAAAGTAAGTTTAAAATATTTCCCAAATTTAGGAAAAGGAAATTCCACAATATCATTTTACAGGGAAATTTCGAAATTTTATTTCTATCTGTCTCTAAATTCTATTTCAGATTATCCATTGGTGGGATTTGATATAAATTTAGATTTCAAAATTAAATATAAATATTATAATTATAAAATTAATTTTGAAATCATAAATGGATTTAGTAGTAATTTTATAGTGTATTAATATTATAAAATTTAAAGCAGTGAAATAGCGCATCACTTACCGCTATTTTTTAAATATTTGCTATGAATTTATAAAAAAAATTTCTAAACCAAATTGGTTCAATAAAGAAAGCAAGAAGGTGCCTTTTAATTTAATTTAATGAATTTCATAAATTATTTTAAATGATAAATATAATATTACTAGCTAATAACCCGTCAAGAATGATGGGGGTTGATGGGTAATTAGTTAGTTTGGTACTAAATATACTTTATTAATATGTTTTATAAAAATATTAAAATTTAGGAGGAAAAGAGGTAAATTTGTGAATCACATCTCATAAGATATTCTTAATTTCTGATTCATTTATCATCGAATAAGGGAGAAAAGTATGATGACTCGTATTTCTTGATGGGCAAAATGAAGAGTATCTGAGCTCCCGTCTGAGCCCGTCAAAAATGACGGAGAATGAGAAATTTCTCCTTACTTTTATAATAGTTGGTACCTGTTATTTGAAAATAATATCCAATTTTTATTCTTTTTAACCCCCTCCCCCCTTCAGGTTAGGTCCAATCCATTAAAACTAAGTGTAAATGCTATGTTTTGAGTCAAAATATATTTAACTTTTTTACTTGATACCCATATCAATATTATTTGTTAAGATCACCTATATCTAATATTTAATATTAAAAAAATTCCCAAGCAAGGATTAAGACTATAATAATTTTGAAAAAATTTTCTCAACCAGGCTTGCAAAAAAATTTGTTTTAGGTCAATGTCTGATCCATAGTTAATAATAAAAAAAATTCCCAAGCGTCCAAGCTGATAATAATTTAGAAAATTTTTCCCCAAGTCTAGCCCAATATAATTCATAAAAATATTTTCTAACCCGACCCATAATAATCTTAAAAGATTTTTCTCAAACCTAGCCACCTATGATAATTTTGAAAATTTTTTTTCAAGCCTGGAAATAGGTAAATCTTTAAAAACCATTTTATTCTTTTTAATCCTGACCAAATCTACTTCAGACCAAGGCCAACCCATTAAGATTAAGTGAATACTATTTTTGAGTAAAAATATATTTAAGTTAGCTTTTACCTGAGGCCCATATAAATATTCTGTGCTATAATTATGCCTAATATCTAATATTAAAAAAATTCTCAAGCCAGGTTCATGCACATAATAGTGTTGGGAAAATTTTCTCAAGCCCACCAAAGTAATAATTTTGGTAGATGAGAACTGAAATAAAATATATGAAAGTCATAATTTAAAGATACAATCAGAATATGCATGGGACTTGATTTTTTGATAAAAATTTTTAGGTCAATGTCAAGCCCATATTTAGAATTAAAAAATTTTCAAGCATCTCTATTTTAAATTTTGCCCAATATGATTTTTTTCACAAATTTAAGTTTTATTCTAAATAAAAAATTAAATTTAAGACATTGTTATTAAATTACAATAGAAATAAATGGCAAAATTTTAAAAATATCAGCTATGCTAACGGCAATTGAGTTGTATATTAATATATACTAGGCCTATTCAAAAATAATTCGATTCGATTCGAATAATTCGAATCTAATCGAATAATTACGAATACGAATAATAAATTATTTGTTTTATCTGAATACGAATAATCATTTATTCGATTCGAATAAAACGAATTATTCGTAATATTTAATAAATTGTTTAATAAATCTAACATTTGTCATAAAAAGAATGGGAGGATCTTATAAAAATTAAAGCTATACTATTGCCTTTATATGAAACTACAAATATGGTATGTGGGGAGAATTATCCTACTTATAATTTGGTTATACCTTATTATATTTTAATTCTTGAACATCTAAAAAATGAAAAACCTGGTTTCCATAAATCCTTTAACAATAGTTTCAAAGTAGCAGTGATAAATTGTTGGGCTATTATAATTTAACTGCCGATGATGCAATAATAACCACAATATTAGATCCCAGGCTTAAAGTAGTATATTTAAAATCAATATCTGTTGATTATGAAATTGATATATCCAAGTTAATGGACAAATTTGAAGAGATTTACAATAGATATACAGGTATTTAATTTACCCCCATTTAAATATGATTTTATTTTATAAGCTCATAATTATAACTGTCAAACAAATAAGGATAAAATTCAACAAAACAGGCTATACATTGTTTTTAAACAAAATAATATTCAACTGTGTGAAATAGATTTTTATCTGAGTGAACCAAGAGCAAAGAGTGATACTGACCCGTTAATGTGGTGGAAGGCAAATGCATATCGGATCCCCATACTCTCGAAAATGGCAAGGGATTATCTATCTATACAAGGAACATCAACTGCTTGTGAAAGGCTTTTCTCAGTTGGAACTAATTTATTGTCAAAAAACCGCATGTCATATAAGGAAGAAAATATAAGAAAAACTCTTTGCCTTAAAAATTGGCTTAAATTATAAATTAAATGAATAATATATAATTTAATTTTGTTTATAACTTGATTATATATTAAATATGAATAATGCACTATTCGATTCGAATTCGTTTTTGAATAGGCCTAATATATACATAATAAATATTTTAATGTAATTATAATTCAAGTTGGTGCATGCGTAAAGCTGAAACGGAAGGTTTGTGGTTTGATGCTGATAGACGGCAAAAAATTAACATTACACTATATAGTCTCCTTAAATTTTAATAACGTTAAGATGATACGAAAACGATCATATTTTGATTATGGAGATTTTATATATAGGATATATCTATTTTTTTCCCCAATATATATATAATATAATACATTATTTTTGGTATTAGTATCAGGTCTCAGTAGTAGTGTTATTTAAGGTTCGATTTGAGTCGATTTTTTAAAACGGCTAGCTCAATATTTTATCCAAAAAAATATAATGCAAGCCTGAAGATTTTGTTCATAGATGCCACAAAGGTTTGGGAATATATTTACGAAATCTCGAGGATAAGACAATATTTTTATGGCAAAAATATTGAGTTAGCCGTTTTTAAAAATCGGCTCAAATCGAGCCGTTTAACAACACTAGTCAATAGTATCAAACCAATAGTATATTTGTACGAATGGTATCAGTTAGGTTGGATTTTGGCTAAAAAGGTGGTATTGGTATATTTCTGTTATTCGTTAATTCCACAGGACAGATGTGACACAATAAAATGAATACATGTTTGACTAATAACTTTCCCTCTGGGGCTATTTACCTCCGAGGGTTTTGTTAAAAAAAATTTTTTCATATTAATCCTGATTTTTGCACAAACTTAATATAATATATATATATTCATTTTTTTTATTAGATAAATTCGTTTTACAGTGAATTGGTAGCTTCAGCTTTGTTACAAGAGGAAGAACAAGTTAATTTAATTATTTTCATTGTCGATAATAATAATATACATTTAATTTAATTACCTAATCCAGTATATATTTAATTTCAGAATGCAATAGACCTTCCTGATGAAGATGATGAATTTATTGAAGAAAAAGTTCATTTTTCACCTGTTAAAGGGAATGTATTATTTGCAAGTGCATTAGATGGATGGTGTTTTAAGTAATTTTATATGTTTTAAAATTTATAGCATATTTATTTATCGAAAATTTAGTAATCAGTAGGGGTGTACCACCGATACCACTTTTTGGAGGCCGATCCGCATTCCCGATATTAAATTGATATCGGCCGATTACCGATCTGATATCATATCTAATTCTGTATTCTGTAAAGATACCAATGGTTTTAATTTTTAATATACTTTTTATTAGTATAACATCTATAATTTAACTATACCATAACTTATGTCATTTAAATATAATATAATGATCAGTTATAGTTTGTGTATTCAATCCAATAAAATATTTTTATTATTAAATCATTTTTATATAATAAGTAATACATTAATTATATACATAATAAGTAATAAACAAATATATATGAAATTAGAAATGAATATTTATAGTGATATATAACATTAATATATCGAAGATTTCTTTTTAGAAATACCATAATTTCCAATTTATCAAAGGTCAGCCTGCGGCGATAGTAACTGTTAATATCACCAGCTTCACTAAAAACTGATTCTGAAGAGATTATCGCACACTTTTATAAACAGTAGGCGCAAAAAAAATAACAATATGGCAGAAAGTTTATTAATTAATTATTATTATTAAAAAAATATATAAAAATGGATTTCGATTTTATTTATAAAAATAAATGATTTTAGATATAACTTTTAAAAAAATTTTTATAACATTTTATTTTTGTTAAAGACGCCATTTTATATCGGATCGGAGCGGAAAATTTTATAATATTAGCCGATCTATATTTTAAAATGGGTGAAATATTGGCCCAATCCGATAAAAAATATCGGTACATCCCTAGTAATTAGTATAATGATATATATAGGAATAGCCAGGATTTTCTCCTAAAGTGAGTGAGCTTTGGGTGCCCCCCGCCTCTACAAATGTTATTGAAAGACTTTAGGTCTACCTTTTTATCTATTTACTCTTTATAGCCTATGTCCAAAGCTGGGTTTTAACTTTTCGTTAGTTTAATAGGAACATAGAACGGAACTCGGGTAAAATAATGGAACGTTATTGGAATAATAATGGTGTTTGAGAACGTTCCCTGAACAGTTTTAAAGAATCATATGGAAATTTTAATTTACCACATAATTATATATATAATATTTATACTGGCTCAATCATTCATAGATATTCATTTTTCTTCCTTTTATTAGTAAAGTGGAAATAAATAAGATATTTTTTTTAGAAGCGCGTTCTGAAACGTTGAAAAAATTGGAAACAGAACATAATTTTTTGGCCAGAATTAGAAAAGAACAGCAACGCGGAGATGATTTGTTCTGAACCCCTGCCTATAATATATTTTTGATTCAATTGTTTTAAGTATCAGTGAAAGTCAATAGTCCTGTTGGGTTTAGACTGCTCTGCAAACCGAAAAAAAATTCAAAAAAAATAAATTGCTGGCGGCAATTAGATCGAGTTAAAAACCAAATGGAATCAAGTTTTTTGTCTCATGGATCGTTCACATTCACTAGTCCTATGTTATTTGTCGAACAGTTTCGCAAAAATTGATTAGAGCTAACGAAAAATAAAAATTAAACCAGCCCTAGCATAGGCTAAAAAAATGTCCTATGTCGTATTCATTTTTTTTTCAGAGTAGGGGATGGAGAAGATGCACGGTATAATTTTTATAAGTTAATGATATTTATAAAAACATAAAAATTGCCAAGGGGTGATGATTTTTTCATGCCCCCCCCCCCTCCCTGCTACGCCTATGTTGAAATATATAAAATAGCACAAAATAATTCAAATTTTACATCAAATATTTTTATATATTAGTCCAATGTGTTCTGTTTTTTCTATTCAATGTGAGATTTTTAACTTTAAATAGTTTATTCAATTTAAGTGAAAAAAATAATATATTGTTTGGCAAAGACACATTTACGCTAACATATAATTAAAATATTTATTTGTACTTATTAACATAAATTTTAGCTTATCAAAATTTGCTTCTATATATTCGATCAAGTTGGGATTCAATGAAAAGTCTCTCAACAAAACTCTATGGGGTGATTATTATATTCATTCCAAAGAAAAACGAATCAAAAAAGGGGCCATGGTTTGCATTTAACTATTTAATTTATTTATGATATTATAACGTATTTGCTTTGAACCAACCATTTAAATAAAGATCTTAGGAACTTTCTAAAATGAGGATTTTCTGAAAAATGAAATATTAGTAATATTTTTTAAACAATTTGGTTTTTGTCATAGGATTTACTATTTATTGCCATAAACTGCTTTACCCTGAATTCACAGATAGCGCGAATTCGCGGTGAAGTTTACAAAAATTAGGGCTGCGCCGATCCACATATTTTTCACCGATCCGATCCGATATTTTCCGATATTGGTTCAAAACATATCTGATATTTATATTGATTTTTCACCACCCCCATTTGAACCAAATGTAAATAATAAATTAATATTTTTTATGCAAAAAATCGAATTAATGAATTTTCATTATTTCTCCTCGTGAAATTAGAATTCCGCAGATCTTATTTTGCAAATTATCCTTGTCTTTTGTAAAATATTTCCATAATTCAGATACCATATTTAAAAAAATTCTTTTATTTAAAGTATAAATAATAAAATTAGCTTTATTCTTTAAGAAGATTTGAAATAAATAAAATTTTGGGTGTTCCTTTCTTTTTATAAAAAACTTTTAAAATACTATAAATCTATTTAATAAAATAAAAATTTAGGGGATTTGTGCATTTACATTGTTTAAAAAAAAATATTTAGAAAATATTATAATAATGTAAAATAAATATACAAAACATAAAATAACAAAAAAAGATCCGATCTGTTTTTTAGAAATATCGGTCCTATCCGATATTTTTTGAAAACACTAAATATCATATCCCATCCGACCCTATATTTAATATCGGCACAGCCCTAATAAAAATAAATTATGTATTTTATTATTTTTTTAAAACTATTTTTAATTATATTTAGTTTGTTTTTTTAATAATTAATAAATATAAAAAATTAAATATCAATGCTTAAATTTAAATTAAGTCGCTATTTTATTGGATCGGTAAACGAAATCGGCCCTAACGGATAAAAAATATTGGTACATACCAACGATTTTAAACAATAGCGTCATGATAGAAAATAGTGATTTATATAAATATATCGGGTTTATACTTAATAGATAGCCTCGTGAAATTGCAAGGGGCTTATTGAATTACGATAAAAAGGGTTATTTTACATATTATAAGATATATTTATGTTTTATATTGATTATTTATAGCTTTTATAAAAAAAACAATTATTTTTTAGAGATAGCGTCCTCTATATTTGGTTTTTTCATTTCCAAAATTATGAAAAACAAAATAATTTTCCTCAATTCTAATTAGTGTTGTTAAAGTTACTTTTGAAACATAACTAGTTATTAGTTACCGTTACTTTTCAAAAGTAACTAGTAACATTATAAGTTACTTTATACATCATTCATATAAATATAACGCATTTATTCACTGAACGAATTTATTTAATATAAAAAAATTATGATATACAAATTATAATCATTTCTTTAAAAAAAAATTTTTTTTATATAAAAAAATAATTAAACCGAAAAAAATATCAGAAAATAAGATATTTATATTTACATCGAATAAAAATATCCTATATTTATTTTTCATAAAAATTAGAGTTTAATAAATGTTTATTTGCTTTTAACAACAAATTGATTTCAAAATTTTTATCTAGGAGACGCGCTCGTTTCTCTCCAAAAATGAGCTTCCCTAGACTGAATAAACGCTCTACAGAAGCACTTGATGTAATTAATAACAACATTACATTTAATAAAGAGTATTTTTAAATTTGGAAAATCGTCACATAAAGATAAGTGTTGTTATTGGATTTAATAAAATTTTCTATAAATTCATTATCAATAATATTTTGCCGCTTTAAGTCAAAAAACATTAAATGATTTTTGTTGCGAACATGAGTCATTTGTGTTAGATTCACCGTGAGGTATTAAAGTATTTATTAAATTTAAAATTTCCATCTTTTTTGATCTATTCTTTTCTTGCCTTATCCAAGCCCAATCAGTTTTAAATAGTGGATGAAGAATAGTAGCAATTATGTTATCATTATCATAAAGAAAACCCATATCATTATATTATTAATTTATAAATAATTATTTAATTTAAGTTACCTTTTTCCAATACTAGCTAATATAGCATCCTTTAAAGGTTGACAATATTTTAATTCTTGAACACCTTCCAGACGGATAAGTATCTGTGTTATTGTTGGGGTATAATAACCCAGATACATATATATTTCACCTTCAAGTATGTCAATAGATTTAGCTATTGGTTGCATAATCTAATTTTTTAATTGTAAATTATTTATAAGACATTAATTTAAATTTAAACTACAATATTCTTTTATAAAGTCACGATCTTGTGATGTAAATCTACACAATTCATCACATAATAAATCGAATTCCAAAAGCACTTCATTTATAAATGATAATATTTTAGATAGAGATGTATAAAAAAACCCATCTTGTTACAATGGGATATGGCAGCTGAGAATATAACCGCCTTTTAATTTGTTCGGCTGATGGCCCAGATTTGTTTTGTGTATTCCATAAACGTTGGCATTTAGATATAGCAACCTTATACACTTTCCTATAATCCTCATTGTTTAAAAGTATATAATTGGCATCTTGTGTTGTCACTAAGTTTAATGTTTGACAAGAACATCTTCGATGGGGAAGGTAGTCGAAGTCATTTATATTATAATTGGTTAGTCCAGAGGAAGACATTATATCTTCTATTGAAATGTATTCAATACCTGAATCATTATCTTCCTCAATTAAAGAAGATGGGCAGCTAAATATTCTAAGAAAAATATAAAATATAAAGTAAATTAGTTACGCAAACCGAAACGCTTTTGAAAAATTGCTTGCTATTTTTATTTTGAATGTGGTATTCCTTAAAAATAGCAGTTAAGGCTTTGTTGATAACGTCATATGTATGCCTACCTTGTAGTCTTTGGCAGGCTAAAATAGCTGAACGCCTCTCCAATTTAGCCATATCATTCCATTGTACTGTTACACCAATATAGGAGATATTATTTATTTAACAAAAGATAACCAAATGTATTGTGTGTTTTAGTAAAAAATAAATATAATATTTACCTATTAAATGCTGTCCAACAGTCAGCTGATGAAACAAAATTCTCTAATAATTTTTCTATCAAAATATCCTTCATTTTAACAAAATATTTAGATATTCTTGAGGTTAAAATTTGTCTGCATATAATCTTCAGATTAAATTGCAGAGTGTTTATTAGCTCAATAAAATCTTCATCATCACAACTTGAATAAGGATGATTTTTATTTATTATATATTTAATTATTTGTGAATCAAATTTGTCTTGGCTGATAACTTTAGTATTTGATTTTCCACCAAAGTTTATTTGAGTGCTTTAACTTTTTTGATGTGGGTGAATTTTTCTTATTAACTATGGTTTGTTTAATATTTATGAATTGGTTATGATGCTTTCTTTATAGATTTATATTTTATATATAAAAATATTTAATTAATATTAAATATTCTTATAAAGTTAGTTCAATTAATTATTCTATATAATATTAGGTAAAACAAAATCATGTTACATATTAAAATTTATAACTATTTAATATAATTTTAAACTTACAGAGATATGTTTCCATAGATTAGCTATGGATGACTTAGATGCTGACATATATTTTTTATTTGGAAGACAAAGAAGACATTTGACAATAATATTAGTTGTATCCTTTCCTTGTGGAATTCGAAATATTTTTCAAAACTTGGCCAAGACAGATCCATTTTTTTTGCAATTCTTGTAGAAGGAGAAGGTATAATTTCTAAATCATCCTGAACCATAACAATATCATCCTCATAAAATGATAAATCAGACTCAGAATTCATATTGTATTCTGTTTCTATCTAAGAAATAATAAATAACACCTATTTAGATTAGGAGGAATAGAATAATCTATTAACAGGTGAAACAGCAGTTCTAAAATGGGTCTAATTTATATTAAATTTAATTATAAATAAAAATTCAGGCTAGGCCAAAAAATAAATTTCAGGTTGGACTAAATTCTTGGAATTCAAGATGAGACTTAAAAAAAATTGAATGCAGTTCTGCTTGACAAAATTCAAAAAAGTTGTTCTTAGTTCTTAAATCTGATATATGTTTTCAAGGTTTCTAATTCCAAACTCTGTTCCTTTTTAAAAATTTGAGCAAAGCGCTCTTACTTTAGTTAGATCTAGTTCTTAAATATTAAAATGGTATATTAATTCTAAAAATGGAACTGTATATGCAATTTTTTTTGTAAATGTGATAATAAGAATAATAAGGGAAAGGTATTAGAAAATTTATTACTTATTTAAGAATTTTAATTTTGTAAAATTAAAAAAAAAATACATTTATTACTTATGAATTCCAGAGTATAAATATTGCCATCAACTTGAAGGAAAAAATATGAAATATATTGTACTAAATTTGTAAAGACAATATTAAAAAATAGGTTTATTTATTACTTGAAATTTTATTACAAATATTTAAAAAAATTATTTATTTTAAATAAATTTATCGCAATATATTAAAAATAAAATGAATTATTTGAATATATTATTTAGACTTATACATACATATTTTTAAAAGTAACTAGTTACTTTTGGCAGTTACATTGGTAAAAATATAACTAGTTACAGTTACCCAGGTGAGATTGTCCCAAAAGGGGGCAAGCTCAAAATAACACATGTTGATACAGGAAATACGATTGACAATGAGGTTTTAAAAATATATTTATAATTTCTTAAGGAGAATTTTAAACAAAATGGTATATAAATTTAGAACATAAAGTCCTTTGCCTGATGTAGAATAGTGGGGTTGGTATGTATTAATTATAGACGAAGGCCTGATTTTGGCCAGGATTTTGCTTTAAATGTTTAAATCTAAATTTTATAATTTTTTAAATTTGTTTTAAATATATAATATTTATCTCATCAGCTCTATTCCTATAAAACAATATATGAGGTAGGATTAGTTTTAAAATAAAAAGAAACCATATATATATATATATGGGGTTTTAGGTATCTTTTTAGCATATAGCCAACAACTTCTTATACATTTAGACCAAATATTTTCAAGTAATTTGAGATTATTAAAACTGAGATCGCACATGTATTCAACTTTGAGAATTTATAATTCCTGATCCATTTGAACTAGAATTTTAAAATTTTGATTCATATTATATTTACAACATATATAACTAACTCGTCAAGTTTTATTAATTCTAAAAAAGGTTGTCTAAATCATTAGTAGATTTGATATTGAATCACTTCTTTTCTAAAAGCATTCTAAATATATCTCGTAAATATGGAGTATTTCTGTCCAGTGCCCTCCTGCGTTATATTATGATTACTATAATTTAAAAAAGTTATATACTTGATGTCCCAACATAATTAAACGGTAGAAAAGTGTCCCCAGCCCATTTTGCGAATCACGTGGTATCTTTCGTTAAATAAATCACCTATCATGACAGAATGGTTATATAATTTATTTAAAATTTTTATCGAGAGACTAGAAATTGAAGAAGTAAAACCCGAGAAATATTAGTAAATTTTAGGGCTGTGCCGATCCACATATTTTTCACCAATCCGATATTTTCTATATTGGTTCAAAACCGATCCGATATTTATTTTTCTTCACCCCCCTTTGAACCAAATGTAATTAAAAAATCAATATTATTTAATTTTTTTATTTCTACAATAATTAAAAAAAGTTTACGGATATTGGTAGTATTAAATGAATTTTACATTATTCCTCCCCATGAAATTAGAATTCCGCAGGAAACGCATTTTGCAAAATTTATTTTGTAAAATATTTCCATAATTTAGATACCATATTTAAAAAAAAATTCTTTTATTTAAAGTATAAATTTTTTATTCTTTATTTGAACGTTGGTCAGACCTGCCCAAAGGTGAGCGTACGTGAATTATATGAAGGCCCATCCTTCATATAATTATGCGGATTTTTTTTCTCAAGGATACTAACAAGCCTTGTAACCCAAATATGAGGTTATATGAGGTTGGAACACCTGAGCCATATATATATGCTTAGTAATTAGTATAGCAAAGAAAGAAGTAGAATATAAGAATTTAAAAAGAAAGGCTCTTCTTCCAAAAAACTTATAAATTTTAATAATTATTTTAATTTAATAAATTTAGTTAGAAATTTGTAAATATTAAATTATAAATAATAAAATTGGCGTTATTATTTAAAAAGATTTAAAATAAATAAACTTTGGGTGTTCCTTTCTATTTTTATAAAAAAACTTTTAAAACTATAAATCCATTTAAAAAAATAAATAAAATTTAAGGGGTGTTGTGCATTTACATTGTTTAAAAAAAATTATTTAAAAAATATTAATGTAAAATAAATATACATAAAATAACAAAAAAAGGAAAAGTAAAAATATCGGATCGGGTTTTACAGGTATCGGCCCGATCCGACATTTTTGGAAAACGTTAAATATCGGCACAGCCCTAACAAAAATAGAATATATTTTGTATACTTTATCGCGAATCTGTGCTAATTATGAATTTAGGGTAACAAATCGAAAAAATGGGGCGCCGCATTGATTTGCTTTTTACATAATTTAACATCTCAAAATATAGGATTATTTAGAGCCCTGCACTGAATTATCCGATACGATTGGTTATCAGACTTTGACAGACATTTTCTCTGTTTCAATCATAATTTTCTATTCAAATCGAATCGGACTAGGGCCAGAATTTTTCGGACAAGGACCTATTTTAGAAAAAATAAATTATTTTACGAATTATAACAAAATTGCAAATTTTTTTTTGAGAGCGACGGTAATATCGCGAAGCTAATTCAGCTAATTCCCTTTTCCGCCAAACATTTTTACCGAAGCCAATATCGCTAACCATCATCGTGAACTTATTTCCGCGTTTACTGGAGTGAATCTATTTTAGCTAAACTTTTATGACGAACCCTTTATAATGGTTTTTTTTTTCACCACGATTGTATTTAAGTGGAGCCATTATCGCGAGAGACTGTGAAACAATGAATATATTGCAAATGCATTATTAAAAGAAAAGAAAAAATATTCAACAATAATTTTCCCACATAATTTCTTAAATCATAAGCGCAAAATGTTTTAAGGATATTTCGTCACTTATTGTTTTAAGTAAGCAAAATAATAAACAAATAATTATTATTGACACATTGAGAATGAGCCCATTCTTACAAAGCATCCATTCCACTCTTCCCCTTTCTTGCTCTTTGAATATTCCTTCTTGCATATAAAGATTTAGGAAACTTTAACTCTTATTTTTTTACTAAATTATGTGCAAATATTATCTAAAAATAAATATTAAACATAAAATAAATATAAAAATTTATACAATTAAATCCATAACTAATTATCTAACAGATAATTCAAATTTGTAATTATAATTAAAAATGCTTTAACATATTTAAAGTTTTGACTATTATAGGCTAAACAACACGAATTTAACTTGTATTATAGAATCTTTTAAAATTTCCTCCTGAGGTTTAGTGAATATTAATCTATTTGAATTCCATTTCCCATATGGGAATATTACAAAGTTTACTTGTATTTCTGCTTTGCTATAAAGTTATTTTATATTTCATATATAAAAATAAAATCAAACTATACCATACCATGATAAAAAGAGATAAATATTTTACACATGTTACATCATAATCTATAATTGAATCTTCAGTTTGTTCCTAGTACTTCTATCACAATCGCCATATGATGATATTACATTATTTGATGATAAAAAATCACGAATATCAGCAATTGAGTTTAAACAATCATGTTTTTATTTTATTCATATTATTAATTAATGGCTTATTATTTAAAATAAATAAATTTGATTTTGGAGGATGTAAAAATTAACCAGTAATATTATTTCAATTGAAATCTACACAGCATGTCGGAAAGACCCATTAAACTATTGCCTTATCAAAATTTAAAAAATAAGTATTTTGCGTTTTTTAGAAAATATTTAAAACGCAACACTAGTTATGAATATGATTCCCATTGATTAGCACATTTCTATTTGGTCAGTGAGTTATATTTATTTTAAAAATTGAATTTTTTATTAAGATTATATTTAAAATTAATTTTGTTACCTTTGATTTCCACTTGAGATTTTAAAATATAAAAATAATTTTTTTAAAAAAATTAAATCGAAATCTTCATATGCGGCAGACGAAAAATAAGAACCCGTTATTCGTGACCTTGATTTTGGATAACATTTGGAACGTTTACCAAGCGATATTAATCGAAAAGTTTATTTTAAAAATAATATTTTTACTGAGGTTGTTTCCTATTTAATAATTTTTTATTTACAAATTTCGATACTGAAATAAATAAGGTTAAGCATTTTTTTAAAAAATAAACGTGTTCAAAACATATTTCTAAAAATTTAAAAAATTGAACATAGGATTTCATTAAGATATCAAAATTTGGGAAAGTTTTGAAGTTTTAAAACAGGTTTTTGACGCAATCTTTAAAAAAAGTAGAATTAAATTTATGTAATTTACTATTGAAACAAATCTATAATTCGTTTTACAACTTTTCGGGTCATAATGTCAAACTACTTCTTGGGGAGCTATTTTATTTTCGCAATTTTTTAAAATCACATTGTTCTTGTAAACTTTGGCAAAAAAATTGAACATTTCAAATAGTTTGCTAGGACGTAGGTAAATTTAAATTTCGGATCCTATGAGAGTTATAAAATGGATTATATTTTTATCTTAAATCTGAATATTATCATGTCCACGACCATCTCATTCCCTCTATTGCATGATGATAACCTGAGTTAACATTTTAAATAGTTTGCAATAAAAATTATAATAAATTATTTTATTCTTTAACACACTTTGAATCCGCTAGTTTACATATCAAATTTACGATAAAAACATCACTCACTAACATTTTTTATTTTATTTTTTTCGAAATGATAGATTTGATAACTTTTAATTATAATTCAATCTTTTTAAAAAGGATCATTGAAATATATTGAAAAACTTATAAAAATAATATTAATTTGTAGATTTATTAGATTTCTTTAAGTATTTATATATAAAAAACTAATCAATATAATATTTGTTTATTAATTACAGTTAACATTGCGCAGATATATAAATTTTAAATAATAAAATATGCCTAGAAAAGATCGTTAATGACAGCCAAAGCAGTTATATATAAAAAATTAACGCCGGGGGAAAAACATTTGGATGGAAGGGCAAGTAGTATCCTTAAGCGTCAGAATAAAATGAAGCAATATAATCACCAGAAACCCAAAATTGGCGCTTTAAAATTAGATTACTGCAGGGCATGAGGAGAGTTTATTAAAAAATATATTTGGATTCTACAGGCTGTGGTATATCTGATGGTAGTGCCAGTAGAAATGCTATTCTATAAAGTTTAAAACTTTGATTCGATAATTGATTTTCAGTATAATTTACAAGTGATTTTGGCACAGAGAGGAATTCAAAATGCCCTCATTATTAGCACGAATCGACTAAAGAATCGTATGTATTTAAAGAAAAGTCTTGGCAGTATTATAAAAAACGGACTCATATCAAATAGGGTAAAATTAGTTACTGAAGTAATCTGATTATCGTCGATAAAATCTACTTAGCAGCTATGTAGGGACAAATTTATTAGTAGATGTCCAACGTTTTCCCATTAAAGCACGAAATCATATTTGTTAAATCCCCCGCTATGCTATAGTTAGGCGTTACAATAAATATATGGATGGAGTAGACCTTATGGATTCGTGCACATATAAGGTCCCGTAAACTAATTGATATTATACCAATTACTTCTTGGCTATTACAAAACGAGGAATTTATAATGTAGAAATAAATCTTCTATATTAAAAATTATCCTTTACAAGTATAACTTGCAATCGAGGGTTAAAATGTTCATCTGTGATTTAAATTATAAAATAAAATACAGAAAATTGTGTAGATGATTTTTTTCCCCTCATTGAAATATTATGAACTATATTTTGTTTGCTAGGTAAAACCCAGGAGAAACCCTTTTAAAACAATAATATTTGCTATTTGGGTTCTTCCTTAGTAAAATGAACAAAAGCATATTATATTTATAATTATTAGGTCTGCAAATGGCAAATTTTTCAGGCCCAGTCTGGTTGGAATGTAGCTTTTGCCCGGCCTAGCCCCTTTTTTTTACTAAAGTTGCCTGGCCTGGATTTTTTACATACAAGGCCTAACCTGAAATATATGTAGTTGAACACTAAAATAAACAACTATTAATAATATCGAGGAGTGGTTATATTAAAAATACTACACTTTATGGATTATCACTTCTATCTAATATCAGAATTCATCAATGATCCATCCCAATAATTTATGCCCAGCTCGACCCTTTAATTTACCGGGCCGAGCATTGCAGACCTCTGATATATATTATTTAACAATTTTTATTTAGAAAACAAGAAAATACGCTTAAAATATTTAAAGCACTAAACCTCAATTTACCACCGAAAGATTTCAATTATTACGAACCTCGACATCTCTTAACTTCCCTTCTCATGCAACAATGGCTACCAATATCCACCATATTTTTAAGTATAAAGTAAAAAAATTTAATATTCCAAAATAATTTGAAATTATTTTTTCTAGACGCTGTTTGTTTGCACTCTCCCAGTCCGTTAGAAATTTCCAACAAAAGACTCAAAGCGTTGTTTGTTCAATCTTCGAATAATTTAATATCTCATTACCAACATTGTAAATATATTTTAAATAGATATAAAATCAAATTTTTCCAAAAAGGTGAAAAGTCACCTATTCATATTATATAAGTTTTGTAGTACTGATTTAATAAAAATAATGATTGTTGATAAGAAACGGCATTAAACGATTTAAATTGTTCTAAAATTAATGATAAGAAAATTATTGGTTACGCTTATTAGTTGTGCGAAAGCCATCATTCCACTTGTATAAGGATAAAATCTTTACTTACCAATTATGGGAATATTTGCCATTTTTGTTTAGGGCATTATAGGTTAAATATAATATATCGGTATATAAGATAATGGCGTAGTGGGGGGGGGGGGGTCAAAAATTAAGGAGCAGTGTTTTTTGATTTTTATTAAAAAAAATTTACTTACCACGGAGTTAAATTTAATTTAATCAAATATTCTTTTATCAGGTATTAAAAATTGCTCAGTGAATAATTTTTCCTCTTCTACTAAAAATGATAATCTTGCAAGAGATGACCTAAAAAATGTTGAAAATGTTCCGACCATAGCGTTTGTCTGTAAAATGTTTAAAAACGATACCTTAATTCTGCCCGCACCTTACATTCCAAATTCTACGAATGCCGAAGAATGTCAACAGGAGGATGAGACAAATGGAAAGAGTTGCTTGGAAAAAATCAAAGAGCGTAAATTGAAAATTCAGCGGTATAAGTTACGTTTTTCAAACCCAGATAACGCGAAAGGTTGCATAATTATACTGTATAAATTTTCTAACCTCGTTTTATTCTGGAATTGAATATTGAGTCAAAATCAAAATTGTAACTTTAGGGGTCTCCCCACTCACTTTTACAATTAATTTTAAGAAAGATTAAATATACTTCCTTTATGATAATATATAGAATATAGTTCTTAATTCACGCTGTGCTAATCCACAAATTTTTCATCGACCGGATGCAATATCTTTCTATATTCATATAAAACCGATTCTATACCGATCTGATATTTGGGTTGATTTTTATTTACCACTTATCTTTAAATTCAAACCAATGTCGTAACAATGTTTTTATGCAAAAGAAATAACTAACTGTAAACTATGAACAAAACATGAAGCACTTTGAAATTTTCGGTTTCTCATGGCCAAGGAGATACTTGATTCATTATCATGAATGATTATGTGCATCTTGTTTTCTTTATTCCCTAAGGTAAACTATCTCATTTAAAATATAGGCAATGTTTATGGCTGAATATTATTGGTTAAATATTTTTTAAATATTTTTAAAATTTTTTTGTTAACGAAAAAAAATAATATTACATATTTCTTTAAAAATTACATAAAAATTGAATCTTGGTTCTTTTGATTCATTTATTATTATTATTATTATGGATATATAATTATATATACAAAATGCAATCATACGAAAACCAATAATAATATCAGATTGGATCGGTTTTTTCAAAATATAGGCTCTATCCAATTTTTTTAAAAACGTAAATATCAGCCAGATATTTATTACCGGCACAGTCCTAGTTCTTATTATAATATTAAATAGATGGATTCATGTTTTATTTTTTAGAATCGATATAGTAAGTGACAGCTGAACATTGGAAATTTATTTTAAAAATAAAAAAATTAACACAAATGCACTGAGTAATTAATTACGTTTTGTTCACACTTTATAAAAACGCTCACTTTTTAATAGGGCTGTGCCGATCCACATATTTTTCACCGATCCGATCCGATATTTTCTGATATTGCTTCAAAACCGATACCGTTCCGATATTTTTACTTATTTTTAATCACCCCCGTTTGAACCAAATGTAATTAGGAATCAATATTTTTTATGCAAAAAATCGAATTATGAATAATTTAATTTTTTTATTTCTACAATTAAAACTATAATAAAAAAATATATATTTAATAATATATCTTATGTTGGAATTATAAAATTGTAATATTTTATATATAAAATTATAATATATTAGATTTTTTTAATAAATATGAGATCTAGATTTTCTGGAAATAAGCTTCTACGATATGGACTATCTATATCTCCTGCCGTACTGAAGGCAGACTCAGATGATTTCGCAGATAACGCATTTTAATTATCTTTGTCTTTTGTAAATTATTTCCATTATTCAGATTAGAGGTCTGCACCCAATGTTTTAAAAAAATTTAACCCTCCCACCCAGCCAGCCCATTGTTTTTAAAAACATATATACCCACCCACCTATTTGTCTAAAATTCCTTACCCGCCCGCCCATTAGTCTAAAATTTTTTACCCGCCCGCCCATTATTTATAAAAAAATTTTAACCCAAGCTCGTTTATAAAATTTAATTATGGTCATTTTTTCATTTTTTTAAGCATCTAATAAAAATATTTCAGCATTACACCTCTACAAAAAGTTTATAATTTAGGAAATTAATATAAATATAAAAATAATTAATTTAAATTATGGACAATTTATTTGATCAAATTGAATATTTATGAAAAAAATATAAATGTAAAATTAATATTATATGTAATTATAATGCAAAAATAATATTGAATCGACATTTTCTGGATTCAAACACGTTTTTCTTTGTTCTAAAAATCTGCCAGTAATGCTAAATCCGCCTTCGGAAGAAGCACTAGAAAAGTTTTATTACATTCCCATAAAAGGAAATTTTTAATAGACAAAAATGTTTATTTATTCTAAGAAAAAAGTTTTATTGTTTTACATAATATAGTTAGGTAAATGTTCTTCACTTAAAAAAACGATTGGTACAATAAAAAAATTAATATTGTTATATATCATTTAAACAATTATTTTTTTTAGTTTGTTTTTGAACAAAAATTTTAAATTTCCTTAACCCGCCCGCCCATTGTTTAAATTTCTTAACCCGCTCACCCAGCCCGCCCATAGTTTTAAATTTTTTTAACTTGCCCGCCCGCCTGCCCATTTTCGAAAAATTTTTTACCGTGGGCGGACGGGCCAAAACCCCGCCTAATGCAGACCTCTAGTTCAGATACCATATTTAAAAAAATTCTTTTTTTTAAAGTATAAATGAAAAAATTGGCGTTATTTAAAAAGATTTAAAATAAATAAAACTTTGGGTGTTCCTTTCTATTTTTATAAAAAAAACTTTTAAAATACTATAAATCTATTTTAAAAAAGAAATAAAATTTAAAAAAATTATTTAGAAAATATTATAATATTATAATAATGTAAAATAAATATACATAACATAAAATAACAAAAAAAAGAAAAGTAAAAAGATCGGATCGGTTTTTACAGGTATCGGCCCGATCCGATATTTCGGAAAACGCTAAATATCGGTACCGATCCGATATTTAATATCGGCACAGCCCTACTTTTTAATATGTTGCATAAAAGCATAAATTTGTTTTAACATAATTTAAGCAACACCTTTTTTTAAAATATGCATTCATTCTTTAGACATCAATTCAAAGATCCCTGGGGATTATAGGCCTCAACTTCTAGATGGTCATCACGTGGTTGGACTTATCAAAGATAAGGAGATATCCGAGGAAAGCGCTTCAGAATCATATAATAAACATGTAAATTCATCCAATATAACACTTGTACACGATAATCTACCACTGCATTCCATTATTCAGAACAAACCTGAAAATCAAGTTGATATTGCATTGGCAGTCAATAAATCGCCTGATCTAACAATGCGTGTTGGTAAGTTATCAGACAAACACGTAAGCTTTTTTGACCAAAATGAATCTATAAATGCGTCAGTTAAAACAATGGGTTTACGCAGCGATGATCATATATTCGAAAATAAATCAGGTAATGAGACTGATATTGCGGAATTTTCAGCTAATGATGATAAAAATGGCGGGAAAAAAATTTCAATAGCTATAAAATTGCTAGAAGAAGTCGATGTCCAAGCCAGGCTTTTAGCGCTTTGCAAGGTATACAGTGGTGTTATTAAACCAGGGGCCTCTTATCACGTTATACTTCCGCATCAAAATTATTCCAGCCATGAGGACGATGATTCCGAAGATAATTTTGGTTTTAACAAATTTGACGATTCTATTCATAATAATATAAATGGCAACCGATCGATAGTTAAGGTTAAACGCGTTTTTCTATGTTGCGGAGGCAATGAAGACCTGTACGATATTACCCGTTTGGTAACCATAAATGGCAATATTGGAGTCACGCCCGGAAATATTGTGGCGCTTGAGTTGGATTACGAGAAATGTTAATATATCCATTTTATATATTTCTTTGAAATGTAACTACAGATTATATAGGTCCTGGTAGAATATAGAATATAAGTATCCTCACCGTCACACCAACGATTTGATATTAAAAATTTGTCTATTTTAGAAATTATGGATCTATTCAAACTTGTCATTTTGGGTCTAACCTTCTCGTCCATTGTTTTAGAATTTTTGGCCCGCCCATTTTATTAATTTTCAAAAAAAGATAATTATTAATAAATATAAACCCGCTCTGCTCATTTCGCCTGAAAAATACTCAATTTACTCGCCCGTCCCTTATTTTAAATTTTTATTAACCTGCCCGTTGCAGACTTACACCTGGCATCGCCTACTTCTGACTACATAATATGCCTGAGTATTGATCATTTATTTAAGTTATAATGTAATTCGTAAGATAACCAAAAAAATAAAATTTTTATCGTTTTTTGAAATACCCTGAATATGTCAAATCATACCTTAAGCGTTGACTTGATACTTGCCTGGGGGATACTTTTTTATAAAATAAATTCATAACTTTTTGTTAGGTAAACTTACAAAATTAGAATCAAATTATACTAATCAAATAATGGTATTATTCGGATTTAGTTTTAAGAATCAAATAATTTCACATATGTTAGGACGAATGATATCATTATTCAATTCGTCGAATATTCGATTTGTAATTTTTATTTTTATAATAATCAAAAAGAATAAAAACGGATTATTAAATTAAAAAAAAAAGATTAATAGATGTGGAGATAAAGTAAAAGAATTTTTTATTAATATTCAATTCTATATAATCCATTTTGGCCGGACACGTGAAGGTAGATCAAACGTAAGGCTCTAGTTTAAATAATATAATATCATAAATCAAATGACGTTATTTGATTCACAAAAATGATATTTTATATATGATTTTTTAAAGAAAAATAAATCTTATTAATATTAAAAAGATGATGGTGCTCTGAAAGGAATAATACCGAAATTCATGACATTATCATCTGATCCGAATTGTCCTCCTTTGATGGGCCTTTATTACTATGCTCAACCCTTGTTAGAAGTGGCCATTGAGCCTAAGAGAATTGGACAATTTGCGAATCTTCATAAAGGTTTATCTTATATTTTACACATATAATATATTAGCGATTATAATGAATTAGTTTGAGTTTTTTATATCCAAATCAATTTCATATCGGACTAAGCAAATCATGCGTTGGGCGGTGAAATCCTTTTTTAACCTTTTAAATTCTTTTTTAGATTATTTCTTTAAAAGATTTATGATTATATATTGGAATGAAACTAATTTTTAAAGCCCTCAGAATATTATGCAATTCTGACCCATCAGCCCGCTACCTTTTAGCCACCACTGGACAATTAGTATTGAAGGTGATGGGAGAAGTTCATTTAGAACACTGTTTATTGGAGTTATCCCAAATTTTATCTTGGCTCAATCCCGAGAACCCCCAAAATAAATCAGCGAATGATGGACTAAATTTCTTAAATACTAATAATCAAGATTTGGCCGAATTTTATTCTCAGTTTTCCGTGTCCGACCCGATCGTACCTTTTCGCGAAACCATAGTCGGATCTTACAAATTTAAACTATCTCACAACAAAGAGTGAGTACTTACGCCTCTTTTTTTTGAAAGTTAAAAAAAAATTTAAAGGTGCTCCTTTCTATACCAGCTAGTGCTCGGAAAAACAAAGAATTGAGTTTTTTTTTGTTTCTGATTTTAAAATACCCTTTTTGTTTTGGGATTATAAGTTTTATTTGGTTTTTTAGTATTAAAAAAGAGAGTGTTTCTTTGGTTTGTACCGAACCCTAACATCTGCAGGAATTTTTTTTAATCCTTACATTTTAAAATATATAATGTTACAGATCAATATCGGCTGAACACCACATAGCTACACTCACAAAATATGAGACCATTTTACGCGATTTGGGAATTTTGCTGCCCATTTTTTGTGAGGAAGGCAAAGAAGGGAGAAGTGAGGTCAATGGTCTAGTAGATTTTGCCGTTCAAGCTCTTCCCATCCCAGAATCTATCATGGAATGGATATCTCTTAATCGAACGTTCCTGAAACACTTGTTCAAAATCGTCGATAATGAAGTAATCGACTCCAACCAAATCGATTTCGGGGAAGCTCTTCGAAATTTTGCGGAAATATGTGAATCCCTTTGCCATTGCAATCGGGCTAAACTTACCCGCAAACTAAAATCTCGCACGAATTACGCTGATCGGGTTGCCAAAATAAATATGGACATGGTTAACGTCCCCGATTTAAGCGATCTGAAGGTGATTGATCTTGACAATAATAATAATTTTAACGAAGACGAGACTTCTTCCGTACATTCCACCTTTTCCAAAACATCTTCGGGACTTAACTTAATAGCGCATAAGGCGAATAACGGCAAAATGAGTTTCAAATCGACCACTGGAACGACCGAGGCTCCTCTCAAACTCTTTGAAACGCAATACCAAAAAAGCCCGTTTTGTTGGTGTCAAGTTACCCTTCCTTCTTACGATGCAGAAACTTGCGTAAACGATGTAAACGAAAAAAATATGGTCACAAAATTTAAAAACAATGTTAAGGAAAGTCTGGTATGGTCAATGGGCCTGGATATTTCTGCTCCTAACTTGTTGATTAACAACCTTCCTTTCTATATCCAAAGTGCCAAAATGGAGCTATCTAATCCTAAGAAAGATGGTTCCAATGACACTGGGCCAATATTATTGAGGAATATGGCCAGGAAAAACATAGACGGATGCGTTTTAGGCGCATTCAAGCAACTTTCTCAACGTGGACCTTTATGCGAGGAAGCGCTGAGTGGTGTTTGCTTCGTCCTCAACGATATTTACATTCGTTTAGACGCCGTTAAACGTCAGCAGAGTGACTTACATTTAGAAACATATTATCCTTATGTGTCGCTCGACGAATTAGCGCTCAGGACTTCTAAGGTAACTCTGTTATCACCAGTTCATCATACTACCAGTGATTTTAATAGTGATTTTTCTGCACAAACGGAACCGGTAGAGACTCAAGCTCTCAGATTCTGTCTCCAATCCATAATCAACAACACCTTTAACAATTGCGTTAGTTATAGAATCAACCATCAGGAAATAGAAATCGATCCTAAAGCTGATCAGCAAGATTCTAATATTGGTTCAGGAAATGGTGATGGAAAGAATAACAATGAAACTAGTGGACCCTTATTCCACCAGAGTAATTTTATTCGCCATGATATTAACGACCGTTTAGAAGGAGAAATCAACCCTGCTGAGAAAGATACTGATATTTATTCACCGGAAAGTAGTAATCCTTGGCTTAGTAAGAAAACGAGTGGACTTTTATCCGGCCAGATCTTATCCGAAACCAAGGAGCGATTTGTGAAAACATTTTTGCATTCATCTCCTCGTTTAGCGTTAGCCATGTATGCTTGCCAGGTTCAAACAAAAGTCGAGGCATTAGGTTTTTTAATTTTCTTTATAACTATTTTATTTTATGGGCCAACGGAAAGAGAGGAGAGCTAATTACCAGGATAATTTAAAAGAAAAGCATCTTGATAGAATTATTATATACAAATCAGATAATCATAGTTAATTGTTTGAACATTTACCTCTACATCAATAAATTAAACTTAAAATAATATCAGGTAAAATGTATAGTGTTCTTAACAAACGTTATGGAAGAGTTCTAGGCGAAGAATGCATCGAGGGGACTCAGCTATTCAATGTCAAAGCCTCGTTACCCGTGATAGAAAGTTTTGGGTTTAGCCAGGAGTTAAGAACTAAGACCAGTGGGCTGGCCAATCCTCAGCTAACGTTCTCTCACTGGGAAGTAACGCAATATTATATTAAACACCCCACATTAAAAAATATTCTTAACGAGAAAATTGAAATTGCCTTCAAGAACTCGGGTGTAACCCTTTTATTCTTTGATGTTTTTTATAATATATATTTTTTTAAATTAACATATTGTTGGGAATATGCTATTTGATAAGGCCAGGATTATAACATCCTTTTAATATAGAAACAAGTTGAAATGTCTTGAAAAGTATATCGACATCAGTCACTCACCATCATTACAGTGTTGGGGTAATATCCGACAATTTTAAAATTACAAATGATATTAATCCGAAATATGTTAATGTCAAAGTCAGTAAATAAGATCATATTACATAATATATTTGTCACTAGCGTTAATATAATTTTCAGTGGTGTATTACTTAAAAACTTGGCTGGGAGGACTACAATTTTTATTTATTTATTATCAAAAATATTTTATATATAATCGATTTTTTTATATTAGGTATGAATAAATTCTTTATATTATATTTTAAAAATAATGCAACAAATTTAATACCACCGATATCCATACAAATTAAAATATGTATAAATTTACTTCGATTTCTTTGGGCTGTATTTTTCTTTGAAAAGATTTCATCCACCAGCGAATATTCCTTTTCGATATTTTGATACATAGATCCGAATCCATTCCGATATCGAAGGTCTATTAATATTTATGAACATATAAGTATCCATACCATTAAGGAATTTTAAATGATTTTTATTAGGAATATCTTCATCAACATATTGCTAAGCCAATCATATTCATTTAATTTGAATCTTTGGCATATTCTTTTTATTTTTTTTTCGCCATATAGCGCATCTAGGTTTTCAGACCAATCTCTTTTATTTAATAATGTATATATCTGAAAGAATTTCAAAAATAAAAAAAATAATTTTATTAATATTTATTCAAGTTATTTTTTACCCTCTTTTTCAAAATTATTTATTAGACGGAACTGCGGGATACTTTCTAGAGAAATTATAAATTAATCTATTTTTAATCTTTCTAGTTTTGGGTTTTTAAAGTATATTTTTAGATTAGTAGAATTTCTAAATCGAGCGACATCTTTAAATATTTAATACATACAAACATTAAACATGGGGCTAAGAAAATTTGCCTCCAATTTTTAAATTGGTAAGGCAGTGGGCAGCCAAAGAGGGGAAAGGTAAAGTAAAAAAAATTAATATTTGTAGATTAAAGATAAAAATGACTGATAAAAATGTTTATTCTCATTCATTTACAGATAACATTTTAGTACAGTTTGAAGTTATACACGCTTGTGGCTAATATTTAGAATACGTAACAACCAGTTGAATATCATCAACTAATATCTTGTTATTCTTAGCCTAAATAATCACGAGGCCTGAAAGAATTTAATCAGAATTGTTTTGAGGTTATAAATAGTGGCTCATTATAAGATTTTTTAAATTAATATCATGAGGTTTTTAGACAATAATAGTGGGTAAATATCGCCACCTAAAGTCGCGCAAATTTTTTAGGGGAGTAGTAGATTTTGGAGGAGACTTCCTCCGATGAATTTTCTGTCATGTAGACGCTACCTACTTAATATTTTATGGTCAACATGTTCCTAATGTTTTATTTTTTTATATAACAGTCAATCAATAAAAAAATGATTAATTGGGAAAAGGGCATCGAAGAACCTGATAAAAAAATATCCCGATTTATTATTTCTTTCATAATAAATACAACATCCTACCTATTAGAAAATTTATATTTAAACATTTAAAAGATTTTGTTGAAATTGGACTATTTCTTGCCTGTAATGTTGTTAAATCGGCTAAATCGTAACTAGACAAAATTTACTAACTCTTATGGCAAGAGTATATTATTTTCAAGATATAGCTATCCTTTAAGTTTAACTTCGAGCTAGGCTAAGATGATAGTTTTCGCTTACAAATTTCGGTTAGCCTTTTTAGAGTTGGCTCAAAAACTATTAAAAATGGATCTATTTATCACCAATACTTGTTGAAGGTGAAACTCACTTTATACTTTAATAAAAATAATGAAAACTATAAAAAAAAATTTACAACATAAAAATTAATTTTTATAATAATGCAAAAAGGAATTCTAATTTATCACTTTTGAAAGGGTGGATGGACGATCCTCCTCAAAATCTGGAAAGGGGGTTAAAAAATAGCGGAGGGGGGGCCTTCTCTCGCACTACACCCCTTATAATTTTGTACTTTCTCTTATATACTATATAAAGTGAAAATTTCAAACTTAAAAAAAATAAAATAATCCAATATAAATTTTTTGAAATATATCACAAAAATATAAAATCGATTTTTTTAATTTATAAACAACTATATTATTCCCACTCAATGCATACAAAAAAACCTAACACCTCCCCTTCTCCTAGAGGCCAAATTTACCCATAAATATTAAAAAAAAACTAATGCATAAATATCTGATATACAATTGAACGTAATATACATATTTTTTTATTTAATTAAAATAATTTTTTTTAAAAAAACCTCCATAAAATTTACGCGCTGGTTTATTGATAATCATATCCTCCAGTTCGTTTTGACTCTTATTGTCCGTTAAATATCCTCCTTGGGTATAATGCCCCAACTGCCATTTTGAAAACAACGCATCGCTTCTTGTCTCCTCGGAACTATTCTCGAATTTGTAACTTGCTGTTCCTGTTGCGGCACCACATTGCCTCCATCTCTTGTCATCATCATCATTTTTCCTCTTGATACCGGACGAGCAACTGCCATGATTCTCCGGGACGGTTCATTCTGTTACCATCTGTTATGCCCATTTGTCATCCATGATGGTGATTGAATTATTCCTCTCGGACATTCTACTAACTTGTGACCAGTCCTCCGCATGTAAAGCAGGATAAATTAAGTCCTCTATATTTTTATATTAATTCCCTTTATCATCCCAAGGTTTTTTCCGTATAACATAATTTTATCAAAGCCAATTCCTTGTCTTTCAAAGTACATTCTTGTAGTAGGACTACCCTTTAAACCCCACGTTATGCACGAACCAATGCTTCTTCACCAGATTTATCATCCACCATAATATAATTAATTATCTCTTCACCAACTCCTATTCTCGATAAAATGTCAGGTGAATGATTTTCTTTTCTCTCCCTATACTTTAATTCCAAATCAAAACAACCCACTAACAATAAGCTGAAGTCATGGTGACATCATTAATTTTTTATTATCTTTTTTAAACAAATGAATGAGAGATTGGTGATCAATTTATAACTTAAATTTCCTATCAATCAAATATTCTCTACATTTTGTCAATCCAAATATAATCACCAAAGCCTGTTCTATCACTGAATATATCGTTTCCACCTCCTATACTATCGAAAAAAATATCAATGGTTTTTCCATTCTTTCTATCCAATGTAATAGAGCTCCTCCCACTCCTTTGTTGGATGCAGCTACTGCTAAAATTACCTCCAAATCGGTTCTTTACTAATTTCTAATCTAAAGTTTTCAAATAATATTCTTGAGCATCTTTTCATTCAAATTGAACATTTTTCTTCAATAATTCATATAAAAAGCGCAACGGACGAGGAGATTCAAAACGAACTGGAGGAGATTATTATCAATGAACCAGCATAATTTTTATGCAGAAGGTGTTTTTTTTAAAATATATTTTATCAGATATTTATACATTAGTTTTTTTTTATATTTATGGGTGAATTTGGCCTCTGGGAGAAGGGGAGGTGTTGTAGTAGGTTTTTTTTGTATACATTGAGTGGGAATAATATAGTTGTTTTTATAAATTTAAAAAATTTCGATTTAAATTTTTGTTTGATATATTTATTATTATTATTTTTGTAAATTCGCGATATATATTTTTTTTGTGAAATATTTGGTTCGAAAACAAAATAAAATATAAGAAAATATTGTGTATAATTCTGTCCAGCGTCCAATTCTATTTAAGTAAGCATTTTAGAAAGTATCTTAGTCAATATCAAGGAAGTTGATAATATTCTTTTATTTTATTTTCGAACCAAATTTTTCACAAAAACAAATATATATCGCGATTTCTTTTTAATTTTTAAATATATCAAACAAAAATATAAAATCAATTATTTATTTATTTATAAACAACTATATTATTCCCACTCAATACATACAAAAAAATCTACTACAACAATTATCTCATTTGAAAAATAATGGTGTAGATTCCTCACTTCAACACTGATGTGGCATACTATAATTCTTTAGCTTATAAAGTTTAACATTTGATATAATTAAGCATATTTTTATTTATTCTTAAATTTATAAAAGTTATTGGATGAAGATCCTTTATCCGCTTTGGTACAAACCAATTTATCGGATAATGACCACAAAGGTTCCCAATATAAAAGTTCTCATAAGAGTGCAAAATGTTCACTAGAATTGGAAGCGAATAAAGAGGATGACGAAACAACTCCCGTCAATAATAGAGCCCAAAATTATCTGTACGGAATTCGTAGAAGGAAAGGGCTAACCATCAAGGAAAAGTTGGTTGAAAAGGCCGAAAAGCAACGTACACTCAAGAAAAACAAATGAGAAATAAATTTATAATATAACAATGAAGTTCTGTTGCGAATCTTATCTTCCAGAGAGAGATTTGAGTCATGTTATAATGTTGCCGCTTTTTGTATTCCATTAAAATTATTGTTTGATTGAATGAATATTATAGGTTTTCTATTTATCTTTTTTTTGTACAATATGTGTTTAGAAAATAAAAACCGGTGTTATATTTGTATTATGGATTAAATGATTTTTTTAAAAAAATACTCCCATTATGAATTAATATGAGCTCAGTTTTTTTCTCCATATTAATTTAAAGTTTATGGCAAATGCATAACATTTTAATTTAAGTATTTTTTTAAACAAAACTTTAGTTTTATTTTCAAATATGAAATGCAAAAATAAAATTTAAACGGTTAAAAATTTCAATGCATCCAAAATTTTAAGAAAAATTAAATCAAAATTTATTAAAAAGTTATAAATTTTTTTCAAAATTAAAATATCTGTTGATTTAATAAGTAGTCTATCCACTTTTTATAAAAATTGATTTTTCTCAATAAATCAGTTCTTCAATTATATTGTTCCATGTCTTAATTTGCTTCATAATAGTATAGTATTATACTATTACATATCCTATAAAACCAATAATGATTACAAATGTCCAGTAATGTGATTTCTAAAATGCGGCTTTTTCAAAAAAAAATTATTATAATTTTATAACTAAAATATACCATATTCATTTTAAACTTGAATATTTTTCTTATCTTTAAAAGAAACTACTATTTATAATGCAATTTTTTGGATATGCTTCACTTTATTTATTGAAAATAAAATTAATATTTTATTTTATTTCCATTTTTTTGGTAATAAAAACAAATTTTCTGGGAATACTATTTTAGTGCAAGCTAAGATAAGTTTCTTAAATATCATTTCATACATTATCAATTTGGAAATAAAAATTTATACGTCTATGTTAGCTGAAAATAGACTATGTAAATATTTAAAAATTCTCTCCTGAACAATTATAAAAAATGGATATGGAACACTATAATCCTTAGCCAAAGATATTTAAATTCAGGTTAGCATTCACACTGAGCAAATTGTGCAACAGTCCTTATCATATATGGTAATATATGAGGTGACGATTAGTAAAGTAGAAAAACAATGAAACAGGCAAGAAATAAATTATGATGTCATACATTCATTTAATTTTTTTTCGATATAATTTTCATACATTTATTTCTTACTTTGTTATTATTGTGGTTGTAAAAATTGGAATAAAAACGTTTTCTCAAATTTAAAAATCTTCTTCAAAAAATATTACAACGGTGGAATATGATTCTTCTTACTGACATCCCATTTCGAATTGAACTATGGCAATGTTAAGGTTCGTGTAACAAGAAATAAGAAGAGAACCTTTCATATTGATTGTTTAAAAACTAGAAGGTTCGTGTAACAAGAAATAAAAAGAGAGCCTTTCATATTGATTGTTTAAAAACGAGTGTTGTAAAATGGTCAGTTTTTTCTACCCTGACTCCCCCCTAATTGGCAAAATTTGCTAGGGCGGGTCATTATTAGATAGGGTTTTCTCCCATCAATTTTTATTGGGGAGACTTTAGATTCACATAATGCAGGGCTTTGGCTATGTTAAATTTTTATAAAAATAATTTTAGTTTTTCACTTTTTTAAATTTTTCTTTCAAATTTGTTTATAGTGATATATTATATTTGGGCGAATGGGGGATGTGTAGGGTGAAATTTTTTATTAGCTTAAAACGAACGGACAATATTCCGAAAGCGGATTTCCCTTGCCTTATCTCCACCCGCTACGTCTATACGCCTTAAGCTAGAGTCGAAAAACAACCACCCATCGAGTTACCAATAACCAATTCCTAACAACCACAACCCAATTAGTCGGATGAGCCAACCTATCGGGCTGCCAATATACCTGCTAATGTCAAAAATTTTAAATAAATAAAGTAATAATTATACAAAATTTAAAATATATAAAAAATATTTATTTTATAATTTGGATATCGTATTGAGATTTGAAATCTCAATTTTAAATTATTTAGTGAGAGGTATTTTAAAATGTTAAAATGGGATTTAACTGGAAATATGTTTCAGATTTTAAGTAAAATTTATTTCTACTAAAATTACTAGTATGTTTTCAAAATAATTCACCCTTTAATTCATACAATTCTATCTTAAATTCTCTCCTGCGAAAAAACTTTCAAATTATCAATTAATATATTAACTGAATCGTTCCATAGTTTAAAAATTTCACACAAATAATAGTAAAATTTATAGCTTTACAAACCCATATTTATTCTGGCGAAATTTTAAAAATAAATTATTAATGCTCTTACCTATTATTTAAAAATGTCTAAATTTATCGATAAAATTCTTAATATTTATTTCGTAACAATAAAATTTTTCAACATTTCTAAATTTCCAAATACAATTATTTATGTTATCTCTGTAACAATTAAATATTTCTATACAAAATACCCCTTTATGCTCATTTGAAATCTATATATCTTGAGAAATTTATAAATTTACATTTATTCATTCATACTGAAAGCAATATTGAAATATTATATGAAATTTATTAAACAGTCAAAACCGGATAATTTAGAAAAAATTTATTTTTTCGCAATTATAAGATCAAATATAATTTTTTATTAATATGAGCCAACTTAGCTTTATTTTTAATAATATATTATTATATACATTTTAAGCATTAAAGCTATCAAATTTGACATCTTTAATGTATACATATTATGTTTATTAAAATAAATTCAAAATTATTAAAAACATTTTTTTCCAATTTGTGTCTAATCTGGATATTACCATTTGTTTTTTTTAAATTTTTTTTAAATAACAGAACTAATACATCACCACTTTCATACTTCTACCTCACTTTGTTAGCTGGCTACATAGTGGTACCGTCCACTATAATAAAACGGGTAGGCATCATGTATGCGATCGATATACTAGTGAAAATAGGTTAATGATGCTTACTACCAAGTGAATGTATGGAAATATTCTAAATACCAACCTAATTTGCTAAATACTGACCAAAATTTATTAAAATGTAATAAGATCCTTATTATTTAATATATTAATACGGAATCACGTGGTCGAGTCCGGCCTCCTATATATTATCCCCCCAAGGATGGAACCACCAAGTTAGAATAAGAAAAAAAACATGATCATTCCCGGGATTCGAACCCGGGAGCATGGGATAAATAAACCAAGCTGTTGCCTACTAGGCCATAGAAGCTTTCTAAAAATCACGATTTTTCAAATATATATTATAAATATATTTGATAGTGCCTATCCAAATGAAAAATGAACAAAATTCAAATTTGATAGATGGTACCTTAAGGTACCAAGCATCATTAACCGTGAAAATACATGATGCACGCGTCAACTCCTGGTGGGTGATGAAATTGCACTTCATGCAATTTACGTGATACGTGATATATAGCGCTTATGCCCCCTAGTGTTGAAATGCAACAGAGCTACGCTAGGTTTTCCTCATTTCCATCTTATTGGAACTAATTTAATTTGGGTATAAAAGTCAAAATATGAGGAGCCCTCCACACGTTTGTGAGCAAGCCGCACGTACTTGTAAGCGCAACATTTCAAAAAACATTACTTAAACCTCTATAGCCTTATTTGAAAGGGAGTGGGACAAAAAAAGAGCCTATACCCTAGAACTACAGTGAAAGTTAATTACTTTATGGTGGGTTGAGGACAATTTTAAATTAAAAATCTTTACTATATTAGAACAATTTTTAGTAAGGAAATTCAAAAGAAAACTTATAAGAGGATTTAAATGTTTGTTGATATTGGAAATATTTGATAATAATGAGTTTAAATTTTTGAAATTTATTACGATAGGAAATATAAGATAGGGATTATTAGATAATGATAGTGAACATTGAATTCTGAGATGTATTTTATTCTTATTAGAGGTAACTTTTCTTGATGCGAAACAGCTTTTTAATGGATCTTTTATTGTTATTTAGTTTAATGAATTGTTTCTCACGTTTAAGTCCATTATATTTTTTAATGTTTTATAATACCATAATGTTTTGTATTTTGTGTATTGTTTTCCATTGTATGAGTACAGCCATGTTATGGCATCATGGACTAAGTTATTATCTGAATTTCTTATTATGTGGCCAAAGAACTGAATCCATCGTTTTTTAAGAGTAATATTTATTGGTGTGTGAGTTGACTTCCTCCAAAGATTTGAGTTTGAGACTTTGAGATAACTCTTGGATAGAAAATACCGTGTATAGTGCGAAGACAATTATTTATAAAAGATTGAAGACGCCTTATCTCTGTTTTATTTGCCTCCCAGATATCCCCACCATATAATACAATTGGAACTATCAACGAGTTGAATATCCTCAATCTAGTAAATACTGAGATTTGTCTAGCTTTCCATATTTTCCTATATCTATAGAACGCACCTCTAGCTTTTTGTATTCTCATCTTTACAACTTCCTTTATTATCTAAGATTACACCTAAGTATTTTATTTTCTCTACGATTTTTACTGTATTCTCTCCAACTGTAAAATTTTGAATTGAAGGCGTGTTTGGGGAGGGAAGAATAACAGTTTTGTTAAAGTTGATCCTAAGTCCAACTCTATAGCTCACAGTCTCAATTAGATAAAGTAGATTCTTGGTTTCTTCAATACTTTTCGAGATTACTGCAATATCATCCGCTACATTATCCTATTTACAAAAAAATCTTCTCATTTGATCCTATATCAACTAGATCAGCAGCTCCCAGTACTTCTTTTATTATTTTAATGATTATTATGTTAAAAAGGAGAGGTGAGAGGGTGCAGCCTTGTTTTACACCTTTTTTTATCCTGAAGAAGGGAGAGATTTTATCATTAATTTTGAAACAAGCAAATAAATTTGAATAGTGATTTTTTAAGATTCGAATTATTTGGGTTTCAATATGGCATTCTGCTAGCGTTTCCCAAAGAGCTACATGGTTAAAGTTGTCAAATGCTCTGCTAAAATCAATGAATGTGTAGAATAAGGGTATCTTGTATTTATGACACTTCTGCATTACTGGCATGATAATGAATGAATGAATGATATTTGATAATCCAAAATATATAAGAAGATTTCTTTCCAAATTTTAAATAATCAATATTTTTAGAGAAACATTTAATAAATATATAAGAAAGAAAAATATTGTTTGTCTTACACCTTTACAATGTTAGGTATATTTACATCTTTACAACACTAGATTCTTATAAATAATTATAACAAAATTTGATATAGAAAGGTACATAACTTAAAAGTTGTAACAAGAAATAATATCTACACCTAATTTAAAACATATTAAGATAATCCTTTAATTTATGTAAGTACATCCTACTAATGCTAAATAAATCAAATGAGTGAATAGTAGATAATTTATTTTACTCATTAAGAAATGTTTTTAATTACTTATTTGAAAAAGCTATTTAATATTTAATTTATGAATTGCTAAATTAAAATTACACATATGATACTTTATTTTTCCTTAATTTATGTAAGTGGACCCTGCAAAATATATCAGAATCAATCAATGATAAATAAATCAAATGAGTAAATTGTAGATAATCCACCAATTTTACTCACTGAGAAATATTTTTAATTTCTTATGTGATAGCTTTTTAAAATTTATTTATGAATTGCAAAATTTTAATTACACACATTATATTTTAATTGTGTTATATTTCAGATCTGTTTTTATCACTTTTTTTGAATTGTGTTTTCGAGATCTCTTTTTTTTCATATTACTTATTTTTGATATTTCTTACATGCTTCTTTTACATTTTCCTCCCACAACAACTATCTTATAAACGTTCTTATAATACATTGTTATTATTTTTCACACGGCCAGTAGCCCCTAGAGACTGATCAAAACCAGATTAACGCGAGAACATAAGATTGTTTCGATCAAAAATAAAATATATATAGCGAGGATAAGATTACGAATTTTTTTTATGGAATATGTAATAAATACAAATATCTCTTCATTCTTTATCTTTTAGAATTTCCTTTATATTCCAAAAATAGTGCATGCCTTTTGTTCTGCTCCGCTTTTTAAATTCCTTGACATGTATTAGATTTGTACCTTAAAGTTAAAATCTCTCTTAATCAATACTTAACCTTAAATTCTTGCCCAGTTGCTGTATGAAGCCGCTCTCTCGTGCAAATTTGGGGTTAGATGCTTCCCCTGCCTCATTGAGTATTGCAACTTTTCTCTCATCATACACCAAGAGTCAAAATAATTACTAACATTATTACCACCTCTCTGGATCCCCATCAGAGATTGGCACTAGACCTATGGAAGTCGAACGCCCCAAATGCTCCCTTACCTTTATCCTCCATTACATTTTTTAATATATATCATTATTTATGTATTTTATTTTTATATAACTTGCATCTTTTATTATGTAATCGTTTTAAAATCGAATTTAAAAAAAAAATTTAAAAAAAAAATTGGCCTAGTAAAAGGACTTGATTTGAATATTAAATAGTGATTTTTACGATTATTTTGTTATTTCAATAAAAATCCACGGGTAGCGCCATGTTGTGGTACAAACCTCTCCTTGCTAATAATTACCCAAATTAACCATATATTTACCCCACCACTTTTAAATAACGTGAATAATGTCCAATTCTGGGAAAAACCATGGGTTGCATCATAGTGCGGCTTAGGCTGCCATGAGTTAAACCCCCTTTTTCTTTCTTTTACCATTTTATGAATTCAACATTGATTAATGTCAAAGCGCCCTCACGAAAGTCTGGTTGCCAAGTCCTCGCCCTTGAAAATCTCGATGGAACAATCTTGATCGAACCTTTCTCCACCTCAGTGCTCTGGAAGCCTGAAAAAACGGCCTCAAACATTTTAATAATGTTCTTGACTTTAAAAAATTATTTTTTTGTCTCAGAAATTTTAAAAATAAACTGTGAAATACATTTTCGAAAAGGTACCAACACTAACTTAACAAAACTTGTAAAAGAAATCAAAAGTTTTCAACCTAAAGCTGGCTTTAACCAGATTTGTATATTTGGTAAAAATATTAGCCACGATCTGTTTGTGTTAGGTTCAAGGCAAAATAATTTAATTGAACTCGATGCAGGTTCTGTTTGAATTTGGGTTTGATTCCGGGTTTAGCTTGGGAACAAAATTATGAATATAAATCAGATAAATTACAATTCCTTTATTTAAGATAAAAACAAGTTTGAAAATTTTACTAGTTGAATTTTTTTTAGTAATTTATTATGTTGCTCTCCACATAATTATTTAAAAAAATATCATATGTCTATGACATAAAAAATAAAATATAATGAAATTTTAAGATTTAAAATAATTAAGTAAAAATAAATAATGATTATTTGCACTGAAAAGGTTAAAGAAAATATTGGTAGACTATATTTAAAATGAAAGTAGCATTGTAAACTTTGTAACAAAACACTGATACATATTTTCCTTGAATATTTTAGAATTTCTTCTACGTACCGATGACATGACATCATGAATGACGTATGATGATATCAGAAAATTATAATATATATCTTTATTTATGTTATATAGAGATAACGGTGGTGAAAGATAACAGTGGTAATTTTTTATTTATAACAAATTTATTCCAAAACTAAAAAATGATACTAAAAATAAATATAAAATAAGACATATATATGTATGTATTATAAAAAAACAATTTAAACGAAATTTATAGTTAAAGGTTATAAAAACAATTGAAGTTAAAATAAAAATCTCGATTAACAATTTAATAATAATGCTTAGATAGATTTTATAGTTAGATATATCTAAATTTTTATTAAATTTAATTTGCAATTTTGACGATTTGAAAAATATTATATAAAACAGCTGATAAAACTCTATTCTCCAGTTAACCTGATTAATGTTGTAATGTGTTCTAAATTTATCATACATTCATTTTATTTAACTCATTTGGATTTATTTTGGATCCATGACGGATAAGTTCTATACTTATAAAGAGAGTTCAATTAAAATTGAACCAGAGACTTATGAACATGATAATTTATCACAAGCTAGTAATTCTCTTTCATCATTTGATCCTGATATTCAGCATTTGCTAGATAATTCCTCACAGTCAGAGTATAAATATTTATATTTATTTATATATTTGCGCTATTATTAGATATTTATTTAAAGAAACCTATATATTTTATAATGTTCTTTTTAAATAAATCGATTTCATTGTTATAATTATAATGGTTATATTCATGTCTCATTTTAATATTTTCTTAAAATTAGAAGTAGCCTGCATAATAAAGTCTGCAGTTTTTGCTATCTAGGAGAAAACAGTTGGTTGGGACAAGGAAACCTTTTAAAATTTGAAAAATCTAATGATGATTTTGATGTTTCTAAAATGGATATTAAATATAAGATGGAAGATAATATTAATAATTCAAATTTATCTCAAATATCGACTAATCAAATCCTCAAATATTCCAGTGAATCTAGTGGATCAGTAATATCTGTTGGTAATTCTCAGCAAATTTTAATGTCATCTATTAGAAAATCGAAAGGAACAAATAGGTTTATTTTATTTTAGAAAATTATTTAAAATTATCCTTGACTCTTATTCCAAATAATGTAAATATTTTATAGAAATAACCCTAAATGCAAAAGAAAAAATAATTTTTCTCAAAATGTCCCTGGTTTAGATGAATTGAATGCAACAGGGTTTCCTATATTTACTGAAATATCCGTTTTGTTTGATAGCTCAGGTAAATATTATCGATATTTTTACCTATGCTAATTACTCTAAAATGTTATAATAAATAAAATAAAATATATATTCTTAAATTTATCGTATATTATAATATCCATATTATATCATAAAAAAATATAAAGGAGCAACCTGGGCACATGAACTTTGTATAGTATGGTCAGAGGGTATTATACTAGACTCATCTTATAATCCTGTCAATGTAGATAAAATTGTTATCAAATCCATGACCCAAGTTTATGATAATGAATTTAAACATTTTCTTTAATTAGTGATTTTAATTGATAGAAAAATATTCATTTTTTGAGAGGTTTACAGCATACAAAATTAAAAAATAATTTAAAATATTTAGATCTTTACTATATAATGGGACCTTTTTTATCAACTACATAGCTATTCATCAAAATATATTACAAAGAAGATAGTTAAAAAATTGCTTATTCTTTAAATTTTTTAAAATGAGTAATCAAAAGAGTATGTTTACAAACATAACAGTTAAATTTAATTAATTAATCCAATTAACAAGTCGGTGTTATTAAACAGCTCGTATAAGCCATTTAGCATGAGTAGAGTTAGATTGAGAAGAATAATAATTAAATAGAATTATTTGGATAATAGTTAAACCAAAGATGGTTAACTTACCAAATTTAAAATCTAAAATTGTTTAGCAATGTTATCTATGCAAAAATTATGGGGCCAGTTTACCTTGCCAAGTCCATGGTTGCAGCAAAAAATTTCATTTTCCTTGTGGAACTAGCTTTGGAACAATCTTGGACATACATAATAATCGTCTCCTTTGTCGTGATCATACACCCTTATCTGTTTTAGAAGGTAAAATTTTATACCATTATTGCTAACATTATAGTAATGGATATTTGCATTTTCTTAAGTTTAAATTCACATTTTTCTCAATTAATGTAAGACCTTTATTGGTATTTTCATAAAATACTCAATTATTAATACAAAGGCAACATTGTTTGTTTAACTTCCAGATACTAAATAGGTGAATACTAGATTAGATGTTACCCCATTACTTGAATATTCAATTTATTTGCAATATACTACATAATTTTTAATTATCTATATATTGTATATTATAGTTTAATTTTATTTTTTGAAATTGATAGAAATGTATTTTTTTGTATTGAATGTACAAAATTCACTGCACCTGACAGTCCAGGGTTCAAACAATTGGAATTGATTTGTTGAGAATTTTGTACACACAAAACAGATCCATTTTTTGACAACCATTCAAATTAGAGGTGGGCACGGGCCTGATTTTTTACAGCCCGCCCGCTCATGGTGGCAATAAAAAAAATTCACGCCCATTCACGCTTACCACTAAAAAATTTTCGACCCAACCAGCTTGCTCACGACAAATTTTGATTCACGCCCGTCACGCCCGAAAATTTACTGTGTTTTTAAATTTTTCCAAACTATTGCTATAATTACTTTTGAATTCATTCTATTTATTTCTCTAATTTCATAATCCATATTAATAACAAAAATAAATACAATCTATAAATTGAAATTTATTTAGAAAAAGAAGAATGTCCATCTTTTTTTATTTCAATTGTGTACGCCTTTCCTCTTATAAGAGATTGGCTACAGAAAATAACCTTTCACTAGAAGTCAAAATTGCAGCTGACAAAACTTTACTCGATTTCTCAAAAAAGGAAATGAATATCCCTGCTTCCAAAACTTCAAAATATTGTCTTGTTATTTATCTTATATGAATTTTTTAAGTTCATCCTCACAGCTTTCATCGATGATGTTGATGCTTCATCAGAACCATCTAGAAATTCTCTAAATTTTTTATTTAGAATATACGGTCTTTTATGAGTGTAGGATGAATTAGGAAAGTGATAGTTGGTATTGACCATTTAGAATATACGGTTTTTTTGAGTTTAGGATAAGGAAAGTTATAAATGATAGTTGGCATTGACTTATGCATATCATCTAATTCATTTTTAAGATTGTTTTATATATATCATTTTCTTCTTTTATTAAAAACTTAAGCCTTTTGAAATTCGGATCTAGAATTAAGCCTACCTTATGTAGTGGCTGCATAATAATCTTTTAAAAGAAATCTTGTTCTGTATTTTAAGGTTTTGATTATTATTGTATCACGTTCAGAAGGTTAACAAAATTTTATTAATTTTTGTTTCCATAGACAAACTTCATTTATTGTGGGACGAAAATCTGCTCTCAGATTATCCGAGCATTCTTTAAATATTGATAAAAATTTATCTAACTCGCGTATGATGCTGATAACAATTGTGGCTTCTATTTAATTCTTGCTTGCTAAACATTTTAAGAAACTCTGCATCATGATATATACAGAGTTCCATCTCATTATTCTCGCTATTACATCTTGTTTAAGGGTGTGGCTTAGTTTGCTATGCTATTACATCTTGTTTAAGGGTGTGGCTTAGTTTGCTATTAGCTGTAGATTGTTTGAAATAATGTACTATTTTTTTTACACCATTTATATTTATGGCTATTTCAGTTAAACAATTGTCAAAAATATAATGCATAATATTATTTAGTATATGGCATATACATGCAAGCATGAATCCACTTATAAGATTTGCTCCAATATCACTCACAACACATTTATTTAAGTATTTTCTACTTCTGTATATTCTCCTAAAATTGAATTGATTACACTTTTATTTTGACGTTTTTTTCATCCATTGCCCTTGTGGCCAAAACAAATGTTTTTAATTTAAAATCCTTAATGATAATATGTCTTATAATGGTTAAAAAACTTAGATTTTTATAGTCATCCGTCCAAATATCAGTGATTATGGACAAGTAACTATTATTGATCATGCTTTTAATTTTAAATTTTATTTCATGGTATATTTTTGAACCTATAGTATTCATGAGAGTTTTCCTGACAACTTTTATATTTTGTTATCCATATGTAACACCAACATTTATCTCTTGGCCTAGCTTGTAAAATCCTTCACTTTCTGTTGCATTTAAAGATTGAAGATCTTTATAAATAAAATATAACTGACTTTTCTGTAAAAAGTTTAAGCAAAATTTAGCATAAAGTCTCACGACAAAAAACACCTAAACATAAAAAGAAAATAGAACTAACTAAATGAGACTGGATGTTGTTTATAAAATGCGGAATGTTTTTAGTTTTCATAAATTATTCTTTTTTAAAAAAGAACTAAATTAAATAAGAAATAATATAATATAATTATAAAATTGCAAATTTATATTTATAAAAAAACAATTTAAAAAATTTAAATTTCCGTGATTCACGAGAAATTTATGTTCACGCCCGATCACGCCCGGGGAAAATTTTGGGAAGGCCCGTCACGCCCAGTCACGCATTGGAATTCAAAAATATTCATACTCACGCCGTGACCCACCGTGACACGATGGGTCACGCCTAATTTCACGGCCCGCGCCCACCTCTAATTCAAATCCAGCTTATTTTGGGATTTAACCGGGTTCTAATCCACTTTGAAAAATTGGTGATATTAAAATATCAGTTCCATAACAAAACAATATCTAATTTTTAAATCCAAAACAAAAATAAAAGATTCATAAATTTATTTTTTAAAGTTCTTAGATTCTTAAACATCTAAACTAAGAAAAAGTTTATCAGGGGGAATATTTATAAAATTTTCAAAAATTAAATATAAATGATATTATTCATTTTATTTTTATTATAAATAGAAATTTTAAACTACATTTTTCAAAGAAGAACCCCCCCCCCCTTCTTTTAAATAAATGGATTTTTTATATAACAATTTGAAATTGTTTGCTGTACCAACCATGCATACATCACAAATACATCGATTTCTATATAAGATGATGCCTCGATATGTAAACTATGCCAGAACCATATTACTAATCTTTCCCATTTACTGACTTGCCTCAACTGTGGAAGCCATTGCCATAGCACATGCGTCAAATCTGGTCATAAAAAAGTCGCTAACGATGCCAGAACAAGTTTTTTTTAATTCAAGAAATATAGTGATTATATATTTAATTTTTAAAAGGTACATTTACCACTTTTTATGTAAACTTACAAATATATTTCAACTCTATAAATGATATAAGACCATTTTAATCTTATTCTAAAAATTTTTTAAATTGTGATTACCAGAGGAAGAAGTAATATGATTTAATTTGGGGTAGGCTCAAAATTTTTAAAAAATCAGAAATCCTATTGGGCCAATTTTTTAGAAAATAAATTAAATTATATCAATTAATCAGTAGAAAAATTTGTAATATTCGTTTACTGCTCATATTTCCAATTTCCATTAGAAATAATTTGAAAAATATCCCAAATTATTCAAAATTACAAAAATTTTAAAAAATCCAGGCCAGGTTAGGCTTGAAAATGGGAAAAAAATTTAAATTCTTGGTCGATTGTAAAATTTTAATTCTCTACAAGTTATGTTGATAATTACTAAAGTTTATGTTAACATAAATTGATCTTTTATAGCATTTCAAATTTAATTAAAATTAAAACTCATCATTTTATAGCAAACAATATGGTTGCCTCGATAGAAAATAGCGCCGATAATGAAGGAATTCTTGTTTTAAAGCCCCACTTCAAGGCCGGATGGAGATGCACCGATTGCAAAACTTGCCAGATTTGCAAGTAAATAAATTATTTAATTAATTTATATCAGCCTTACCCCATCACTTTTGGTATTTAAGGAGAAATGCCCACCAATATGTATCACTTTAGATATTCTGTAATCCAATTCGTTTATCGTTCTTAGCTAAGTGATTTTATAAGGAAAAACGCTCTTATACAAAACATATAATGACCATTTAGGGTTCCAAATTGGAATGAACTCCAATTTCGGAGCTAACCTTTATAATTTCCCGAACAATGATCGAACCTTTGCAAAAATCTATAAATAACGACCTTAAGCAACATAAATATTTGTAAACCGGTTTATAGCGGTTTCTATTTTAGAATTTAGTGGCTTTTTTTAAAAAAATTTTTTGTTATTTTCCTTAAAAAAAATATTTATCCTACTTTTGCTTTTTTATTGAATATGTAGTATTAATTATAGGTTTGTATATTATATAACTATCGTCTAGTGTTGTTAAAAAATCGAGTTCATCCGATTACGACTCCGAGTCGAAGTCGCAATAACTAGACTCAAAACTCAAGTCGAGTTTTGAGTCGATTAGTCGACTCATTTTTACGACTCGAGTTCCGAACTTGAGTTTTTATCTTGAGTCATGAACTTGAGTTTTAATCTTGAGTCATGAACTTGAGTTTTGATCTTGAGTCATGAACTCGAGTTATGAACTTGAGTCGTGAACTAGTCATAAACTTGAGTCGTGAACTCAACAGGTTATCTTAAATTTTATGAAACTTGATTACTTATATTAGTATTGTTAATTGGTTGGTTGTGTAATACCCAGACCTGGCGCTTGGCTCTAAAATTAGACTAAATCTGCTATGAGCACGAGGCCCATGTATCTTAAGTTATTTCTTATTGAACTTATTAGTTAAATATATGGTTATTTATTACAGATAAATCGATAGATAATTAAAAGACCTATTGAATGTGCAACAGTTCAAGCGCCACTTTTTGAGTGAAGCTATTTCGACGTAAACGGAAATTTTAATAACATGAATAGAAAAAATAATTCCTAAAATTATATTTTGAATAAAGAGGTTGCTCGTAGCATAAACTCCTTCCTACAAAAATTTATTTTATTTTTATACTGTAATTATAAAATTTAACTCATATGATTTATAAAGATTTAAATAAATAAAATAAAAATAATTTCAAAGCGAAGTTGAAAAAATAAAATAAATAAAACAATGAATTAGATGCAAAAAAATTTAAAAAATCGCCCACTCCTTAATTAGGTGCCAGATAGGCGATTTGGTTTTTTTATTTTATTATAAAATTAATTTCTTTTTTTTTATTTAAGATTTTTTGAAATATTAAATAATTTTTTATAAAAAAATGTATAATATTGCCTACAAATTTTTAAAGGAGATGGAAATGGAAGTTAAATTTAGGGGAAATGTTATTAGCCTCTTTATTTCCAAACAGGATTAATTTTAGGAATTGATTTTTTCCATTCATGTTATCAAAATTTCCGTTAAAAAGAATTTAAAAATCTTAAAACTTAATTTGGTAATCTAGCAGATATTTTTCTCTTAATATTGTACAAAGTTAAAAATAAAATGTTAAGATCCAGACATGCCCATTAAGTGCAATGATAAAAAATATTTTCACGAACAAATATGAGTAACCATATTTATTTTTTATTCCCGTTCAAATTAATATATACCATATAAAGGTAGTTAAAACTATATTTATTTGATACCCATCCATTATCATATCAATATTTGATTTTGATAAAATTATTCCTGACCTACGTAGAAATAACTTCACTCATTGAGAAGTGGCGCTTGACTTTTTGCCTATTCAATAGGTATTTTAATTATCAATCGATTTATCTCTAATAACCATATATTTATATACTATAATAAGTTCAATAAGAAATAACTTAAATTAAAATATATGGGCCTGAACCACGGATCTGTGATCGGGGTTCGTGCTCATAGCAGATTTTTAGAGCCAACCAACCAATTAACAACACTATATAAGTAATCAAGTTTCATAAAATTTAAGATAACCTGTTGAGTTCACGATTCAAATTCATAACTCGAGTTCACGACTCGAGTTCGTAACTCGAGTTCACCATAACTTGAGTTCACGACTCAAGTTTATGACTAGTTCACGACTCAAGTTTAGTCTGGATCTTAATATTTTATTTTTAACTTTGTACAATATTAAGAGAAAAATATCTGCTAGATTATTAAATTAAGTTTTAAGATTTTTAAATTCTTTTTAACGGAAATTTTGATAACATGAATGGAAAAAATCAATTCCTAAAATTAATCCTGTTTGGAAATAAAGAGGTTTCTAGTAACATTTCCCTTAAATTTAACTTCCATTTCCATCTCCTTTAAAAATTTGTAGGCAATATTATACATTTTTTTATAAAAAATTATTTAATATTTGAAAAAATCTTAAATAAAAATAATGAAATTAATTTTAATTAAGGAGTGGGGGATTTTTTAAATTTTTTTGCATCTAATTCATTGTTTTATTTATTTTATTTTTTCAACTCCGCTTTGAAATTATTTTTATTTTATTTATTTAAATCTTTATAAATCATATGAGTTAAATTTTATAATTACAATGAAAAAATCAAATAAATAAAAAAAATTTTTGTAGGAAGGAGCTTATGCTACGAGCAACCTCTTTATTTCAAAATATAATTTTAGGAATTATTTTTTCTATTCATGTTATTAAAATTTCAGTTTACGTAGAAATAGCTTCACTCAAAAAGTGGCGCTTGAACTGTTGCACATTCAATAGGTCTTTTAATTATCTATCGATTTATCTGTAATAAATAACCATATATTTAATTAATAAGTTCAATAAGAAATAACTTAAGATACATGGGCCTCGTGCTCATAGCAGATTTAGTCTAATTTTAGAGCCAAGCGCCAGGTCTGGGAATTACACAACCAACCAATTAACAATACTAATATAAGTAATCGAGTTTCATAAAATTTAAAACCTGTTGAGTTCACGACTCAAGTTTATGACTAGTTCACGACTCAAGTTCATAACTCGAGTTCATGACTCAAGATCAAAACTCAAGTTCAAGACTCAAGATCAAAACTCAAGTTCATGACTTAAGATAAAAACTCAAGTTCGGAACTCGAGTCGTAAAAATGAATCGACTAATCGACTAAAAACTCGACTTGAGTCGTAGTTAAACCGACTCGGATGAGTCGTTTAACAACACTACTATCGTCAATTAAAAATAAATCAAAATTTATAAAATCTACCATCACATTCCTAGCATCCTAGTAAAGTGGCTTCATTTTTGAATTTAGTATTTTCTTTTAGTTTTTTTTGAAATAAATACTATATATATTTTAAATCTTAATTTTAGGAGCAGAAATGATATATCAAAGCTGGCTATTTGTGAAGATTGCGATAAAGCATTCCACACGTTCTGCCTTAAGCCTCCCATTTTAACCGTCCCGAAAATGGGTTGGAAATGCAAAGTTTTTTTAAAAAATAATAAAAAGAACATTGATTGTAATAACATAAATAGAGTTGAATACCAAAAATTTAAGCCCTGCTACTAGACCTATTTTATAGGTCCAACATAATCTGAGAAAAGATTTAGAAATGTTTGTGACTCATTTAATTAGAATTTTTTTTTGAAGATCCGAGGATCCAATTTTATTTGAGAAATCGGTCCATAAATTTTTTTAGATTTGACTTTTGAAAAATACGATATTTAAACGAAATCAATAAGTGCAGAAGTATAATATAAATAAACAACCTTGTTATTTTTTAAAAATAATTTACATAATTTTTAAAACATACTCAAAGATTTAATTTTTATAAATTTTTTTTAATTATTCAATTTACGTTAGAATTGTCGGATCTGTTTAGATTGTGGTACGAGGACACCCGGGGCTGGGTTGAGCAGCCGATGGCACTCCAATTACACCCTTTGCGACAGTTGTTACCAGCAAAGAAATAAAAGTCACAAGTGTTCCGTTTGCAAAAGGGTAGTTGTTCGCATTGAAAAGGCGATAAGTGTTAAAAACGGCGGAATTAACAATCAAACGGAGAGAAACAATGGCGCTTCCATGGTCAAATGCGGGAAATGTGACAAGTAATTACAAGAAAATTAGCGATAATTTTAGTTGAATGCCAAATTTGTTCAGTACTAATTAAATACCATATTTTGCACGAAAATTTATAATTTATTTAAATGGGGTTAATTGAATTAACTACTCCAAGAGTGTATAAAGTAAGGACTATAATAGGGCAGGAAAAAGTATAAAAACTTGTAAGGGACTTTTCCCAAATTTCTTATAAGTTTAGGAATTTATCAGGCAGTTTTAAGTTTAATTAAAAAAAATTAAAAATATAATTTAAATCTACTTCGCTTCACATCCTTTAACATCAAAATTATTTTATTAAATATTTGTTTGTTATTTTATGAATTCTCTTGTATATCATAAAATTGTTAAAATATGTTAATATAATATGTGGCAATGTTATTTTGACATGCTTAGAACAATAAATAAAATGTTTATGTCCAGTTTATTTTCATTTCCCATTAAATTTTAAAGATTTGTTCATAACGAATGCGATACCAAGGCGGCCGAGCACAGTGATTTCTTGCTTAACAATTTAGCCACAAACACGGAGGAATTTATTTGTTCAACATGTTGTAGCGAAGCCCACAATTTTTTTAAAGTTTCCAACAGAATTAAAGATGGCGGCCGGCATGCTAAAAAGATTGGGGTTTCTTGTCATAATAGCAATATTATTCATAGACCCACGAATAGTCCCGATGGGGATATTGGAATTGTGAATATCGGACCTGTAAGTATTGAAGTGAGTGAGGTTCAAAGATATCAAGATAAGGGTAGTGGTGACGATGATTTATTGAAAGTAAATGTATATAATAAATTGTTTGAAAATTAATTTTTGATTGATATTAAATATAACATGATGCGATTGTGAATGATCCATATTTTACAATGATTTATTCAAGCATTCTTGTTTATAATATATAAAAAAATTTTGTTACTTTTTGAATGTTGGGGATGTGAAAACTCAGAATAACACGACTGAGGTGTACTAGGTTTGAACCCAACTGCCATTAATTTTTTCTGAAAAAACCTCTTGGACATGTGTTAGCTTTAGCTTAGGAAAAGGGAAGATTAAAAGATTAAGAAAATATCGGTTAGAGTTAGTCCATAGTAATAATTGGTTGTATATATATTTAAAAAAGTTTTGGATGTTGTCTAAGAAATTGATGTTAACCTTGTTATAATTAATAAATCAAAATTTATTATCAAGTGTCATGTTTTTAAAATTTGATCTTTTAAGATATTTATACACCCTTAGAAAACAATCCATATTTCACAAGGTAGCAATTTGTCGGAATGAAAACCTATTTTATTATCCATTTAACATAAAAATCTTAAATAGTTTGATTATTCTCATTTGAAATACATTAATTTTAAAACCCGTTTTAAGACAATCTCATAAACTGTTTCCCCAACCGAAAATTTATTGATTGTCAAAAGTGAATTTTTTATATAAATTTTTTTTATATAAATTATTTGTATATAAATTTTTTTAGAAAACTAAATCTTCGAACAATCGCGATTATATCAGCCCTCCCGCTCTAAAATTAACTCTTAAAAAACATGTGGAAAACAACCAATACACTGTAGTGGTTCATGACACGGCCATCAATACGTTAATCAATCAGGTGGTGGGTCAATTTCGACAAACACCTGTTCTTATTCCTAGTGGAGGTTATTATATTTGATATGATTTATTTCTGATTTCTGATTAGAAAGATGGTTTATTTGTTCAATAACAACCGAATTATATGTGATTTATGATACTTCTCCTAATTAGATTAATTTAAGATATAAATAATAAATTGGCATATCTTTCACACATACAATCAAATGTTGTTCTTACCATCTGCTGACTTCCCTCTCCGCTATACCATTTATGAAACCATTTCCCATTGGATACATTTGATTGAATTTCTAGTAATTTCTTTGCTATATGCATCACATTGCCAAGCGCCTGTTTCTTTCATATTTAAATCATGCTCTAATCATCACAATAGTCTACATTTTTTTTCCACACCAATACCAATCTGTCATCTAAGTATCTTATCCTTAAATCCCTTTCACTTCTCGTCATTAATATAAGATCATCTTTATAAAAATGTCAATGGTTATCCTTCACCCATCACTTTAGCCACACCCTCATCTGACCTTTCGAAAATAATAATGGATCGATAGGATACCTAGTATTGGTGTTGTTAAATGGATTAAAGCCAATTTTTAAAAACGGCAAACTCCACATTTTAGCCAGAAAATTTATGCCTAAGCGTCGAGATTTCTCTATTTGATGACAAATCTTTGATAATATTTTTTTGGATAGAATATTAAGTTAGCTGTTTTTAAAAATAGGCTCAAATCGAGCCGTTTAATAACACTACCTGGTATATTCCCAACACTTCTTCTGACTATCAATGTTAAAATATGTCATTTCTCATCTTAACCATAACCTATCAAAGAGTAAATCTAATTATCAATAGCCAAATGAATGGTTAGGTTAAAACGGTTTTAAATGGCTATAAACTTTTAAACCGGCTAATAAATATGGTAAATAATTACATTTTAGAATGAACCGTTTTGATATTGTCTAATATTATATTTGAAAAAATATTTTGTTTTTATTTCTTTTAATATTAATTAAAATTCAATTATCAATGGATAGAAAATTCTAACATTAAATTTTTCAAAAAATGGATGGTCTTCTATGTGTGTTCCCATCGAGGTAGCCTATATAATTGGCGTTGATGATGAACCTCTATCTCCAGAATAGGGTTTTCAGTAAGCTTGTGGGTGCAAAGAGACGACTTCCCAAAAATGGTTAAATGGTGTAATTCAAATAAAACGTGATCTTCCGAGATTTCGAAAAAATTGACATACAGGTTTGATCAAAATATTTAGCGTTTGGTTGTTTGGAGCCAACGAGTCGTTAAAAAAATAGTTTCAGATTAGAAATTGACGCCTCTTCTAATATGATATCACCTAAGCTTTTCTGGTTACATCTAAGGAGGAGGCCATATAGTTTAAAAGTTGAGGATATTTGAGCTGGTCTAAGAATCGAGTTATATTGGTTGTATCTAATGATTTGGTCATTACAAGAAAGCGAATGTGTCATTATTGAGTCGACAAAAAATGTTCATATAATTAAATTAATTAAAATATCAAGTTAACAATCATAATCCTCACAATATAAATTATTTATAAAGGTAACGAAATTGGAACGGTAATTGAATTTGATACAAAAACTCTCAATCCTACAAGTGGTGAAAATCTTAAATATTCCCAAAACACCAAAAACAACCAAATTCTCGAAAATAACAGCAATACATCAAACTTTTATAATGCAAGTAATAATGACAGGGGAGGTGGGGAAAGGATAAATAGTTTTAGCCAAAGACAGGATGATGACGTAATAACATTTTTAAAATTCACTTATATTATTTATTTATGTAATGATTCGTTCTTCATCCAATTGATTTATTTATTTAATGATTAACAAATATTTATTACCGAATTAGGCAAACAAAAGTCCCATAGTATTTGACCCTCCTTCAGTTGAAGATGATGATGACGAACCGGCTTACGTTCCTATCCTTTTCTCCAAGCAGGATAAATTTACTTATTATAAAGTATAATTTTGATAATATATTGTTATAAAATTTGTTTATTTAACCATAAAATCTAATATTTAGATATCACATCCTAGCCCTGAATTCAGCCTATCTCCCCTTTCAATTTATTCCACACTTTTTATCTCCACAGAAATTATATTAAATTTTACTAAAAGAAACGTGCCCATTTAATAAATTTATTAATTTTTATATTTCATAAAATTAAAATGAAATAATTTACTTATGGATATGTACATTTTAAAAATACATTAATAATTTAGGATGTATGTGCGTGTTGCGGAAGTTTTGGCGCCGGAACAGACAGTCTTTATGTGTTTTGTTTTCAATGTGGTCAGAGTTATCATCCTTTCTGCGTTTCTGTGGAGGTTTAATTTTATTGTGTGTAAATTTTTTGAAACTCTTTTCTTTCTTCCTTCTTTTCGTTTCTTTCACACATACGCCGAGATATACACCCATCATATTTTATCTTACACCATTTTCTGGAACGGTGCATAAATTTAAAAATTAAATTATTTTTTTTAAAAATTATAAAAAACAGTTCGAGTAAAAAAAGTGATCATTTTAATTATCCCATGTAAATTAATTGCAGCACTGCTCTTTATATAGACCGCCATCTCCTTAAATGTAAGAATAAAAGTAATACTAATGTATGAATTCATATCTTTCAACTTAGAAACTAACGATAAAAATGTTGGTGCATGGCTGGAGATGCTTTAAGTGCATAATATGTGAAATATGCGGTCGCGCAGATGATGAAGCTAGACTTATACTTTGTGATGATTGCGACATAGCTTACCATACATATTGCCTCAAGCCTCCTTTATCCAGTATCCCTAAGGGAAGTTGGAAGTGCCAAAAGTAAGACGAAACATATAATCCGCATTAACAACCCCATTTTTTGAAACCTTTTATCACTTTAAATTTCTTGTCCTTTGAAAAACATGAACATGTTTTTAATTGAACGGTTGCTATGATTGTGAAAGATTTGCAAGATTTATTTTATAGTTTTTATAAGATTGTATCATACATTCAGGTTAACTCATTAAGACTTATATGGCCTTTTATAAGCTATCAGTTTGATCATTTGAATTGAATACTCTAATTCATTTCTATAATATAATAATAAATGAATTCATGACTTATATGGCCTTTTATAAGCTATAAGTTTGATCATTTGAATTTAATACTCTAATACATTTCTATAATATAATAATAAATGAATTCATATATTTTACATTTATCTTAAAATATGGTTTTAAATCGCATTTCCATTTTTTGATCCAATTGTTAAATCGCATTTTACAGAATCCATAGCCTTGGAATGTGTCATTACACTTTAAATAAATGTATTATACCACCACCATTCACTTAAATTTTTTTTTTACAAAAATAAATAGCTGCATATGTTGTGAAACATGCCTTTCTACTTCCCCTGGCAAAAATTGCTCCTGGATAACATCTAAATCTCTTCCAAATCCTCCTTCCAATATTCCCATTCATCTTTCTATTAATATTCCCAACACCAGGAAAAATAAGAATAAGAAAAGCACAAAACAATCATTGTCCAATACAGTTGGTTATGAGTGCGGACCTTGCTCTAGCAGGGAAACCTGCCCGGCGTGCAGAAAGAAATACTCGGAAATGGATATAATTATGGAATGTGGGCAATGTGAAAGGTTTTCTTTTTTTTATTCCTTATATTTGAAAATTTATATTAATATAAAAGCATATAAAAAAATAATATAATTAATAACATTTCAGATTATATTTTGTTCTTGTATAAACTAGGTTTGGGCAAAACTAAATTCAGTTGTAACTGCCATTATTTAAAAAATTTAAAATTTACTGGCAAAATAGGGATTATGGAAAAGGGACCGGCAAAAGGGATTTTATACATAACCATAAAATAAATATAATATAAGGGGAGGGGAGGGGACATGGGTCGGTAATTATAAAAATATGTATAAGATAATGCTTATATATATATATATATTAAACAACAAACAAAAATATAATAGAAATAAAGGATTTTATGTATAAGAAATTTGGGGGAATATTTTTTACAATCAACTAAACCTATAATGGTAAATATGAAATATTACTTAAAAACACCTGACTTGGCATAAATCTTCGGATCAAATCTCGAAATCTAAATAGCTTCCTAGGAATTTCTGTTCTTTTATCTAAAATCGATTAAAATTTAGAGAGTTAATAGCAACTGCTGACCTTTAAGCATTTGCAAGTCTCAAAGTAGTCTTTTAAGTGTTCTTTTAGTTTCTAATGATACGGAATGTCCATATGTGTGATTGATTCATGTTTTTTTTCGTGGGAGGTTTAAGAGATTTTTCCTGATGATAATTATATTAATGGTTTAATTAGACTTCATAGCACAGATAGGACTATGCAGACACCCATCATTTAAAAAAAATATTATTACTTAAAATTCTTATATTTTTGTCTGGATTTTATAATAGCTTAATATTTTTAGGTAAATCTTGATTTTATTTGATAGTTCTTGAATTATTAGGGTTTTTTGTGGCTTGGGGTCATAGGCCCACCTATCATGTGTGTTGCTTTTTTCATCTGTTTTAACATTGATATATTAAACATAAATAAACACTTTTCTATATATCATTTTTATTATTAAAAATGATATTATATTAATATTTGAACCTTAGATAAACATTTATACATCATCAAATAAATTTTTCGTTTTTTGACTCTCTTGCCAAAAAATGTCATAAAATTTTGAATAAAATTTTAAAATAACGATTAAAATCAAGATTAAAAATGAATTTGATTCTAAAATATAGCATATCTAAATTGGTGTTCAGGGGTCCCCATCTAGTCTTTCTGTTTTTTTCACCTATTCTAGGAAGGGGCTTAACACTTCTATTTTGTCATTATTTTTAATTTTTTTATATAAGGGTTTCTATATTTTTTACATTTAGTAAACATTTAATCTCAAATATAAGTGACGTCCAAAGACTGTAACCGGCTCAAAATAAAAAGACCGGGTTGAAAATTGCTCCATTTATTTTTCTGGCTCAGATCGTTGATTTTTTACCATGATAACTCAAAGACTGGGCTGACCTAATATTAAAAGACTTGAACTAAATTCCTTTTTTTAAACTAGTCTTCGGATCATTGGCATTCATTATAAAAATTATCATCAACCTAAATTTTTTAAAATATCAAGCATTATAAACATAATTTTTAATATTTTTTCGCGCTAAGTTATCTAAATCACACGCATATATTTCGAATGAAATTTTAAATGAACAATAGTAAAGGAATGCACCGGTTAGGGTATTTCTCTCACCCCTATTATAAACACTTAATTTAAAGGAGTGAAATTTTTCCACTTTCTTATAAAACTTACTACATAATACCTTTTATCATTATTTGTAGGACCCCAAATTATGTTTGATTATTTAGTCTCCACATCTCAATCCATTGTTATAAAGAATTACTATATATTATATTAATTTAACTCAAACTTAAATTTTAATTGTAAAAAAAATGCATGTGAAAGGTGGATACATGGTGCTTGCGAAAACATAAAGGACGAGTGGGAAGCGGGCCACGCCCTGGAAAAGGGCTTTACTTGCAAGCTTTGCAAAGCTCTTATCAACAAGCATTCATCGTCCCACACCAATTCTTACCATCAACTATGCAGCGATAGTTGTCATATGACAGGCAAAATTAAAGAACTAATCAAAGAATTTAAAGATAACAAAGGAAATAAAGATAATAATTGGATGTTTACACATAACAAACCCATAAAATCGACTATAGAAGAGGTGAACCAAGGCATAAGTATTAAAGGTGAAAATATAAACCAAAATAGTACTTTAAATGATAAAGAAATGGCAGGGATTAAAGAAGTCAAATGTAAAGAGTACAATAATAATGATAATACGAAGGAAAAAAATGAACCAGCCGTTTTAATTAGCTCTCAAGGGGCTTCAGAGACTTCAATATACACATTTCAGGCAGATACTAATCCCCTAATCACTAAAAATAACGATATTGGTAATCCTATCGTTGCGAATATATTCGTTGATTCCAGTAGAATGAAAAATGTTCATAAGAATTACGATGTTAATTCAATGACGTCATGCTCTTATAACACCGAAGTTGCTGTACTTTCTACCCATAGTTCTAGTTTGTCCCCTTGTGTGTCTCAAAATGTTTCCCAAGATTTCGAAACCACAACTATAAAGGACCCATTCGATACCACTAGTCAAATTGATATACTGAAATCGGTTTTGAAAAGCATGGAAATGTTAAACCCCGATTCGACGGGTTCATTGAATATTCCATCATCATTGAGTGTTAATGATAATATTTATGGTATATTTATAAAATCATCAGAAAATAATTTCTATTATATTTTATTATTCACTCCCCTCCCCCTTCATTAACGATTTTATAAAAGAAGAATTTTTTAAATATATTATTTTGTCTAGCATTGTTTTTTGAATCACTGCTGACATCTTATAAAATTTTATAATTAAAATTTTTTGTTTCAATAAATTAAATTGCTTTGCATTACTTCTAAAATCAATCTTTTCCTTTTATATTACAAGTTATAAAATAATTTGAATAATAAATAAAAGATAAATGATGCATGCATACTAACTTTATTAATTATGTAAATTATAGGTGGCGGGAAAGAATTTGATGTGAATATTAGCGGAAATTGCACCAGATTAGATATCATCTCTAACTCCTCAATTAATAATTTTTCGAGGAAAGATGATTTTGTTCTCTCTCCCCAAATTAAGACGCTATCAGAATTAAGTGAGAATTATATTAATCATATGATTATTTACATATTACTTAAAAATAGGAAATTAGGATCAGAATATAGTACATTACTCTGATTAAAAACCTTTAAATGAGAATTTTTCAAAATACGATAATAGTAATTCGCTAATTATTTGTATACATTTTTCTGGTTTATTAAAATATTTCATACTGGAAATAAACGCAAATATTACTTATAATTTATGTTCGCATTTCGCATTAACTAAACGCTTCCCCTCCTTTTTTCTTTTCAAGATTTTGGATCGACTGACATTGCAATATCAAAACAAATTGGCGGCGACTATCAAGATGACCATCACGTAACAACAAAATCTGCCCGTCGAAATTCTAACAAACTTGGTTCAGGCGTGGGCGGTTTCTACGTCAGACCTAAGAAGCAAACCCCGATATTTCCACCCAACGCTACGCTCCAGCATGAGCCAGAAGGTAATCCATCTTCCATCCCTCAAGATGACCACAGTAATACATTAATGGGTAGTGAACTAGATATGAATGCTTATTACAATAGTGAGGACAAAAGTGGATCGGGTTGTGGTGGCATCAAGAGGAAAAGAGCACCCAAAAAGAGGGGGTACTTAGCAGAAAATTATCCTTACTATTTGCAGGTTTTCATTCTTACTCGAATTCCTAAATTAAAAATTATAAACATAGGAAAATAGTTTTTTTTTTTATCTATCATGAAAATATCACATTACCATCTCCATTAAATAAACCTTTAAAATTATTTTACACAACTTGGACAAATTTTTATTTTATCCTCTTGTATCACCTAGGTATATTATCATTTATAATTCTATGCCCCACTATTTTACCTTAAGACAACATTCCAAATAAACTTAAACTCTCTTTATTTTTTTAAAACCCATTTCTAGTTATACTCATTACATTTTTACCTGCATTATAATATAATTTCAGGAATTATTTTTCGGCGAATCGCTTCTCAAATGCCAAGATCTAGAACGACGCCTTCTGATTTTTCGCTCCATAAATCCAAATTTCCCCTCCCATTCTGCAGGGAATCCCAATTTTTCCATCTTTTCGCCTTGTTCGGAGGATGGTAATTATAATTTATCTTCCCTAGAAAATTTCTTTCTAACACACCTTGAACCTATTTCGAAAAACTCATCCAACGATAGCGAAAATAATATCCAAAATACGAATACCCTCGACATTGCCTTAAAAAAAGTGAGCAAACTAACGCTCAACTTGGAGGAACTTCTCGCATTGGACGAAGATGGGAAAAGGCGAGAAATTCAAGATAGCCTTGGAGGGAATTCCGACTTAATGATGATGTTAGCTCACGATTGCTTGCTCGAAGGGGAAACCGAGGATTATCACAGCTTTCCGTATATACCTGGGTGGAAGGGACTCAAAAAGATCATGAGTTTAGGCGACAAGGTTTATTTTAGACTGAATTTTTTTTTGTAAATTAATATTACATTGAATATTGGAGCCTAGTCGTCATTTTAATTTATTTTTGATTTCGATTTTAAAAAAATCACATTATATAAACACAAGATTAAGAACTATATTGTATTGCATAAAAGTTTTTTATGACATTCAATTATTATCAAATATGAAGTTTCATGCACCAATGGTTAATCATTACTAATAATGAAATAAAATTCTCACTACGCTTATTAATTTATTAATTTTACGCTTTTAATAAAATTTTAAGGATTGCGATAAATAAATTAACAGAAGGTATTTTAAAATAAAATATAATTAAAAATCTGAAAGAAAGAAAAATACTAAAAATTTCATAAGACTTAAATCACCACTAGTCTAACTAAAAACAATCAAATGCATTCAACCAGCGTCTACATGACAAGATATTCACTGGAAGCAACCCCTTAAAAACCTATATCTGCCCCCCCCCCACTTAAAATGCAGGGAAATTCTTACATTATAATTATTATAATATCCCCTTCATAGTTTTTAAAAAGAATCGCTTAGATTATCAATACTCTACTACCATAAAAAAAGTGAAGATAAAAGAGTTATTATTTAGATATTGAATATAATTGAAAACCCCCTCATACACAATGAATGCATAATTATAGTATATTGTTTGACATAAATTTAAGTTTGCTGAGAGAATGTCTAGCCCAGCAGAAAATTATCTAGATAAATTTTATTTGAAAATTAATTATTATGTATAAATTGGTCGATGTTTAACAATATTTTTATATTATTATAGATCTATAATATAAGTATGAAATAATTTATTACAGCAATATATTTTGCCCTATTTAATCTAAAAATTAAATCGATAAACCCACCCCCACCTGCTCATATAGACGCTGCACTCAACTAATGCTAAAAACATTAGGTAAGAGGAAAATTTTTTAACTATGGTAATTTGATTTAAAACACTTAGGATATAACAGAAAAAGGAATAATGGATATCATTTTTCACACGAACACAATTTCCGACACGAAAACGAAAGTTAATCGTCAAATTTTGAAGCCCTCTGGTTATTTCGAAATAGCGGCCGTGCTAAAGAGGTTGTCCCGGCCTAAGTTCCCATTCAAATTCCTCCTTCCTCCACAGCCGACAAGAATCAACAAGTCTAAATATATGCCAGAAATAGCCGAAGACGCTAGTATAATTGCAGTGAACGGTAATGTGATATACAATATAATGATTTGATTCTTTTCTTTGAAATAAATTTTTAAAAAATAAATATTTTAAGCTAGTTTGGAATTTGGGGATGAGGAACCGGAAACCCATTATAAAATGAGTAATGTTATTTTTAGAATTTGATAATGCAAAAGAAATACTAATTTGAAAATTATTCCCGTTTGGAAAATTATTAATATATTATAAATAAATGCAAATAAATGGTTGTTTTTTCAATGACAATTTGTGGGTTGGGAGTTTAGTTTAGCCGTTTAAGTCAATTTTTAGTCGGTTAAAAAATTGGCGAAACCGAGTTTTTAGTCGGAAACTATCACTTTTGCCTCAGGGGTTTTCTTAAAAATATAGCAGCTAAAAAGTATAAATGAAAACACCTTAACAATTTTCTCCGATACGCGCATATATAATGTGCTATATTCCGATATTAAGCCATTACCCAACTCTAGCTGATATCAAATGAATTAAGGGATTGGTCGACTTCTGGAAGAGTTATTATTTTATGACCCTTTTTTCCCAACAATTTACACTAGATTTCTCTGTGTAACGAGGTTAATATATAGAAGATACGGGGTAGGGCATGATTTGGGGGTAAGGGGAAACCTCTAAAAGGATTTTAATTGATCCTAAACCAAACCGTAAATATCATCTTCCTTATAAATTTCAATTTTTTGAACTCGCATAAAAAATATACTATAACTATAATAAAATATTCAAAGATGATAAAAATAGTAAAGCCCTAAACCAGAAAGACACTAACGTCGAAATATCTAATAAAGATGACCACCGCAATATAATCGATTCTATCTCTCAAAACGCCGAAAACTCGAATACAGATAGCAACCATCACATTACTATCACTAAGGATCACATGCACCTACCTAGAGGAAGGGAAAGGTATCCTTACATCTCAATGCAAAAGCGAGAAGATGAAGCTATGATTGATGTTAAACAGGTGTAGCTTATGGTTTATTAAATATAAAAATATAAGATCTAAAAAAGTCCTAATTTCTACATTTTCAAATGATATTTCAACCTTTGCTGAATTTCATCTCTTATATTTTAAAATTATTATCAATTATAAAATTGATTATTTAAAATATATTTGGAACTTGTGGCCTAGGTAGAAAATAAGCGCTCACATTATACATTTAATTTATAAAACTACTTAATTTTTTTTAGAAACCTGGACCAGAATCTCTTTTTTTTAAAAAAAACCTTTGGAACCAGAACCTTTATTACGAAGTTTGTTTTAAATTGGCTTAATTCATATTCTTTAATTTTGGGCTAGTCTCGACCCAAAAAATATACATTGCGATTATCTCAACAAGCCCATTTTGATATTATATAATACTTTTTTCATTATTCTTTATATTAAGTTAACGCATAAACCATCTTATCACCAATACCTACAACCCCAACATGCATCACCACAAGCGGGATACAAATTAAATCAACAGACCAAACTACAAATCAATAATAATCAGGAAAGACCTCAGGCCTCCTCCTTTGTAAAACAAATGCAGCCATCTCATAACATGTTCGACGGCGAACCTCGGATTATTAATAGCTTTATCAAAGGGGAAGGGATAATGGAAGGTATTATTGATTCTTGTCTTACTAATTTTATAATAAATGATTTATAAAATATTATTCTTTATCTAAATGAGTGAAGGAAAGGATAAAGAATGAAGTAAAGAAAGAAGATAGAGGAATTTTTTTTATATTGTATATTTTAAAATAAAAATGGTAGCGTTACCTCAAATGAACAGTAACGACGTGGAGGAGTTATTAGGGCGCGAACCAAATTTCGATAATGGCAAGGAATTAACTTCCAACATCATCTATCCTCCGAATAATTATAGTTTGCCACATTTTATCATCTTGATTTTTTTAATTCGAAAACATTTTAGATTTTCTAAAAGTGCATATTCATTTGGAAAATAATGTGTATGAAAATAATTTTATTGTTTAATTTGAGGGCTTAAATTATGTTTTATTCATATTTGAAGTGATCAAATTATATTTAACCTAGTACCAACAAAGGATCATGAACATAAATGCTTAACTACCCCAATAAATTTTCCTAATTTTGAAAAACAGTTACTTCTTTTGCAAAATAATTAATGACACCTCAATTTTTACTATCTTATAAGTTAAAACAAATGATATCTCCTTGTTTAGGTCTATGCAACCAAATTTACGTTAGTCATGCCAATTTAAGTCAGCGTTATTCGTCGATGTTCAATAATCGAATGCAAGCAACAAAAGAATTCTCCACCTTTTTTAGACAAGATGTGCCTCCCCAACACGCCTTAGCTGAGTAAATTAAATTAAAAATTTAAAGTAACTTCGGATTGGAATAGGATGGGAGAGTTCTCGATAGTAATTTTCAGAGTTTTGAGTTAATTACAAAAAAATATCTAGACCAGCTTGTAGTATACAGTTATGACGCAGAAAGTTTAATATACAACTCGAATTCATGTTCTCTAGTTTACTTCGAGCCTTTTTTTCTTCGGATGTATCGTTTATTACAATATTGACTAATATCCTGGTAAAAACTTAATTTTGATGGAAACGCGATAAAAAAATTTTAAATCCCCTTGGTAAATAAAATATGAAAAGTCACTCATTTTTTCAAAAAAAATAATTAGAAATTGAAGTTTTAGGAACAAAAGGAATCATTTTTTAATCAGGTTTGAGTCCGCCCGAGTTTTAAAAATTGTTTATATAGATCTTTATACTCTACATATTATTTTGAATAAAATGAACGATCTTACTGGTTTAACATAATTTAACGGCTTGATATTTGAGTAATAATAAAGGCAAGTTTAATAGAAAATAGTTCTGTATACGTTACATCTGAAAAAGGAACGCGTTACCATTACCCTTTCCCTTGTGAAAAAGGAACGCGCGTTACTGACTATTCAAAAAAGTACTTTACACTATTATATACAAACAAGAATAATATATTATAGGATAAGATATTTTTTATAATAGTTTATTCTTCCTATATATGATATAAATGGAATTATACAAGAATAATATATTATTTTATTACAAGATGAGATACATATTTTTATAATAATTTTAATTTATTTTTAACAATTGATTTTCAAAATTTTGATCAGATAAACAAGAGCGTTTAGTGTTCAACACAACTTTCACAGTGTGGATGGGAGGGTTGTGTTAGTGATTTGCATCGGGCCTAATTTTTAAAGCCCGGCCCAACCCGAGTTTTTTATAAAGTTTGGCCCAACCTGAACCCGAAATTTTTTTAAAAAATTTTGCCAGCCCGACCCGAATTTTTTTAAATATAGAAATTGATTTTTATAATTACTCAAATAAACGATATATGTTATATGGCGTCTACTTTCTATAAATAAAGTCAATAAAAAAATTCAACATAAAATGGATAAATTTAGATATATTTTAAAAAGTTTCTAAGGCCCAACCCGACCCTGCCCGAATTTTCTTAACGGGCCGGGCCTACATTTGCAGAGCTCTAGGTTGTATTATATTTAATAAATAAGAAACTTAATAGAGGGAATTTATTAAAAATTAAAGAATGATCTTTATTTTGAAAAAAGCTTAATAAATCATCTTCAATAAAATTTTTATTCAGATCCTCATCGAAAATGAATTTATCTTTATTCAGAAAAGTATCTAGTATGTGTTTTGTTTTTAAAGGAATCAAACCTACTTTTTCTTTATCAAATTTCTCAAACTGAAATAAGTTCAATCTTTTTTCTTTCTTTGACCTTTAATTTTATCCAGCGCCAATCCAATTTAAATAGCGGGTGTATTATTGCTGAAAGTATATTAATCTTTATAGAAATTGTAAGCACCTTTTATCTATTTCTTGAAGGATTGCATTAATAAATGGCTTAAAACATGTGAAATTTTTTACCATTTTTTAACTTATATTATAATAGTGAGAGTGAGATATCCCTAAGCCAAATTTTCTTCGCAAATCGAAAGAGTCGTAGCAACAGGTCCATAACCTTTAAAATCAATATATATATATATATACATATCATATTTTTTAATTGACAATAATAACCATATAATATTCATCTATGAAGGACTTGTCATTACCTGAAAATATCTGTAATTTGGATTTATTATTAGATTCGTCAAATTTGTGGCCATTCTCCTTAATTATTTAATAATTTAACAAAGTTATAAAAAGAGCTCCATCTTGTGTAACCGGTTTAATAAGATATCTTCCCACTTTTCCTTAAAAATAGCTGAACAATTTGCTGCCCATGTTTTTAACCACAATTGAGGTTGAAATATTTGAGTGTGGACACAATTTACACTTACAAAGTGTAGACTTTGCACCCTTAATTTTCTTTATTGATGTAAAAAAATGGTTAATATTAGGGACAGGGCAGAGTTAAATCGTCTCCATATGAAAGAATTATGTACAATTGACATAATATACTATATAAAATATAATATTAGAGAAATATAAATTAATATACCTTGATTGATTCAATATTAATTAGATTAACAATCTTATCTGAAAATTTAACAACTAAATTTAAAATAAAATGAAGGAATTTGATGTTTGATCTGAATTAAAAACTCAGCTTACATTATTTACAAAATTTAAAAAATAAATAAAAGTAATTTTAAAATACAATAAAATATGTTTTTCCATATTTAAAAAAAATTTTTTAAATGACATTTTTTGCGTTACCATTACTCAAAAAAAGAAACTCTTTATCTCTAGAAGGTAACGAATGCGGTTCCTTTCAAAATGGTAGCACCGTTAGTAACGACGTTACTTTTTTGGCTTTACTTTACAGCACGAATAAAAAATAATTATTAAACTAATAATATCACAAAGTCCCTATAATGTTCATGGCCGTTCTATCAGACCCCCTAAAAATGTTGACCCTCCTCCCTGCCCCACGTTTCTTCAATCACATGCTTCCGCAATTTTTTCTCGCGACCTCGATGAACTGTGCGATAAGGACTCTGGGCCCAGTCACACTCAGAGGAATTTAGCGAGATGGCAAAGGGACGAATCACTCGGTATTATGGCAACTATATCACCCGTCCTCTACGCTAATCTCATGTATCCGAGCCTTAAAAGGGAAGTTCCAGGTAAATATTTTATCCGATATAATTTCCAATTCACTATCCAGCTTAAAATGCTTTTATTGTGATTCGACATTTTTTTTCCACAAAAGATATTTTAGAACGTTCTAAGCAAATGGCCAAACTTTGGAGAAACGTTTTACCAGAAGACAGAATTCCTTATTTGGTATATAATAATCTTATACATATCTCTTTTCACCTTGTAGATAAGTCTCTTTACAATAATCTAAATTTCATTTTTTTATAATAGCAAAAAGCTCGCGAAAATAGAGCCTTTCTTAGACTCCAAAAATCCCAACAAGTATTATTACTATTCAATATGATTTTTTTTTGAGAAGTTTTTTTTAATATCTCCTCTAAAATTGCTTAGTAATTAATCATTATTATTAAAGTATTAGTCTTTGTTTTTTTAAATTTTTCATTTCACTTCTTGCATTATTTCTTTTTTTTAAAATTGTTTTATAAATATATAAATTTACCAAAAATTATGTAAACGAAGCTACAAAGGAAATCAAAAAAATGAATTTCTTTGAAAATGAATTTTATGACAAAAAAATAATTAAATATTAGAAATCGTTGGAGCATCAATCCATAGCTAGCGTCACTACTTCAAATAAAGTTTTTATACATTTTTACATTAATTTTATAAATATTCTTCAGAATTAAACCAAATGTTACCAATATCAAGTTAATATTGGCAGATTCGATTTAACATATGAAAAATATATATAGTGAATATAATAAACCAAAAATATACCAATAAGTATATAAATTAAATGGGCGAAAATATAATTACCACATCTAAAAAAAAAAATTCCATGATTCAATATTTTATAAATAATTTTTTATCCCCCATTTTGAAATATCTGGTCAACCTATTTAACTATATCGGCCAATTCGGTTCATCCCTAATTAAAAAAAATGTATAAATTATATAAATAAATCTTGCATTTTTTTTTCCTTTAATTTAAGAATACGACATCAGAAGATCTCATTACCCCTTCCCCCATTTTCGTTCAGCCCCAAACATCGAGCAAGGTAACGCATTTAGTAAAGGATAATGGCGACGATGGTCTATTTAGATTGGAATCAAGTCTGCCAATAAAAATAGAGAGAGAAGATGTTAGTTTTTATACTTTTATGTTATATATATATATCAATTAATTTCACTTGACCCTCCGGACCATTCTTGGGATGTTTAATTTCATTTAGATGATGCAATATTAACTGAACGTTCACTATAACACGGTGGTGTTTATTTTAAAGTTTATGTATATTTTTTTATTGGTTAATCAATTTTGTGATTGAATTAATTGATTCCAGGTTAGAGTTGAAGAATTATTGCATCAAGATGTTAAAATTTATGTATTTTTTTTAAAGTTATAATCAATTTTGCTATTGAATTAGTTGATTCAGATACAGTTGAGGAGTTATGACATCAAGATGTTGAGATTTATTTTATTTATTTTGAGACTTCATCCAAGTGAGCGAGAGGCAGTTAAATGGCGACGATAATGTTATTTGGATTTAGTAATAAAACCACGTCTTTCCCTTTCATCTTTCATTAAAGCCTTTAACCACTCACTCAAGTCAGCTCTCGTTTGATGGGGATATGAATATTATTGGCAATCAAAATTTCAATACCACCTCTTACTTTAAAGAAGATAGTATTGCGATAACCCCAATCCAATCTCACACAAACTCTAATCACGTTATCAAAGGTATACCGATTATATTTTAAGGCTAATATTTTTTAGCTCTAGAAGTAAAGAAGTACAACATGGCCATTTTTATAATAAAGAATATTTAAAAAATCCTTTTAAAATAGGGTAACCATGGCAGAAAGATAATTGCTATTAATTGGAATTATCAAAAACTCTAAATTTGTAGTGACCATTTATATATTTTAATATTCATATTTATTGTTTTCCCAGTCGAAATAAACTTGGATCCATCTCTCACCACAAATTCTCCTTCTCGCACAACTAATTCAACTTACGCGATAAATCTACCATCTGCACCGTCAATTCATATAGATGCAAGTGATACGCTAACAGAATGCCCCTCCATCACTGCTGCCTTATTATCATCACCCCGGATATCTGAAATGTGTTCTGACATAACAAATTTAGCCACGTCTCAATACCAGAATAATTTTGATGAACACGATTCCTTATTTCTCTCAACCAAAATTATTTTCGATGGAGAAAACTTCAACTCTAGCGATATTAACAATAGCAATATCGCCCTTTATGAAAAAAATAACCAAAACTTAGTCGAGGATCCCGTCATAACGGCTTACGAAAGTGACGTATTGACTGGTCAAAATCTTGAAACAGCTGATAGTCGTTTCCGTTACGATGACTTTTGCAATGTAAATAAGAGATTTTTCACAGTTATTATCTATAAAATGAACCATTCGAGAAATAGAAACCTAAGTTATCACCAATACAAAGTAGGCCTCCAAAAATGCAAATCGAATAGTAATATTATTTGTATGAGTCAAATAATAATAATTCGATTGTTTAAATTTATTGATTTTTTAGTATAGATTTTATGCTTTATTAAGCATATTATTGCCAAAGTTTCTAACCGTTATGTTTAACGGCTTAGTAACATGAATTAGAAAATGACAAATTAAGTAACATTACATAACCACATAGATAATATCTGTATTATTACTTTAAATTATGCAATTATTTAAAATAACTAAAATTTAAAAAAACTGAACTTGAAAGTTTTTATGACTTTTACTTACTAAGGTTTTAGTTTTCTTAGTTTGATAATAATATTTTAGGTTTTATAGGATAGTTTATCGGGGATCAAGCAAGATATAAACATAGAGATTTCTTCTATTTTATGGGAGAAATTGGCAAGTGTTGTATAAAGTTTTTAATGATTTCATTCGTGTTTTTTGAGAAAAATAAATAGAATTTTACTAAAATACATCTTCATTTTTTAAACAATAGCTCTATTTTTGATAATTATAAAATTGTAATATATTAAAAAAAATTTGCACACATAATGGTTAAAAATAAATAATATATAGCCTAAAGAGATAAGATAACATTAAAGAAATATTATTTATTTAATATTTATAAAATCAAAATCTATATGAGCCTATATATACAGGTTTATTTTTAAAGGTTTCGGTTAGCTTCTTTAAATTTAAATTGCATAGGTTAGATTCATTTTCGGTCTGACACTCTGGTTCAAACCCGGTTATCGCGTAGACACAGCTAGGATTTTCCTAAAACACGGGGTTTCTTTTGCGTGACTTCCCCCATAAATTTTAAGGGGCCTACTATTTTCAGGCCCTTAGTCATGTTATTATATTATCTTATAAAAATAATTTGCGTTTTACAATTTTTTTTATTTTAAAAGACTTTTTTTTAATTTATATTGTCGTCTTCGCTAGCTATTAAAAATATTCATATTCACACATTTTTTTACAGGCATTAATAACAAAGCATTGTTTTTAAAAAATGATCGCATTTTTTAAAACTCAGTCTTAGTCATTATTTTAAATGATTATTAACCTATTATTTAGATACTGATGATGATTCACAAATTGGGGAATAAAATTATTTCAATTTAATTTTTACTAAACATGATATATCCTTAATTTGTATTTTTAAATAATAAACAACATAATAAAACCAATATTAATAATAATATTTATTTCTATAAATAATTCTAATGAGTTATAATATAACAATAATAACTAATAAATAAAATATTTTTTATTAATCAGAAGACTTGATCATCAATAAACACCTCTCACTGTGACCTTTTATAAAGCATATAGAAATTTTGAAATAAATTTTTTATTTTCTCTTTCATCTAAGAATATTACATCCGAAGATCTCAATACCACTTCCATCCGCCTCGTTCAGGCTCAACTTATAAACAATACACCGGATTTAGTAAAAGATAGTAATGCCAATGATCAATTTAGGACAGAATCAAATTTGAAAATTGTAGATGTTAGTTTTTATATTTTTATGGTTATTGCTAGAATCTCCTGCTAGAACCCTCCAAGGGTAGCTGATGTACATTTTATGATAATTTTGTTTATAAATAATGTGGTGAGATTTTAAAGTGTCAGTTAAATGTTATCTATAACTAGGTGGTGTGTATTTTTATGTCTATGTTATTTCTAATCATATGTTTAGTTTTAAATGACCCGATTAAGATTTTAGCCAAAATAATATTACGCAAACCTCGAAATTTGGCAAATAGAGATCCAAACCTTTTTGACATATATGAGCAAAATCTTCGGTCGGTTAATAGAATATTATTTTATCTAAAATCTTAATCTGTCCGTTTTAAAAACTCGACCCAAATCGGGGTCTTTTAACAACACTAAATACGAATTAATTATAGGATGGAATTGGCGATGTCAGTTTTAGACTTGTATTGTTATTTTATGAAGATTTTATTTATTTTGGATTCACCCACATGGAATCAGTTAAACTAATAATGAAATTAAAAAAATACTATAGTCCATTATTTTCCAAACGAAAATCATTATATTAAAGCATTTAGCTACTCCATCATGCCAACCTCCGTTTGATGGGAATATGAATATTACGGACGATCAAAATATCGATACCACCCATGATACCAAGGAGGATAATATCGTAGATATCGCGGGAAACCAACAAATCCAATCTCTAATAAATTCTGATCACGTTATCAAGGGTACGATTATTATATTTTCAAGCCAATATTTTAAGAGCAAGTGTAGAATATTTCAACATATATCACTTTTTGACTAGAATATGCCACATTTATAATTCTTTAAAATAAAAATTTAACTTTGATAATAAAATAATCAGGGAAATGGAATACGGTTTCTACTAATAATATTAACAAAAATAACGGATAAAAGCTATCTTAATATTTTTTTATTTTATCAGTCGAAATGAGTTTGGATCTACCTCTTATTGTTAACACCTATTCCTCTTGCACAACAATGTCAACCAATTTGATAAATTTGCCATCTACGTCATCAGATCATATTGGCACGGCCGATAAACTACCACAATATTCTTCTACCGTCACCCTATTAGCGATGGAGGAAAAAAATGTTAGTTAAAAAAATTTTTTTAATGCTTATACAAAAATTTCCCCTGGTGAACCCTTCAAGGGTGATCTTGGACAATTATTTAGGTAAATATGATAAAATATTAATATGGTAACTATAACAACAAGATGCTGTTTAGTTTTTAATCTGGGCTCTTTTTAAAAGGTATCTTAAATCAATATAATGATTGAATTAAATGATGTTAGATTAAATTTAAATAATCCGACTGTTTAGATTTATTTATTTTGAAACTCATCTACCTGACTGGGATGTAGTTTAAAGGTTTTCTAAAAAGATTACTTTACATCTTTCTTTTTTTCCCAATGATATCATATATAATCACACATTAATTTATATATTTATTAAAGCCTTTGGCTAATCCTTCATGCCAGCCCTCTCTTGATGGTAATATGAATTTTAAGGGCGATCTAAATATAGATACAACTCATCACTTTAAGCAGGGTAGTATTGATGATGTCCCGATAAACCAACAAATTCAAATCAAGGGTAACGATTATATTTTTCAAGCCAATATTAATTATAAGCCTAGCTCATATTCCATGATAAAATAATATTTTAAACTCTAATTTATCTTGATTTAATATTATTATTTCTTGTTTTCTAAGTCGAAATGAACTTGGATTCGCCTCCCACTGTCAATACTTCTTTCTTTTGTGCAACAAATTTAACCAATATGATAACTCCTCCAACTACGTTATCAATTCTTATAGACGCACCACCTCAATATTCTTCTATCACGGATACCTTATTATCGCAATCCCGGATAAATGACATGGATTCCAAAATAAATAACATAACAACGTCTCGATATCAAAATAATTTTGATTCGTATGATCAACACACCTCTTTTTTTTCAGCCAAAAATATTTTAGATAACTCTAAAGATATAAATAATAGATTCGCTCGATATGAAAGAAATAACCAAAATATAGTCGGAAATATTCCCGCCATAACGGCCAATGAAAAGTACCCAGGGACTATAGTCGATAATCGTTTCCTTTATGACTTTCGCAACTTAGATAGTGAGAGGGGAGGCCAGTTTAATGACCAAGACGAAAGCATGTTTATGGGTGCTCAAATAGGAATTGAACAGCAACCAAAATACCCTTTTAAATCCCCCGTGGCACACTTCCATTCTCTCCAACACAGTGGATTCCCGGCGCCTTCGTTATCTATCCACCATTCAGCTGTTTTACCGATTGTACCTCCCCCTTCTTTTTCTCAACATATTCGCCAATTTTACGAACATCAACAACCTCCTTTTTATTCGGCTAAACATAAAAACAACGCGTTGTCCCTTAACCACCAACTAAATAACGTAGCAATATTCGATAATAACGCTTCCGCCAATAATAATATGCTATACGGTACCGTTAACATTGACAATCTTAATTCGACGAATAACATTATCAATAACGAGCCTCTTAATCTGACTAATAATATACTTAAAAATAACATTTTAATGCATATCAACAATATTAAGACGGAGGAGAGCGAACAATTCGAATACAACAAGTATTATCATTTCTCCAACCGGTCTAGCCAATTGTTAGATGATATTCTTAGTAAAATTATAATTACTTTCATATTTTTTACCTCATATCTTAAATCTTAGTTTTTATTTAGGAAATATTCATTTAAAAGATAAGTTCATATTTCCATAAATTTTCAATTTTTGAAATTATGTTTACCGAAATCCACAAAAAAACAACGGAATCTAGTTTTTTACAAAAAATTTTAGCTTAGAAATGTCTAAGAAATGGCATAACCTTCTAAAAAAAAATTCACATCGGAAGGCTTAATTCGGCACATATCTTAAGAATGAGCCGATTCTAAGACACTTTAAAAAATATTTACATAAATAGAAGTTATTAATTTTTTATACAACCCTATTAAATTTTGAATTTGTTTTGACATTATTAATATATATTTCTTTTTAATAATTTAAAACGTAATTTTTTAAAAGGCGATTTAAGTTCTATCGAAGAAACTAAATCTATATTCAAAGACGTTTCCCAAGAGCCGGGTCCCTATAATCCTGGCCCGATCAATGACAACAACGCTTACAACCTTCAAAAACTTCCCCCTAACCCTTGGGCCCCTACTTCTTTTGATCCTCCGCCCGTCAAGAAAATGGCCATTGGGGGAACCGCTTGGAACAACCATAGTCCTTACAATTATAATCATTACAACATGGGTGACGCCCCCCTTAATTACGATAAAAATAATGACATGCTTGATACAAATAATAATTTTTACAATAACCCCCGAGGGCAAGTCTTAGTTGGGCCAGATACAAATACAAACTATCCCTCTGATTTCATTCACCCAAATTATACCCATCCTTGTGTTAACCCTAATAATTCTGCCAACGATAAATTCAAAGAGACCAAACCAACAGTCATTTATAATGCCGGGATCAAAAAAGAGTTCCTCCAACAGCCCCAGCAAGAAGGGATGAGCAAGCTAGATGACGAGAACATAATGGGTCAGATTGATTTCGAAAAATTGAACGAGGCCTTTGCTACTCGGTCCTTCGCCACTCCGCAGGGTTAGTTGAATTACTTAATTTGATCAAATAATGGTTTTTTATAAAAAATTAAGATAGAATAATGATTTGATATGTATGTATATTAAAATTTAGGTCTGTTTAAAAATATATATATATATGATTGTTTTCTCAGACCGATCATCCCAAGACTCTTTTTCCATCCCCGGAACCCACCTCATGCTAAATCAATCTTCACCCACTTTCGATAGCGACTCCCCCCAGAAGCACCACCGGTCGAGCGAAGAATACCGGTCTTGGTTATATAAGAAGGATCAGACTTTACAAAATTCACTATCCAATTTATCCTCCGATATCGCCAAAGTTAATAATTTTGTATGGCATAATAATCTAAAGTCTAATGTTTATGCAAAGGTATTTCAAATTTTAATCATCGGTTACATTATATAAAAAAATCCTATTTTTCAATGGGCCAATAATGAGCTACTTATATAATATTTTTTACTCGTTAAGATTTAGCAACCTGAATAATTTCACTATATTTTATTCTTATTTAGTTAAGAAAACGCAAAAAGAGCTTGGCCTCCAAACAACGACAACTTAAGAAAAGTGGGGGAGGTATTCCCATTACGCTTCCGCTTCATGAGTCCCGTGAACTTTTGGCTCTTGTTAATGACATAGGCGGGATGCAGAAACGAATAGAAGGATTGAGAAAAGAGATGAAACAACACAAGTCTTTATTGTCCGATTGGCAGGGCAAAAAGGAAACTAAGGTATTTGAAAAAAATTAACAAAGAGTCAGAAAGAAACGAAAGAATTCTGGTAAATCAAATTAAATTGTTAGTAAGAAAATGAAAATGGTCATGTTTGCTAAGAAGCAAAGAGTGAGAAAATCGAAAGTTGACAATTTATCTTTAATATGTCAACTTTAACTCAGGCGTTTTAAAAAACAACTTAATTATTAGTGTATAATATATAGTATAGGATATATTTCACCAATCAAATAATATATATTTATAAAGCCAGAGTATATTTAAGAGGGGAATATTTTTCATATCATAGTTTTAGCCGAATTAGTAATTTGTACCCATGTAAAATAATTATATACAAGTTGTCCAGCTTGGCCCATAATAATCATTTATTAAAACTATTATATATAATAGTTTTAATAAATGATTTTTCCAGCTCCCCTGTAAAGATATTTTACTTGTCTGCCCAGCTTTGCCGAGCTTCCAACCAAGCCACGCCAAACTCTATTTTGTTCACGTTTAGCCAAATTGATGTTTTATAAACTTAATTTAGTGTTTTTAAGACCTATCAGGCAATTAATTATATTGCTCTATCTCTCCTACAAAATTAAATCGAATTATTTCTTCATGTTCAATATTCCCTAATAAAGCTGCACCAGCCTCGAACCCCCAATCCTAACCTGTTTCCTCCTCTTAATCCTAACCCTTTCAACACGAACCTCGCGAATAATCAAAATAACGAAATCCAACTGGCGCCAGTCAATAATATCCCTGTTCAATCAAGATCCGATATAATTATCGATTCCCCACTCGTGGAAATTCCTTCTAATCCTATTAACCAAAATCAAATAAATCTTTCTCCTCATCAAATGCTGAATATGCAAAATATGCAGCACAACGAAGCTATTGTGAGAATGCAACCTCAGCCTTCTTTCCAACACGGAATCAACTCAAATTTGATCAGGAATACTTCCTTTGTTCCTTCCGGATTTGGGTGCGGAGATAAGGGTGGATTTATAAGGTTTTTATTAAAAAAATACCTATTTTAATATTTCTTTATTTTTAGTTAAAAATTCTTTATATAATATTTTTTATGATTTGAATATAAAGTTATCATGTCTAATATTATATAATAATGTATTATTGTAAATTAGTTATAGAGGTCTTTGTGAATTGAATAACTTATAAATTATCGTTTATATATGGAGAGAATAATTATTAATAAAATTGGATTGTTTTAGAATCTTAGAATATAAAATAGAAATATATATAAAATATTATACATAAAAAGCATAAGAAATAATTCAAAAATTAATAAAATTTATACTGGATAAAAAAATTATTAGAATTTATAAAATGTGCCAAATTTATCCTTATTTATATATAATTAAAAAAAATAAATAGCTATTATTTGCAAAGCAACAACCGTTTTCCTCTTTTTTTAAAATTCCGGTTTTGATTTTTTTAATTTCTTACTGGTTTTATTGTCCGGTTCTTTAAGGTGTCTATACACGATTCGATTATAAAGTTATTTCTTATTCTGTCTTTAATCAATATTGAATAAAAATAACCTTATTTGTTACATTACATTGAAATCTGAGAGTGTTTGATAAATTTAAATAAATATATATTCAAACAAATCAAATATCGGTTATAGGTTCAACAATCCTGTTAACGCTCCTGTGACGTTGGGAAGAATTATGGATAACACTAAATCCCTTGCTGGAGGCCCTCTTATACTCCCGCCCCACTCGGCTTCCACTTCTAAACAGCTCCAGCAAAATATGCAAAATCTCCAACATTCACAATATCACAATGATCAAACCATAAAGGAGGATAGAAAATTTCTTAATTTTCCTAATATTCCCTCTCATCTTAATACTCATATTTCTCACCCTACTTTGAATAATCTCATTAATCAAAACATAAAACGAGACACTCATAATAATAACAATACCAGTATTACATCGTCCATTTCATCGTCTCTCAAATCTCCTTCCTTCAAGAAAAGTCATAACCTCCTCTCTCCCTCATTCGTCAAAACTTGTGTCGGCGGAGGTTTTAACAGGATGATGGTTATGGAAGGAGGTGCAGGAGAAACGATGCAAAACTCTCAAATGCTGCCTCGCAATTATATCAAAATTATGGATGGAGGAATGCGCTTGGAAGGAAGGATGGGGCTAATGAGACCGCCCGTGTTTAATAATAATGCAGGTACGCTGCTTTTTTTGAGTTTATTTAAATATATTTATCGACATCTGAAAGTGACGATGTCTTTAAAACTCGAGAAGTATATTCCTTTTAGCTTTAAAATTGGTAACTCATGAAAAAACTTAAGTTAAGTTGATGTTAGCAAAAAGGGTGAAATAATCATTATTTAAATTCAATATAAAGATATACGATTAAATTTAGTATATTGTGCCCAATATCTCGAGTTGTTACGGCAATGCAATTCATCGAATGTTCTTTAACATATTACCTCAATATATCTTATGATTACTTCTTAGTACCCAAGCCCATAACTAATATTTTTCGAACAGAACCAGATCTGAAAGTGCTAAATTTTTTTTCGAAAACTTGTAATAACAAAGTGGAAAAATCTTTGCTATTGAAGAAAAGAGATTTTTGATCAAAATATAACCTAAAAATGCCCAAATCTTTTATTAATAAATTTTTGTTATTTCCAAGCATAAAAATTTTCAAAATGAATCAAAAAATTTTTGAAGATTTTTGTTTCAAATTTTGAAGTAAAACGGCCGATGACATCGTTGAAAATTATATAAATTTTTGAAAGTGCTATTTTACGGATCAAGTTTACTGATTTATTATAAAATAATATAATACACATACTTCTCCTTTTTTCTGGAAATTAGTCGGACCCCGTTTTATGCATCACAGCAACCATAATCAATTACAATTGCAACAAATGAATTTCCAAACCAATCCGCATCAACAGTTTCACCAATATTATAAAAGATTGCCACCTCCTCACCAACCTAAGCCATTAATGCACCAAGTCCAGAGACTTCCTAGTAATCCTATTCACAGAAACAATGATAACACTCCCAGAAACACTAATGGTGGGGTTTCAAAAGGCTTAGGTAACTTCAATATGGGTGCTGGAAGCGAAAGATACCTGACCAGGTTGCCAGCTGCTTCTTACACACCTTTTGGTCTGGGGAATGTTGATAAAAGTTTGTAGAGAAAACATTATAGTTTTATGTTTATAACTCTTTTTTTTCCACAAGACATTGAGTTTTTCATAAGAAAGAAAAGGAAAATGAATGAAATATAATTTAAAAAAGGAATGAAAATAAAGTTATTTAGATAAAAAAAATAAGATTATTCTTAGATAAATTTTTACTTCTATATAAAATAAAAAATTGTAATAAATATACTAGGTCTACCACTATTAGACAGGAGATTCGGCCGTTTTAAGCTAGCCATTTTGCCGGATTATTATGGAGAATTCCCTTATGGTCGTTACACTCTCCCTGCTTGTCATGCTATGTTGACTGCCCGGAATCAACCGAAACGGGACTCCCTCTTAAGGGAATTAGCCAAAATTCTCCCACTTCCGGGCGATATTTACCAGAGCGTTCAAGATAATTATGGTAATATAGGAAAATCTTCCTTAATTATCTTAATTTTCTTTCAAGGTCTAGTATTCTATTAATCTTATTGGCCCATTACATTTATTAAATCTTTCCTTCCTCTCATTTTTTTCTATCTCTTACATTTTTTAATGACATAACAAGCAATGTTGTTAAAAGTTGCGCGCTACCACTACTTATCAAAAAAATTACGTAAATTCCTATTTTATATTTAACCTCATAAACATAAATTATTATTTTAAACTGGTAAAATATAATTTCGAATTTCTAAGGTATCAAATTTAATAAAAAAAACTCATTTTTATATTATCCTCAATTCTAGCACGGTTATTTCTAATTATTGTTTTTTTTTAATTATTTACCTAAGGCAATATTTAATTTTATAAATATATTTTAATATAAGAAAAATTATCGAAAACAATGTGTATTTTTTTGATGAAAAAATAAGTTTCTAAGGAATTTTCCAACAAATTGTATAATTTAAAACATCTTCTATAAAAGCGAATCTCTTTGAAGTCCTAATCACTGAATTTTTGTTGGCTTTAAGATTTTTAAGCCTTTTTGAATCCAGGTCAATAATATTCAATTAAAAATTATAATTATTCCATAATTAAAAAAAATGATTTAATAATATTATGAATATAATAATTAAAAATACCTCTGTAAACTCTGATAAAAGTGTGCTCTTCATCTTAAATCCAGTGGATTTCAACTTGTCACCTAAAATACAAAAAAATTTACCTCTTATCTTTTATCCTTAAATATTAAACAGCTTCATAGCATTTATATACTGAACATCTCATATTGTTGAAAGTTAGTAAATAATTTCCTACCATTTTGGCTTTTGAGCGCTTATTGTTAAAAACAAGCAAGCCGAAATATCGTTTTCTAAAGAATTTTAATATTTCGAATGTTTGCACGTAACAAATTTATTACCGGCTCCTAATAATTTCTATTATGAAATAATAGGTGATATATAATATATTTAAAACAACTCTATATTATTTATAACTATATGTATACTTAATTTTTTTCTTCTAACGTCTACCAAACCGTCAATTTTTCGAACGCTTTAGTATGGACAAGCTTTGTTGTATTGATGCCACGAATCTTAGAATTTAAAAATGTGAATTTGGACATCCTCTTGAACTCTTCATTCATTAGAGATTCTGCATCAATAAAATAAACATGCTGAATATTGATTATATTATGATATTATTATTCTAAAATTGAACTCAAATATATAAATAATTACAATTTCTTCCAAATCATTCATTTCCAAATGTCAAACACAAAATAAAATTTTAAAAGTGCCTGCTAGTTGGGGAACTAACTCCAAACAAATTATATGAAACTGGTGGTGGCTTTGTTTCTGGAAGATAAGAGATTTTTTTATGTGATAAATTTGAAATCCAGTGGATTAAAAATAAAGAGAGTAAATACTTTTATCAATTAGTATAACATATACAACGGTAATTCTGGTTAATATTTTATTATAAATCATTTTTAAGAAATATGTCGTTGTTAATTTAAATACTGTATATCGAGGGGAATATCTAAATCGGGTAATATTTTCAAAATTAAATAAAAGCATTTAATCTAGACCCTAAGTTGCTTAATAATGATAAAACCACTAGAATCATAATAGGATATAATTTCCTCCATCTTAAGCATTTAAATCTCAATCTTATTAAAAAACTATATATACTTACATATTACTCATTTTTTTAAAAGTTGAATACAAAATGTTTGAATTTCAGAGAAGGAAAAGCGATATACTTAATGTTATTATCAATATCATCTCCTTTCAAATATATAATCAGCCTTATTTTTTCAACCTTTTTAAATATTTTAGATTTATATTTAAATAAATTATTATGAACAAATTATAAATTAATTTTTATATTTATTATATTTAAAAAGTAACGAAGGAGTAGCGTGCTCTTTAGCAACTATTATAGATTGTTTTTTTAACTTGATTTAACTTTTTTGATTCAATATATATATACAACTTATTTTAAAAAATTTAGAATAAAATACCGATTACTATAAAATATAAAAATTTTAATATTATTCCCCTTTTTATAGAAGATTCACACCTACTTGACAAAGAGATTGCTGCAATAACTAAAGAACGGGATTTCCTAAAGATTTTCGATATGTCGCCCCAATATTCGCCAGAGTATATAAAATTTATACAAAAATTGCTCTTTTAAAACCCTTCATAGCCCAGATAGGGTCAACTTTTAAAAAATCTTATTACTTAGAATTGATAATGCTTTAATAATTTAGGGTAATACTGTTTTAAAGTTATAATATTAATTTGGTTAGACCCCCATAAACTAATCAGTCTTTACTAAACTATATATGTTACAGGTTTTTTCAATCGTTAATAATACATTCACAAGGTTTTTAATCATATGGGATCGATTGCAGAAATTATAAATATAATTGATGCCATGGGCGTTAGGTATTTAACCTCACCCAATATTATATTAATCATAAGTATATATATATATTCATTATAGCCATATCTAATTGACGAATATAATAATTCATAATGTATAAATAGTATACAATATTCCTACATTTCGCTTATTAATTGAGAGGAACGCCTACATCTCTTCAATCATCGTTTTGATGGCTTGTGTGCCAGCCCTCGTCTTGGCGTCTCATCCCACTTCCTATCATCGCTGCTCGCCATCACCCGTTCAGTAGTATCTGCTACCACACGTCCCATAATTGGTCAGCATGTTTGCATCCGATCTGGTGTCTCTATTATATATTAATATAACCCCTTCATCTTAGACTATTACTTCCTCCAGCCCTTAGTGGTTTCGTTCCTTATCCATATATGTTGATCAACATCAAATTCCCTAACACTCGAATGTGTGTCATGTTCTCAACTTTGTTTATCATTAGATTTATTTATTTTATTTTCCACCTTTGGTCTAGCCCAGTTTAGACTAGTTCTTATTTGACGACTGAACATAACCTTCGCTGGCGACCTACGCGTCAAATTATTTTCTCCCAGCCTATACCCTGCTGCCGTTGAGTCATTGCTTATTGCGAGTCATTATTAGATTCTCGACTGGCATAATACCTTCCTTTCAAGGTTCGAATGGTTTGTTCCGCCTCCCTGTCTTCGGGAGGTATGGCGTTGAACGAATATGACAAATGTTGTTTTTCTCACAATATAGCTTAAATTTTGTAGAAATAAATTGAGGTCCATTGTCAGTTACAATACTGCCCCAAAGGTAACAAAACACTTTCGTTATCATCTCCTTCGCCGATGTCTTCTCATCACCACTGCCCATTTTGAATATGAATCCACTCCCTAACCAATATAGAGAGTTAACTGGTGCTGCAAATCTAGTTGTATACGCTCCCATGACTCTTTAGTAATATCTTGAGTATAAGGTTAACTCCATTACGTTTGTTAGATTTTTTTGACTCCCGACACAAAACTTTATATGCCATTCGATGTTCTCTTTACACTTAGGCCACCAACAATAAAAATGAATTTCATCGCATTTATTCCAGGATGTCCCCGATGTAGTGTCTCCAACACTGCGTTTAGTTGTAATTATCAATCTACCATTTTGACTTCCTCTGTCTTCTGTTAAATCTTCTCGATGGGTTTGGAAAATTAGGCTGCATTCAAAGTGGAGACGGATCCGTTTTTTACATCCGTTCCGTCAAAAGTCAATCTCTTCATTTTTAAAAAAATATAAGTAACGTTATAACGCTCTATAAAATTTTCCGGATCAAAAAGTCAAAATGTTTTGACTTCAAAATTTGCCGGATTCGTTTTTAAGACGGAAGGTATCGGAACGGACGCATTTTGAACATATATCAATTTTAATGAGATTGACCTTTGACGGAACGGATGTAAAAAATGGATTCGTCTCCACTTTGAATGCAGCCTTACTAGATCTTGTTTTTCCTTCCGATTAAAACCGCTCCATGTTCAATATGCCATGCCACTCGTTTTAGTATCGGATCTTGTACTGAATTCCTGTGCAGGTTTTCCTCTGCTTATCCTCTAAATTGATATTACGAATCGTCAAGAGTGTTTTTATCACGATTCCTTATAATATCGTGCAACGGTAACTTAGATAAAGAGCTGGATATAAGATTCTCACGACCCGGTATTTATTCCACATTAAAATCGTACGCGGCCATCTTCCAGTCCTATCGAGTCAGACAATTATTGATATCTTGGGAAGATCCCTCTTTTCTTTGAACAACCGTTCCATAGGTTTATGGTCTGTCCGACTATGAAATAAAAATCTTCGATCGTAAATAAAATTATGGAGTTTTTCTATTCCGAACAACCGTGCCTTTGCTTCCTTATCAATTAGAGCATACTGTTTTACAGACTGCAACAACGTCTGAGACGCAAATGCGAAGTGTTTTTTCTGGTTTTGTGATGATGAGGTAAGATTGCTCCAAGCCCTGTATCTGAAGCATCAGTGTCTTAATTTTGTCCTCTTGTTCCACTGTTGTCCAACACCATAGTGTTTTACGCTAGTTATTTGGTATAACACTGATACCTAACTATGAAGATTGGGAATGAACCATTCATGATACTTGACAGGACCCAAGAAATGAACGTAACTGATGAACATTCTTGGGAATAGGCGCAGCCTGGATTGCTTTTCCTCGCTTGCATGTACGCCATTTTGGTCGATAACGACACCTAAAAATGAAACAGAATTTGTTAAAAATTGAACTTTTTTAAATTTGGCTTTGACTGCTCTCTGCAGCCTATCGAGTACTATTTTTAGATTAATCAGATGTTCGGTGTCATTTTTACCGAAGATAATTACATCGGTCAGATAGTGGCAGTCTTTCAAAACATTGTTCATGAAACGCTGGAAAGTAGTTGGCGCGCATGAAGGCCCAAAAGTCATCCTTCGGTATCGAAAATATCTCTTATGCGTCTAGACGACCAAATATTCTTGGTGCTCTGGAAAGGGCCATTTGTAGATACGCGTCCTTTAAATCTATCACTGTATATCGGTTTCCCCCTTGAATATTTTCCAGTAGGTAATACAACGTTGGAATAACATGATGATCGTATATGGGATTTAACTAACCTTGAAATTTGCGCAAATACGAATCTCGCAATTGTTCTTTGACATTTACCGTTGGGGTTGCCCATTGCATCCTTGTAGTGGAGAAATCGATTGGTACCAAAATCTCCACAGCAACAAGGTGTTTTAGGGCACTCGACGAGCTGAGTCTCACCTCGTATCAACCCTGGCTTATCGTCAAAAACGGCTTTGAACTGTTTAGCTAACAACGGCCTCATTGAGTTTTCCGTTAGTGACATCTCGCGGCCCGCGGGGGCACCTGTTTTTGAACGGCCTATCGGGCCATCGTTCGACTGATAACTACTTGATACCATTGGTTTTGAATGGTCTACGGGAACCCCATTCGTTTTGTTAATCTGTTGCATACTTACCTGTCTCGACACTCAAACCCAAATGCCAAAATCAATGGTAATTCAAACAAAGGTAGATCATTCGACTTTTTTATTATAACTGATAATCTACGAATTTCCTTCACCACTTGTACACGGACCATGGCTTCCACCCATTAAATCCAAGGGCATATCTCTATAGGCTAATAATAAGTTTGTGGGGAAAGTGGTTTGCCAATTTTCTCTCAAATATTCAATCCTATAATAGAGACTTGTGCTCCCGTATCATTGTCGAATGTGACGCTAAATCCACATATTTTGGCTGTAATCTTTTTTTTATTTAATAAACCTGTCCTAAGATTATTTATTGAATCACTTGAGTGAAAGTGTTGCTTCACTGAGTTTAATTTCCGATATACGGGCTTACTACGGCAGCACGCTGCAAAGTGTCCGGTCCTTTGTCATTTAAAGCACTTTTGTCTTTAGCTGGGCATAAATATTTTTCATGCCAGCCGGCACAATTCTTACATTTATTATCGTAAAACTTGCTTAGGCTTCCTATAATTATTATTAACTCTTAGCACACTCTTATTATGTTGTGGCCTGATTACACTATTTACAAGGTCTCTTAATTGCCATTTCGTTCTGAGCTCTTTCCGTTGCCTTGACCATATCTAGCTCAAACTGGAACGTCAGCGGTTTTTGTTCACATCCAATGCTAACGGATATTTAACCCTAAGATCAATTTCGAAGCCTGGCATGTCTATACCCGCAACCAATTAATCTCTTAAACGGCTGTCAACTTCTGTCAGCTTAAAACAACACGCTTTCGCAAATACTTTGATCTTATTAGCGAACTCTTCAATTGGTTCAATGTTGTTCCTAATTAACCTTATAAATTCTAATTACTACCAAAAATGGTTTTATTCTGTTCAAAAATTTGTAGTGAAATATTTCTTACCTTATCAAATTTAGTCGTTAAAATGATTTCAGGAAATAAATATTTTTCAAGAATGTCAATGCCCTCAGCGCCAAAACTCACTATGAACAGGTCCTTAATCTCCTGCTCGATCGATGTCCAGTTTTTAAATCTCAGTGTTATGTCCCATAACTGAAACCAACGCTCGATCGACCCATTTACCAGGAATTTTTCCATCTTATCTAAATTTATGACAGTATTGGTTTTCGCTTGTAATATATTTTTACTTGTTTTAATTAGAATACTAGAATCATGTCCACTGCGCCAATAAACTAATTCGCTTATACTAAACTATGCATGGATAGGTTTATTCAATCTTTAATATATACATTCACAAGGTTGTTAACCATATGGATCGAATTCGGAAATTATAAACACAATTATGGGTGTTTAGTTCACACCCAATATTATATTAATCATAAATATATATAATCATTATAACCATATCTAATTGACGAATATAATAATATATAATGTATAAATAGTATATCACAATATATTGCTACATTGCTACACCCCATTTCTCCCATTTTTTGTAATTAATTTTTCCATCTGTGCATGAAGGGTCAAACTCAATAAAATTGGTGATTATTATTTTTAGAGTTTTTTCTTATGTAATTATTGGCCTCTTAGCTTTTAACGATTGTCTCATTTTCAAGATCCTGGTTACAAAATGCTCTGATATATATCATATAGTCTAGGGTTTTCCATTCTCAAACGATGATATAATGAAATGCTATATAGGGAATATTAAAATTATATTTTTATCTATGCCATCATCTCAAGATCCGCTTCCATAAAGACTCGATCGTCCGTTCTTTCTTTCTCGCGGTCCGTTAAGGACTCCGAATGCCTATCCGATAATGAGGCGGAAAATGATTACGACATTCTGAAGAACAAATCTATCGACGAAATTATGTTCCCTAATTTGTTTTCGTCACAAGAATTACAAAGTCCATTAGACGATTCGATTGCCGATACAATAAAAGCAGGTGATTTTACGGAAAAAGCAAACAATGATATTTGTATCTTAAAAAGAGATTTATTACACCCGGAGGAAAATTATGAAGAACTTCAAGCCATGTCACCTTGCATACCTCTGTGTGTACCTTTAAAATCAATTGGTCAAAGAGGATTCGAAAATGTTAACAACTCTGATATCATAGGTTTGATATTAACAAGTTTTCTAATACAAATCTTTGGTAGATAATTGCCAAATTTTTTTTCAAGAATATGGAACTGACATAATATGCTAAAATAGCTATATAATAATTAGGAATAAGTTAAATGAATAAATTTATTTATTTTATCCCCACAATTGATGTTTTCCATAATAATTATAAGTTATTACTTTAATATAGTTATCATTCATTATAAGAATTTCATTATATATTTTTTTAAAGAATTTCCGAAATTAGAAAAAATAGATGCGAAAAATGAGGAGATAATGACGGACGATTTGGGTTTCGACGAACCGCCAATAGCCGATGAACAAAATTGGGACGAAACAGACGAGTTAATTATTTTTTTAATAGTTTAATATCATTATTATGCAATTAAAGAATATCCATCGAAAATTTGGTAAAATATTTCAATTTCTTCCTAATAGAAAAGTTTCCATAACCTTGACATTGGATGTCTCATCATCAAAGGCATCCATCGCAGACTACAAAACGTTACTTGCAAAATTGAGCTCCATCTTAGGTCTCAAGACACCAGTTTCGGATTATTCTATCGAAACCGGTTTGGTAGAAAACGATATGACAAACCCTGTATCCTTCAGTTTATCTTCTATAGACTCTCGTAACAATGGGGAATTAAAAATGAACGAAACTAAAAGTGCAGGTGGTTTAAATTTCTTTTAAATCGTATAATTTTATGTTTTTTATTTTATTTAGTGATTTAGGAGCTAACATCAAAATTAATTACGCGATTTTTGTTTAACATTCTGAAACTTTAATAAAATCTGAAATAAAATTCTGGGCATAGATATGTTATAAAAATGGGGTTTTAAAAGTTACGTTATTATTATATTTAATATACTCGCCACTAGGGATTCATGTGGATTTCTACTCATCACTCATATAAAATAAAGAATTTGAGTATATTTTATAATTTTTTATTCATCATATATTCTTCGAAAACAAGAAGTCGACTCCAAAATTGGTGATCAGCAAAGACTTAACCATCTCACCTTATCATCTCCTTTGCAAAAGTGCGTTCAGTGTAAGAAGTTTGTATTGCTACCAGGTATCAGCCCCCATTCACTTTACAATGCCTCCTTTTGCGATTCGAATTGTGCTTTTCTTTATAGACTTTCCATGGCTTCCCGTAGGGTGACCCGCACAAGTTCTAACTTTTTTTTATATTAGTCTTTGCAATTATATAAAGATTAAGATATTTTTATGATTACCTTTTTATTTTGGTTAACTTTATTATAAATATTTCAAAGAAATAGCGAATATAAGATCCGTGAATTTGGGTGAAATATTGTATATAAATTAAGGTACATATAGGGGTAGCATTCAAATTTTAAAATCCTAGCACTTGTATTTTTAGAGATATCAAGAATCAAAGTTTGAAAAATGACTTAATTTTATGCCTGATTGCCATTCAATTTAAAGATTTATTATAAACTACAAAATTTAACATATTTTCCATTTGAATATAAAATTATTTGTAAAATATTTATTATCATCTGATATTTGCCAAATATTTTAAATAATACTAGAATTAGTGATCTGCATCGAGCCTAATTTTTCAAGCCCGGCCTGGCTTGAAATTTCGGCCCGAACCCGAATTTTTTTAAAAAAGTTTTGCCGGCCCGAACCCGAAATTTACTTTAAAAAATTTACCCGCCCGGCCAGGCCCGAATTTATTTAAATATAGAAATTAATTTTTATAATTACTTAAAATAAAAGACATATGTTATACAGCGTTTAGTTTCAATAAATTAAATCAAAATTTTTTATTTTACATAAAAAATTCAATATAAAATTGATAAATTTAGATATATTTAATAAAATTTCCAAGGTCCGACTTGACCCGGCCCGAAATTTTTTAATATTAGGTCCGGCCCGAACCCGATTATTTTAAATAGAATTAGGCCCGAAGCCCGTACGGGCCGGGCATAACTTTGCAGATCTCTAGTTAGAATATTATTATGACAATACAATTTATAACAGTTGGTGAAGCCCTATTCATGCTTTTCGATGAAGGCCCTGGTGATGAAATAGATGTTGTAAATATACCTCCTAGCTTTAGTTAGTGATGAGGTAGATGTCGATGAAAACGATCTAACCGACGCACTTAATCTTCCACTAGATACTGCAGGGGAGATCAAGATCGATAATCCAGCAGACATTGATATTGTCTCAGAATCCTCAATATCTTCAAATCAAGAAATCAAATTAAAATTTTGAAATAATAATGGAGAAAAATTTATCCAATTTCATCTAGACCTACTTATAATGATAAGGATATTATCGAATCTTCAATTTGATTTGATCGGATAATAGAAATATTTGAATTATTTTTTGATCAAAATATGTTTTCACTGCTGGTGGATCAATCACATATTTATTCCAAGCAAAACAATAGACCAAATTTTATTACAATCGAGTCAGAGATGAAAAGATTTATAGGAATTCTTTTGCTGACTAGATATCATTCCTTACAGAGATAAAGAATGCATTAGCGAATACAATGAGATTACTATAACAATCTTTAAGCATTATGACACAACAAACATTTCGCTATATCAAGGGATCTGCATTTATCTAATAACTCAACTCTTGATGAAGAGGATAATCTTTATAAAGTCTGCCCATATTTAAATTTACTAGGTAAAAATAAAATTCCGATGGCTTCGAATCTCCGTATGAAATACGGTTGTTACAAATATACTCAAAGTTGTTCAAGTTCCTTCTTTGCATTCTATTTACTTCGATAATTTTTTTACGTCTCTAAGGTTTTTATCGCATTTGAAGCATCTTGGATTTTACTGGGAATATAAGAGAGAATAGACTTGAAAATTCTCCCCCAGAAACAATTAAAGTTATGGCAAAAAAGGAGAGGGGCTATTACGACCACCGATTTGAAAAGACATATGAAATATTTGTAGTTCGATGGAATGATAGTTCAGAGGTGACAGTTGTATCAGCATGTAAAGCTCTTAGTCCTCTATACATATCAAGATTCTCTAAAGATTTTCTCAAAAATAAAAATTACACAACCTAATCTAATTTGTATGATTCCAATATAGATGGCGTTTTCTGTACGATAACCTAATGTCAACATAGTTAATAAATATACAAGGTAAAAAATAGTGGTGGTCTATTTTTAGCAATTTTATTGACGTAGCAGTAGTAAATTTATGGAAGCAATGGAATCGAGTGAATCCTGGATAAAAAATTATTACTAACATTTTGGCGAGAAATAACTACGACACTTTTGAAAACTCTCCTGGTAAATCAAAAGATGAGCGCAAGTGGAGGCCATACTAATCAATTTTCCTCACTAATTAAAAAACCTGAAAATTATTCGAGATATATTTGTAGTGTCAAATACCAAATACATATTGATTGTTTTAATTTCATAAAATAAAAAAATTACCAAATTGTGTCTTATAAATGTAAAATATAAAAATAAAATTTTGCAATAATTTAATTTTATCTTATTTTAATACCCCTAATGGTCAACGTTGTAGATATACAACGGTTCAGATTTCCTATTTAGGATGATTTTTTCATACCGATTTTTTATGCTTTCTTAGTTAGACTAAAATAAATAAAATTTGAAAAAATCAAGAATTTTTGTCGGCTGGAAAAAGTGTGATCATTAATGGGTTAATACCACATTTTCTTGTAAAAAATAATAAGTTTATCTGATTCTTATAAAATTTTATGCGAAGATTGATTAAAACATTTTAAAAAATAAGGGATATTTTTTTAAATCAATATATAGCATATCGTCAGTCTCACTGCAAACCGCTAACTAACATTTTAAAAATTTTACAGGAGAGACAAAAAATGAATTTTTTATATTGATTATAAATTAAAATAATATTATTACTTGATTAATTATGTTATATATCTACTTATTTATACTTAATTTAATATACATCTACTTATTTATACTTAATTTAATATACATACCTAATTATCGCTAAAGATTTTAATTTTACTCTCAATAAAAATCCCTCATGTTAATAACTTGTTTTTATGTAATTTTTTAAAATACTTTTTGTGAGTTATATGTATTTGTACAATATTAAAAATTAATTATCATTCAATAACTTTACAGTGTGCAATTATTATGAAAGGGTTATTAATGTTTTTTTTAAATTTATAGACAATGTTTGCATGATAATTTTGATAAAATTTAAGTTTTAAGCCTACGTATTAATTCAAAGTACTATATAATAATATTTACTAAATAATTTTGTTTTGGAAAAGATTCAGTACATTCTGAGAAAAATGCTAAAAATATGAGGGTAAGGTTTCTTACATATGTTAACATTTTTCTTTTGTAATGTTTATTGTTTTTATAAACCATCCACCTTATAAATTCTGCAATTTTAAAGAGATTGGCATTCACGGGTATAAAATTTGTAATTTATTTAACTATCCTTAAAATGTTATAACATCGAAGATCTTTGATTTTTGAATATTCAGTTTTATAGACGGGTTAATAGATGCATGCTATTTAATATTTCGCCAAAATATTTAGTAGCGTATTTAACAAACATGCCGACATATAGTCAGTTGGTTAAAAAATATACCTCAATTTTTAAGCCGCTTTTCAGTCACGCTAGTGGCCGAATCTACCATAGGTGTATATATTCTAAGAAGTTTTGAATAATCCTACTCCGCTACATAACTACAGCTCAAAAATGGCTATATATACTAAAGGCAAAATTACACATTTGTAATGTAAAATATTCTTCTCTTATATAACTGTTTAAGAAAATTAATTTTATCAACTTTAAAAGACCTTTTATCTTTTTAAAACTATAATTATATATTAATCATATTACACCGAATTTTATAATTTTTATTCAATATAACTTTTTTTCACAAAAAATATTAAAAAAAATATCAAATCTTTTTATATAAAATATCGAAACCTAAAAAAACAATAATATTCGTAAAAAATAACAAATAAAATAAAATACAATTTAAAATTATATATTAAATTTTTTTTAGTATTTTTATCAAGCCAAATATTGGCATTTTTTTTATATAAGTGTTAGTGACCCTCAAAAATTTATATTTCACAAGGATTTTAAATTTTAGAATGAGGTAAATGTACCTTCACTTTAAAAAAAAGATATTTTTCAAAAAATAGAGTATTTTTTTGATATTGGAGTTATTATTTATAATTCTGTAATTTTTAGTCAATTTTTAATTGAATGACAGTCTATAAGGGTAAAATAGGTCATTTTTTTTATACTTTTACCCTTCATATCTCTAGAAATATATGAGTTATGATGTGAACAACTGCTTTACGTGCACTTTAGTTTGTATACAAAATTTATGCAACTCCTAGGGTTGTGGGCAAAAATCGTGTTCATTTTATCAATTTGACATGAAACGATTCAGCACTCAAATTTCTAAACATCGATATGCATTTACGACATTTGTTATATAGTCACTTATTGGTAATTAAACTAAAAAGATTTTTTGCGTTATGTATCAACTGAAGGAAAAGAAAGTTTCAGTATATAAAAATTTTTAAAAAAAAACAAGGTTGGGCAACGCTTCGTTTGGATGATAAAGGTAATAGTAATTCCAAAGAGAATTACTTTAAAAATGAAAGCTTCGAAAATTTATCTCCCAATCAACGACATCTATTTAAAGGTAGAACCGGAAATCAAATTTATTCTGATGACAAGAATAAATTGGGACCCATAATGGCTGACGATTACACTGCTAAAACCGGCAATGAATTTTATACCCACCGAAACACAAATAACTATGATAAAATGCCATCGGTTATATCCGACGATTATAACATTGCCAAATCAAAAATTAAGGCCGGAAATGATTCCTACAACAGTAAGCATTCTACCACTCGGCATATAATGAGGTTCGAGTTTCGGTGTTTAGCAAACGGCCGAAAGTTCAAAGTGTGGAGCTCCAAAATTTCACCGCCCTATCACGAATCTAAGATGATCGCTCTGACCGGATACCAAAAACTGGAAGTAGTTGATAAATTCAAAATGGATGCACTCGACACTAGCTTGTTAAGTTTAACGGCGTCAAGACCTTATCACTATGAAATTCGAAAAGCGGATAAGTATAAGGTGGACGAAATATCCAAAGCAAGCGATCACAATTCGCCATTTAATGATAAAGAAAAGGAAACATTAGTAGACACACGGGTATGTTTATTTTGTAGGGGCCTTGGAGACGGATCGCCTGAAAGCACATCTAGGTAACAATTTAACGTTTCTAATAATTACATTTCATCTTCATTTCATATCACAAATACTTTACATCTATATGGTTTATTTATCGTGATTCTGCTATTATCTTCTTTTGCACATAATACTCATTAGCCTTTCTGGCCAATTATCTTCTTTTATAATTATGATTGTTTAAAAATAATTTTCCTCCCACTCTATTACTTCATAAGATCTTCACCATCACTTTATAATTCTCTTGAGTCTAATTTCCTATTGTTTACTCTATTTAAACTACTCTAAAGTTTGCAACACTAGACTCCTTTTTCTCTATCACCCAAGATCTCTCGACAATATCCTTCTTAATAGGAGAACTATTTGCTGGACTATTTCCAGTCTTAGAATATCTGATTTCGATTCCTTGAAAATATTCTCTGAACCTAAATATTTTTTTAAATCATATTGATAAGACTCCTGAATCTCTCTCCCGACCGTTGGGTTCACCTTAATTGCGCACTTTGGTCTAGTCATGTTTATGAAACGCTAGGCGGGGCACTGGTCAACGTTCCAACAGCTTTAAATCACGCGCTCTCCACTAAATGTCACTTTTGTGCTTCGAGGAACGCTGCCGATAATTTGGAAGGGTTATCACCTTTGCCATATCCACAAATAAATAATTCGCTAGGCGCAAGCTGTATTTGCCAAGAGTGCGAGAGGACTTACCATTTCGCTTGCGCCTTGATGGATGGATGTCTCTTTTTCTCCGATAAAGTATAATTATTTTTCCAGTTGTGGCATTGATTGGTTTTGTTTAATTAGGGTAAGTTGAATATTTGATAGATGTTCTTTACGATAATCAAATATTCCAATATCTAACATTTTTGAAATTTTTTAGACCATTATTTGCCCGAAACATAAGTCGATTACTCAAACACTACTCAACAACGCTAAATTCAATGAGGATACTAGAACTCCTCTTACATCTCTGGCTTGTGATCGAAGAGTCTATATTGACCGAGACTTTTCTAAACAATTATCAGAGTAAAAATACCTAGATATATATTTATAAAGATATCTATCCTTATCTATATACATTTTTAGCCTTAACAAATAATAGTTTTTATGAGTTTCTTTATGTTTAGATTAAGACTGAGTACGTCACTAGTGGTTTTGCAACTATGAATTTTGTAATATCTGTACTCAGAGTTGGGCAGTACGTATCCGTTTATATCTAAAATTCAAAATTTTATTATAACTTTATTCAAAATCAATCAGTATAAGTAAATTATCATTAGGAAAATATAGAATAAACACATATTACTACGATGCTAGGGGTAGGGGAGACTTGGGTTAGTTAAACCCCGGAGCTTGGCAAACCACTTAATCTCATTTTAAAATTAAATACATCAGAAGATTATAATTTTATTTTTTATCTGTAGACAAAAAATCTTTTGAAATAATTTTTAAAAAATGAAATTTTCAAAAGATTTTTTACATGACAGAATTTTTATTAAAATATATAATTATATATAAATTAAATTTTATAGCAAAGTTTAAACATTCATCTGTAATTTGGGAAATTTTTATGAGTATTTATTATAGAGGTCTGCATTGGGCGGGGTTTCGGCACTCTCGCCCAAGCCCGCCATCTAAGTGGGCTGTCAAATTATTTTTTAAGAACGGGAAGGCGGGCGGGATAAAAAAATTTATGGGTGGGTGGGCGGTTTAAGAAATTTAAGCAATATGAACTTTTTGGATATTAAATATTAAAATGTCCTATTTCACATTTTTCAACCACTACACATGGAGAAAGTGCATGTGAAGATGTTGGAGGCACAGTGAAAAGACTAGCAGCGAGAACCAAATTACAGGGACCCTATATTTATTTGTTGTCCTATCCACAAATAACAATTGTTTATAAGTTATAAAATCTACCCAGTTTAATTGAATATTTCCTCAAGTCGCTTTATTTTATATTCTGGCCCTGGGAAGTTCTTGCAGTTTCTAAAATAGCAAGAATAATTAGGTGAATTACATAAAATTTTGGGTAAAATATGGCTTGAACAGGGTTATTCATCGTTTTTATTTAAATGTGGTAAATTGGCACCAATATTAAGAATTAATATTATTTGTATTTTCGTTTTCCCCGTCTTTTCTAAATGCCAAAGCATCTTTTATGTAAGACATTTCTCAGGTAATCTTCGTTGTAATAGAAAAATTTTACAGCATTAAACAAACTTACCTATATTTATTCTAGATTTCGTATTAGAAGTTGATAAAATGCTCTTTTCACTAGAAAATTTTTTTGTGGCTCTTGCTACATGATAAATACTTTAAATTAATTTTGATTTTTTTTCTGAAGTGCGGGGCTTCAGTTACTGGTAGTATAGAAGGTGCCACCTCGCCATTCAGTCCAGGGATCGGGTATGAGTCATTATAGATTATTTAAGACAACTAAAACGCTGGAATAAATAAATTACACATAAATTTTATTAGGTTATAAAAAAAATTATCAATCAAAGATATCTTATTGAAAATAATATTTTAAATTTAAACTAAAAAAAAGTATATCCTGTAAACATAAAAATTAGTCCCTTTTATAGGGAAAATAAAACGCGCAGTTATAGATTAAAATAAATTGGCGCAAAGTGAAAAAATAACGTTTGTACGAAATATAGTTGTGTTAGTTTGTCTTACATAATTGGGGATAAAATCTACCCCCCTACTCAAATTATACCTCGTTGAGGGCGATCTCCGAGACCTAAATATCTAACCTATATTTGTTGGGCACCTCACTAAGGACTCTAAATGTACGAAAAACCCCTAAGTAAAAGAAAGCACAAAACCCATATGTTTTACTTTTAATGTACATAACTCAAACAAAAGAGAGACCTAAAAAAAACTTTATTTAATTTTTATGTATTTAAGACAAAACAAAAGAAGGGTAAGAAAACTATTTTTAATTGAAGTGTACTAGATTAAAATAAAATATGGAATAACATATTCAACATTTTCAAATCGACCAGATATCTTGTATTCGGTTTAAAAATTTACATTTTTTGTTACATGATATTTGTGAGAATATATCATTTATGTTTTCATTTTTATTAGAATTTATTACCTTCTCTTTAATGTTTAAACTTGTGGAAATAGTTTTTTAAAAAATTTTATCAAGTTTTTTGGAGGATAATGACATGTAGAAGAGGTGAATGCTCTTCCAGACCTCGAATCTCATGAGTTTAACAAATTGTGGATTTTATATTTATTGATGAATTTATAATTAAAAATATTTATATTTATTTAAAATCTTAATACATATACATAAAATATTTTTTGTATTTGAAATAGTAAATTTCAAAATTTTGGAATAAATACCAAATATAAAAGATTTAATATTTTAAATATAAATATTCTATGCTTCGCAGCTCTAGGGTATCTGTTTGATTTCCTGACGAACCTATTTTTTAAGAATTTTCTGATTATGATGTTACATAGCGTCGGGCAACATATAATCATTTTTTTATAATATATTTTAAACCCTACTCCATCTCTAACCTAGTTAGTGCTACGTCTTATTGAAGGTGTCTTACCTTTTAAGCCATAGTGGCCATTCAAAAATTCATGTTTTTTGAAAAGTTTCTATATAAGGTTATGACGTTATCTAATATTTTGTGAAAGCCCAATAACTTCCAATGTGATGTATAGATTTACTTATATTTTTTCCGGTATTTTCTATTACTTTTTAAAAATTAATATTGACCCATACTTAGAAAAAGATATTTCATTGCCATTTGATTATTATGAAAAGATTTTTTTTTAAATATAAAATTAGGATGATGCAAAATTCGGACAAGTACACACTAAGGATTGGAACTTTAATATTTTCTCAACTCGGTTATCTTTTGCCTGAGCATATTCCCAATTTTCACGATCTCGATTACATATATCCAGTAAATAATTGCTATAAATGACATCTACTTCTAATAAAGATATTGATATTAGTGATCTGCATCGGGCCTAATTTTTCAAGCCCGGCCCGAAATTTTTTTAAAAAGTTTTGCCGGCCTGGCCCGAACCCGAAATTTTTTTAAAAAGATTTACCGGCCCGACCCAAATTTATTTAAATATAGAAATTAATTTTTATAATTACTCAAAATAAAAGACATATGTTATATGGCGTTTATTTCAATAAATAAAATCAAAAAATTTTTATTTTACATAAAAATTCAATATAAAATTGATAAATTTAGATATATTTAAAAAAAATCCGACCCGACCGTGCCCTAATTTTTTTAAAAATATTAGACTCGGCCCGAACCCGATTTTTTAAAATAAAATTAAGCCCGGCCTGAAGCCCGTTCGGGCCGGACTCGGGCCGGGCCTAACTTTGCAGATCTCTATTGATATAATATTTTACAATAAAACTTGACTTTGACTTTATTTAAAAGGTGAAATACAAAGCCATTCGTTATTATTGGGATTACAAAGCCATAGACAATAAACACGTGATACCAAGGAGAAGGGCTTACGAATGCTGTATTGATACGAGTGTTAAGTCTCCAGAAGGAAAATATGTACCTGAATTTATTGTGAACTCCTTACAAATCGTAATCACGTTAGATGAAGGAATTGATATAAAAATTTTGGAAAGTTTTAGGGGAGAAACTGCGAAAGGTTTGATTTTTTTTACTTTTTATTTAACTTTTTTTTCACTCTTTATATTTATGAAACTTAATTTATTTTTTGTTTATATATAAATTTGATAAACGGAATATATTTTAAAACATTTGTATGATAAGCCATTATTTGATTCAAAATTAGGGAAATAAAAATAATGAAGAAAGGAAATATTAAAAAAACCTTGAAATTTCAATTTATTTCTTTTTTTATATTGAATTTATAGCAAGCACATTTATTAATTAACCTATCTAGCGGCCTGGCAACCTTTTCTTACGGCCATCTCCGAAATTCGCTCTACCCCATCCATAGGCTCTACATCTTCTAATTCTACTATTCGCTTAGTGGACCGAGCCCTTCGGGGTGAAGATCTCTTCGGATTAACGGACCCTCCCATTATAAGACTTGTCGAATCTCTTCCACTTCTCGTGAATTCTATAACAATAGATTACCGCTTTAAATATGGGCGAAATCAAGGGGTGGAACTACCCCTCATGACCAACCCTTCAGGTTCTGCAAGGACTGAACCCAATCTTAGAACACATTTTAGAAAGTAAATTTACTTTTAATATTACTTCCTGGTGACTTTTTGAATCATTATTTTAAATTTGATAATAATCAGGTCTGATATTTGCCGTATATTTATTTTATTATAATGAACGCAGGACTGCCACCCATTGAATATTTTATAAACATTTTTATTTATAATAAAATGAATCGAGCCTTATTTAGTAATTAATCTTGAAATAAAAAAAATATGGATATAGATCGGTTAATATTTAAGCCACGATCTATGTATTCGTTCTTTCCTTTTGCTTATTATATATTTTTTCTCTTTATATGCTTTCATTTGCAAATAACTTTCACTAAAATTCTTGGAATTTTGTAGTTTGGCAAATATTTTATTAGTCAAAATAAAAAATATCTAATAATGGCATGGCGCTCTATTTTATATATCATCTTTTCAATTTTTTTATTAATATTTTATATCGTTTACATTCAAAATAAAAAGACCGCTAATTTTAATGAACGCTCCTTTGCCTCCTAAGCATCATCTCCAGTGTTTATCATCTTCTCAAGATCCATCTGAATTTTTAACTCTCAACCCGACCCTCTCAGTTCCTGCCTTAAATGCCTCCCTGACCCCCCAGGCAACTTCTTATCTCTCTGCAGCCCTCGTTTTTGGGCCAGGCACTCATCCTTCCATATTAAACTCTCAAGCTGCTAACAAAACCTCCCTCTATCGTAAAATGAAATGTGAATGTCTTAAAAATGTTTACTTGGGAAAATCTAGGATTCAAGTTTAAATGAATATTTACATATATTATTATTATAAATTTTAGGGGTTCTTTAGTTAAATTTTGACAAGATTATACATACCTATCTAATTGTTAGTTATCTTTAAAAAAACTCTATTAACATATAATTTGTGTTACCCATTAGACACTTTGTAAGAATTAAAGGGATTATAAATATCAGAAAACTGTGGCCCAGGTATACGGTCTGAGCCATATCTTTTTTAATATATCCGGGCTGGACCGAATGTTTCAATTCACCATTGTTATCTATAAAAAACAGAGACCTGCAGAGGTACCATTTGTACAGCCCGGCCTGGATTAAAAGATTTTTTGGGGGCCAAACCCAGCCTTTAATATAAAAAAAAAATTTTTTTTAAGCCCGGCTCGGAATTTTTTAAAATTATATTCGACCTGGTATATACAAAAAATTCATCTATTTGGTATTTTAACATATTTTTCGGCTAGTATTATCATTTAATAGCAAGCATATTAGTACATATTTTATTTTTTTTATATTCTAAACAGATATTTAGTAAATTACAAATTGATACTATAAAAAATTTGTGTAAATAATATTTTGGAATATACTATATTAATTGTATTTATAAAAAAAATAAAACTGATATTTTAATTAATAAAAAATATAACATATATTATGTAATAATGTATTTAATCCTTTGCGTATTTATTCCATGCCAGGAAAATTATAATTAACTATGAGTGTTAGCTAGTGTTAACTTTCACCAGACATTATATTAATCATAAACCATATCTAATTGACGAATATAATAATTTATGTTGTATAAATTTTTTTAAAAAATACGGCCTGGCCCGGGTATTTAAAAAAAAAATTTCAGGCCCGGGTATATTTTAAAATACGGCCCGGCCCTAGATAAAAATAAATAAAATGTATATGAAAATTGTGTGTTAGAACTCAACTAATCATTATTTTTTATATTCTCTCAAATTAAAGGCAACAAAGATACAGTCAATATTCAAAATAATATACATTTTAAAGGGAAAAATTTATTTTAGATAAGTATCATTTTATCTCCTTTTCTATGTCCTAAATTTAGGTAATTATATATGTTACCAGGGAGAGAGTACAAGATAACTGATAGTTATATTTAAAAAAGGACGATATTAAATTATAAGAGGAACATGAAATGAGGGAATTACTATCGACCAGTAGAATAAAAAGTGGATATTTCAAACATAATATAAGTTAAGTTATATATGGATTTCATATTCGCTGAAGAACGATCCGTAAAATGCCTAATAGATTTTAATTTATCTTAAAAACCAAAACCGTATAATACACCCTAGCTAAAAAATCCTGGCCGGGCCTGAAAATATAAAACCAGAGTCTTTTCGAAAATTTTCTTTCAAAAATCCGGGTCTAGCCGTGCTAATGGTAACTCTGCAAATAAATATATAAATAATTATTTTCTAGGAGCTAAAAAATTTCAAATTGATACTTTTCTTTCCTCTTTTCTTAAACATCCATTGTATTTTTATCACATAACATGTGTATATATTCAAGGGTATGGGGCTTTTTGCGGCAAGAGATTTCGATCGTGATTCTATGATAATCGAATATGTAGGTGAACTAATCCGTTCCGAAGTAGCAGAAGTTAGAGAACGTTCCGCCTTGCTAGCTTCCGCTTTCGCTTCCACTTATTTCTTCCGCCTCGATGACCATAGCGTATTAGATGCTACAAGGAGTGGCGGGCCAGCTAGGTTAATATATAAAGGCTTGACCATCATTAAGCCTGTCAATAAATAAATGAAATGATATTGTAAATGATGGTAATTTTTTTTGGCTATTCATCAATTATTCAATTTTTTTTATAATAAATTATATCAAAAAGGTTCATATGTAAATAAATAATTTTCAATTGATGGGTAATCATAAACTATTAGATTTTTTGTTTCTCAATTTAGAAAATCATTTTTTGGGAGTTTTGAAATCATTTTTTCTTTTAAATTATTAATCTTTGACTCTCATATAATTTAAGGTTGACTGCTCCTAAAAAAATCAAACTATTATTTTTTTATGGTATCGATTACGCAAATCTTCCTTAAAATAATTATGTTTAAAAAAATTGACATTATTTTTGTTGAATATCAAAATAAATAAATAATTTTTCTTCTGAAAACAGAATTTAAATAAAATATATCGATGAAAATACGTAATTAGGATTCTAAATAATTAAATTTGATTTTTGTTAAACTTTGAAAAATAGATAAATTATGAAAAAATAAATAATGATCAGTTTTTTTTGCTATTTAATATTATTTTTTTTGATTTTTAAGATAAATCCATATAATATTATAAATTTAATTTTTTAAAACAAATTTAAATTAAAAATTTTGAAAATCGCTGTATTACACCTATTATAAAATAAATAAATGTGACGACAAGTGGAATTATAATGTTTATTAAGTTCGGTTCAATACAAACTGCAATTTTTTTTACTAATACATTTCTGCATTATTATAACACAAATGCCTCAAAATCGACTCTTTTTTTCTTCTTCATACCCTTGATTAATTTTTTTTACCTTAAAGATACATCAATCATTCTTGCGATCCCAATTGCCGAGCCCAGACTATCACCATTTTTGTATCATCTGCTTCAACATCTGTACCCGACGATTCCGATATTGGTGGTGCTATCTTAAATTTGCCGACCCAAAATGGGAGCGGACAAGGAAAATTTTTGGCCAAGACCAAGAAAATCGTCATAGTAGCGAATAAAAAAATTCAGAGGGGAGAAGAGGTAAGAAATTGTGTAAATTTCCTATATATAACGAGTATCGAATCCCGGTTAAGGGCTTATGCTTTAAGCATTCGAATACCTTGAGACTTTTAATTAAAAATGGAATCTAATATAAAAACGAACCTAAGTATGTTTGAATCGCTAAAATCTTGTTAAATAGTGCAAAGATAATTTTTTTTTAAAATTTATTCCAATAATTGTAAAATTTTTGGATTTACAAAAGTAGAAATATATTGAATAACTTATTTTAAGAAAATTAAATATCGTAAACTAATCTAGTCATGAAAATATTACATGATTTATTTTTTCCTCATACTTATAAGCTCTGTTACGACTACAAATTTGAATATGAAGGCGAAAATAACAAATTATCATGTCTTTGTGGTGCCCACAATTGTAAAAAATGGATGAATTGAATACCTTTTTTTTAAAAAAAAAATGTTTGATACACATATTAGATAAATTATATCCATAATTTTATTTTTTTTAGATTTTATAATATAAAAAATATTCATTATAATATATATCCCCCCCCTTAACTTAAATTTTAATTTTGACACCATTAGGACCTATTTATACAAAAAAAATTACATGTAAATATTATTATTGTATATTTGTATCAAAGGATTCATAATGTTTTGTACGCTATGTTTGAAAGCTTATTTATTAAATTATATTCATAATTCAAACTACCAAAAAATTATATACGCTTATAAAACAAAAAATTAAGGTGTGGTCGATTTATAAAAACAAACTTCTATTTATATGAAATATGTTTCTTTTTTTTTTTATATTTGAAGATGCTCAGGCTCATTTTAGACAACGATTTGTTATGATTTTTCTTAAAGTATATTTCAATATTTTAAAATAATTTAATAAACTAGAAAGTCAAGTCATTATAAAGAGTAAAAGCTATTGTAGAAAGGTTTTATTCCCTTAACATTATTGCATCATTGTTTTCGTTTTTTAAGAAACCATATTTTTGGAACAAAATTTTTAATTATAAATTAAAATATCCGGGATGAACATTAAGGCAGCAGTTGATAATGAATTTATAAAGATTATTTTTGATAAGCGCAAAATTTTTGGCATTCGAAGCATCATTTTGGTAACAATTTTTTCTTAAATATTATTTTTCTACACCATTTTAAAAACAATGATGGCATAGTTTATGTTTTATCTAGCAAAATATTTGGCAGATATTTATGTATAATGTATAATAAATTAAATGATAGATATAGCCTTGAATATTACTTTTGAGTTTTTAAAAGGGGTATATTTAATATAATTGGCTGGATATATTTTTATAAACAAAGCTCTAATAACATAAATATATTATATATAATTCTGCCTATGGCTAGATTTCATGAATTACTCGTGCTAAATGGCTAAAAGCATTTAAAAATATTTTAAGAATTTTTTTGAGCCCTTGAAACGGCACTAAATTTTAAATTAAACAGGTTTGTCCTATTTCCAAAAAATTAATTAATTTTTTTTCAAACCTAACCCATTTTTTTTCTTTAAATCCGAGCCTGATTAAAATTTTTAGGCCTGAGTTAAGCTTTGGGGATGATCTTACCATATATTTCACTATAAATATTCATAATTTCTCATGTTAGATGACCTCACTTTATTTTGAATTGGCGAAGCTTGATGAGCTTGGAAGCAAATAAATGCAGCAAAACGATTATAAATTCATTTCATAAAAAATAAAATTAGTTGATACTGATTCTCACGCTTCGATCTATATTTTAATCCTTAGCTTAGCAATAGGCTGCAAGAAAATTTCCAAAAATCTAATCTGAATCATTATAAGCCTACTTTAAAAAAATTTAAGAAATTTTTGAAAGATTTGTGGAAGGAATTCGCAGATGTCAGAGAAACGCCTTCAGAAGAATCCAATAATTCCTAATAAATAAATCACTAAAAAGCCCGTTCTACGATCAGCTTATATTATTAATTTAGATAATTTTTTCTTATTATTAGACATGTCGTATTGGGATAAGAACATGGGGATTCGGAATCTCAATTATGCATCATTTCTTAAGGGCGATTTTTAAATTTTAAAAATCTGATCTGACAGGAATTGTATATCAGCATGTATAGAGTACCCAAACTGCAAATTTCGAACAATTTTGCCATAGACTTTAGAACTACTCCTAATTTATATTAATTTTTATATAGATTTTTCATATAAATTAAAAATACTAAAATGTCTGGCACAAATTGGCTAAAATGAGTAAATACTCTACACCATTTCCGGTTAAATCGGATATTTTTAAAATCGCCCTCCATTAAGGATTTAAAATCGAGAGATTTCGATTCCAGACTGATTTTATATCCAGATACGACATACATATGAATAATAGATTTGCAGAGGTCAAACCTGGCCCCGATTTTTTTTTGCATTTTCAAGCTCAATCCGATTTTTTTTAAAAATATATTTTTTGCTAACCCAGATTTTTAAAATTTTATTGCCCAAATTTTAATAATATTATTGTCCTGATTTTTAAATTTTTGTTAAATAGGCTTTAAAAAAAATTACCTAATTTACTTTACAAGATCCGACAAAGAATATCAATCGTAATTTGTCGATTCAACTGTAACATACATGGGTCATTAAGCCCCACCGACCTAACCTAAATATATATTTTTTTATATAGATATGGTGTGTTAATATTCATAATCTAAATTTTATTATATTGTAATCTTTTTTAATATTGAATCTGAAAATAAAATTTCAATCTATAGAAAGAAAAAGAATCCTTTACTATGACTAAAATTTAAAAAAAAACGTTACCTCATTTTTTAAATATTCTTTCTACTTATTAGATATAGTATTAGGGCCAAATATTGTTTGCAATTTATATTATTCATTTTAAAAGTTTGTAAATTCTAGCCCGCTTCTGTTCGTTATTTTTATTTAAATTTAAAAAGTCAGCCTCGACACGTTAACTTTTTTGTACGAATTTTCCGGTTAACATATTTTAATATTTATATCTAATTTTTTCCCAATGTCAATTAAGGCCCATATATCTCTCCTCTATGGCTATCTATTTACACAACAACAGACTTTTGATGTCTGTATTGTGAATTTGTAATTAAATCCTAAATAAATTGTTCAATTCTTTGTGAATTTTTTTTACTATATTATTTATAGATTTATTATTTTAGACTGCTCATAAGATATAAAGAAAGCATAATATTATAATCTATTTTCAAATAATATTAAAATATTCGCTAAATTAAAAAAATATATCAAAATTTAAACGTCCAAAGCTGGCCTATTAAAATTATAACTAAAAATTAGGGATTAGCGAGACCCTGCCTCATTTTTTATGCATGCTGCCTGACCTTTTCCGAATTTTTTTAAGTCCGAATTGTCTGCCGTTAGATTTTTTTGCTCGGCTCGATATAATTTTTAAAAAAATACCCGCTCCTGGTCGCTCTTTCTAGCTGGATAGTCTGGAAAATTAAAACTTGTCAAATAGCTTGATAAGAGATGAGAACTTTAATCATTTTATTACCATACATTCTGGAAAAATATTTTTTAGTTGAGCCACTAAGAAATAAAAATCGAAATGTATTCAATCATAATACTACGAGCATGACTATCCAATTCAATGTTACTAAAATGAGATTAATTTGAAACCGACTTAAATAATAATGGCCTTAAGATTCTTACAAAATAATATAATGAAGTAAAAAAAACTTAACAATTAACATAAAATATTTTTACAATTTTTTTATGATAAATTTAAAAAAAGACAATTTTTATTATGATAAATTTTAAAAAAGACAATTTTTATTATAACTTCAAGGTAGGTAAAAAAAAGGTACTTTTTTAATATAAAAAAATATATATCCAAATATTTATTTACCATTATGATCTAAAAGAAAGAATATTCAGACGAAAAATATTTTATTTAAATGATATAAAAACTTATCCATTTTTTAGATATTAATGTTAGATAAATCTAATTTTATACCCCAAAGGAAAATTTGAAATTTCAGTCCCCATAATGTGCAAATTTAAAATATTTATTACGAATCGTTTTTTTTTTAAAAATCTCCACCCTCTCGAAAAATTGCAAAATATGAAAATAACGACTAAAAATATTATAATCGATGTTTAGTGCCACATTAAACTTTTTTTAAAATATTTTTCGAATAATAAATAATCCACAATAATTAAAAAAAAATTTAATTGAAATAAATTTTTATCAGAAGCTACAATAGGATACACATGGAAAATATTAATCATGAGACATTTTTGAAAATAAAAATATAATTTATAAAAATAGAGTATTTATTTTAAGATAAGTCAAATAACATATTTCTTTATAACTAATAGCATTTTTGCCAAGTTAAATCAAATAACATTATCCTTCAGCGTTTTTTTAAAAAATACCGAATCTATTTCGCATTTTTCCCATTATTTAATCAAAGAAACATAAAAACAATTGGGAAAAATTTTGGTGAGTTGATAAAGAAATTTTTTTTAATAAAGGAATTAACTTTATTTGCTAATTTTAGGTAGAATTTTTCTTCAATAATGCTGATGAGTTATTTAAATATTACAAAATGAGGATTGAATTTTTTATGAATTTTTTTTTGAAAAAATAAAACATTTTAAATTAGAAATTATATAAATATAGAATCATGATTTAAATATCTAGCACAAAAAGATCTGAGAATGGTACACAGGACAAAAAGACACTGTCAAAAAATTAAAAATTTTCTCAAATATACTTTTTAAATGGATCTAGATGCATATATAATTTTTATTATAATTATTTAAGGTGTGCATAATATTTAATTTTGAATTCTATTGTTAAAATTCGAAGTGAGCTAAAAAAAAAATTATTGAGCTGATATCACATCTATACAAAATATATAATTAAATGATTATAAATATAATTAATTGTTTGATTTTAAATAATAAACATTCTCAAAATTTTATAAATAAGGAACCCCTGTTTATATGAAAGACATTTTTAGCAACACTTAACTTTTTTCTACTGTGGCACTTATGTTTATTTAAAGAATAATAACTTTATATTGGGATAATCATTAAATATAAACACATATTTTTATAAAAATCATTCAAAATTTGATGAGTGACAAAAGCTTATATCATCTAAAAGGTGCCTAAAATAATATAATCAAATAATAAATTATTTGATTTCTTTCCAGAGATTATCTAAAAATATTAATCTAAAAATTATGATATATTTTTTTAAAATTAATATAAATAAAAATAAATTATAATATAAAATTTACCATGTTGGCGTAATCCAATTGCCTAAAATTTGTCAAGCTTAATTTTGTAATGAAATAAACTAGAACATATTATTAAAATTTAATTCATTATTATTTTTAATATAAAAAAATGTAAATAATATATATCTAAAAATAGACATCTATATCTATAAATAGTATCTAGCTATAGATACTTTAATAAAAAGTATCTAGATACACAAATTCTGGAATTTTTGTCGAATGTTCCTGGGTACTTTTCTCTGCGTCTTTTTGACCAGGAACAGGGCCCTTATGTCAGTGATTTTAATATAATACAAGCTAAATAGCACATTACAGTGTTCTACCAAATCACATTTGAATATAACTCCAAATTCCAACGCCATAGGTTAAATTTTAATTATTTTCAAAAAATAAAATTTTTTATTAAAAGATAACAATATTTGTGTCATAGAATTTGTTTATGTTTCGGAAATTAGTCATTCATATTTAAAATGTGAAAAATATGTTTTTTTTGTTTATTTTTTTCACATTTTTTCGTTGACAATTTTTTTTGAAAGATTATATTTCTTAGAAAAATAAAAAAATATTTTTTTAACCAAAAGAAAAATTTCGCATTTTAAAATTCGCAATTTAAAAAGGAATTCAATTATTTTTTAAAAAAAGGTAAAATTTTTATATTTCTGATGATTTAATTGTTCTTTTAAAAAAATACTTTAAATCATTAAATTGCCACTTAGATTAGATGGAGTTTTCGGAAACTTAAAAATGGGTTGTGGTAACAAATATTTCATTTTTATATAAATTTGGGAATGAAAATGAAAATGAAAATTTAAAAAAAATATATTTCTTAGGAAACTTTAAGTCTGAATTTATGATAAATGATGATAGGTAAAAAAAAATCAAATTTTTAAATCATTTAAAATGTAAGACTTTAGAAACTGAACCCGGAATGATGAATTAGGTCCAGTTGTTTTTTTATGAACCCAAATCTGAGCCCATTTTAAAATTCCATGTAATCCTTGTTAAACCTAAATTTTTTCAAAAAAAAGGTTTGATTTCAGTTTATAAAAGTTATTTTACTTATTTTTTATGAAATTTTATTTTATATTACTCCTTATATTCCACGTGGTGAGTGGTATGATAACGATGCCGTTATGCAAACTTTAATTTTTCCCCTGACTTCCAGTAAAAAAAAATAAAAATTTGCAGCCTTTGGATCATCTTCCGAAATTTAATATCATCTTTTTTAATTTATTTTATATAATTATTTAAGTTTTCGGATTTGATATTCTATAAGATTCAGTAATATTATAAGAATCGGATGCCTACGGTCTTTTTATAAAATTAGATGAAAATACACACAAAAATGAAGGCAACACAACTAAATGATCTTTCTTTTAGTCTTATAAACAACTTATTATCATATTATTAGCACATTGATGTCATTTTACCTAGAAGTGTCTGCAATAGGCTAGTTAAAAAAATTTAAACATTAAGCCGGTAGCTTAAAATTATTTTTAAAACGATAGGTGAGCGGGCCAGTGAATTTAAAATATTTTTAAAAAGAAATTATTTCACAATATTGCACATTTTATAAGTTTGATTTATATATTTAAAATAAATGCCAAACCAAACAATCAAAATAATTTTAAAAAATTGGGCCAACGGGTTAAGCAAATATTTTAGATAAATGGGTGAGTGTATCTTTTTTTGAAACCATAGGCGGGCAAGCGGGTTAAAATATTTGTTGACTGGGTTGATGGGTTTTTGAGTTACTCGCCAAATGCAGACCTCCAAATCTATAATGTATATACATAGATCATGTTTTTATAATGGTAAAATCATTTTCCTTCAGTAAAGATAATTTCTCTAAATTACAACTTTGAATTCAATGTATAATGGGCTTCTTAAATTCCTCAGCATTTTCGTTTTACGCCATTTTATTTTACCAATAAAATAGTTTAATTTTGCCCTTTTAAAATTTAGTGTCATCGATTAACATTTTTTAAACCCGAATTAAGTAATCGAACCCGTTTTTATGCCTTGATATAAAATTTAATTCTGTTTCTAAAAACCTGACTACTAATTATTTTCACGATAAATATAACAAAATATCTTATCAAACGATTTTTTCTCACATACCTTCTGATTTGTCTCATTTAATCATTTCTTACAATATTTATAGAATGCTAATGCTACATTTCTTACTATAAATTCCATAAGTTAAATTTAGGTATCATCGACACCGATATAATATACTATATTTTAAGTAATATTATATAAGTATATGCAACTTTTAAAAAATATATTTTAAATTTTAACCTATTCTTTCGATTTTTGTTATATTTTATTGATGTGTTTAAAGTAACTACTTAAATTTTTTAAAAAATACTGTAAAGTTAGTAGCAAGTTACTTTTGAATAAATGTAACAACTCACTTTTGAATAAATCTAATTACATTTATCTGGAAGGTAACGACTAAACTCGAACAATTTTTTTTGCCAAAACTGAGAATATATATTTATCATCAACATTTATTGGATGCAATTATGTGAATTTTATTTGAGCTGTAAGGCAATTTCTATGGCAAAGGATGAAAAATATTTTGCCAATAGAATATTTCCCCTAATTATGAAATTAGAGATAAATAAAATATAAGTATTTTGTCTTTTTGATCTGTCGAAAGAAGCTAGCTATATTAGGAATGAAACACGTCCCAGGGACGTTATACGTAGGAAGGGACACATTCCGACTCGGACATGAAACAAAGAATTTTTTTAAAAAAGTTTATTAGTCTCTATAAAAAAGAAATTATGAAATCTATTTTATATTAATAGGGAACAAGCTTAGAATTTCTGTTTTAATATTTCGAAATAAGAAATATAATTATAAATTTTGAAAAATTATAAATCGCTAAATAAGAGTTGAATCTATATGTAATTACTTTGTTTATTTTTTTTATAAACATCCTTAACCCAATTTTAAAAATATGATTTTTCATAATTCAGATAAAGAAAAAAAACTAGAATGTATACCTCTTTTAACGATACCCTTCACCTCTTATCTAATTTAGACGAAGAAAATCAAATTTATCTTCCTGGGATCAGATCTTGGACTGAAAATTGTGAATTGAATGAAATAGATATGAAGATAATCGACAATCAATATGTTAAAGAGGATATAAATGAAGTGTTAAAAATGTGTTTGGATGAGAAGGAATTCAATGAATTGCAGAGTCTAGCCCTCGAAATGGCTTTTAATGATATCGACAGGATATCAAGTCACATTCATATCCCAAAAAGTTAAATTAAAATAAAATTTTTAAATTAAAAATTAAAATGGAGGGAAGGGAAGGGAAGGGAAAGGAAAAGGGAAAAAAGATTCTGATTTTCTTTTTTTATATCATATTAAATAATGTTGTATATTACAAATGTATTTTTTATCTACATATGTCTGAAAAATTGATCATGAAAATAGATCCGTATCATTGGACTACAAGTGACGTTAAAACTTGGTTAATTCACATGTTCCAATTGGACCCGAGCCTGAATTATGACCTATTTCATCTGAATGGGGAAGATATTACAAAGATGTCTATCAATAAAATGTCCAGCTTTCTAAATATTCAATTAGCTCAAAACATCCATTCTGAATTGGAGATATGGAAAAATGGTTTTTAAATATATTTTTATATTACATAAAATGTTTGAATTCGAATCTAAGGGTATGCTATATAATATTTCTAATAGAAAAATTATTTTTATGATTTTTTTTAAATTTAAGTTTAATTATAAAGTTATCTTCTACAAATACAAAATGTTTTAAAAAGTATCTAATTTGATGGAACAAAATGGGACCCCTACATGCATAGAAAAATATTCCTTAATGTCAGTCGAAAATGAGATCCATTTGAATCACTTTCCCAAAAGCGAATCTAGACTTCATGATATTCAAACGTATAAATCACTCTCGAATTATGGTTGTGCAGAAGAAAATTTATCAGACAGCGAAGAAAGCGGATTTTATAGCCATTCTAGTCCAATAACTAGATTAGACGAACGATTTGATATGTTGGATATCAGGAAAATATCTCCAAATTTTAACTTACCTACAAGCATTCAACAAGATAAAACTAAATTTTTCCATCCATATCCCAATAGAACCTTTCAATTGCTCAGTAATTTACCTTCCCAAAGCTTGGGTAACGAAAATACTTGCAATAATAATATTATAAATGATACCCAATATAATACTAAAGGTAGTCCGCAAGATATATACGATCATTATGGAGATAGTTTAGGTTCTCAGAAAGTTATTAACATTAAGCAACAGCCGGCGTGCGACCAGAATAACGATAATAATCATAATTTAATATCAGAATTGTTAGGGTTGCCCGATAATTATTTTGAAGATGCTGGGATGACGAACACCAAAATCAGTTTAATTTTAATTAATATTATAAATAATTGTAAGAATAATATAATAATGTGCATAATAAACAGACCCTGTTTTAAAATAAGTTTAATGAAAAAAATAAGCGTTGTTAATGTAATAAGTTACATTTTTTAGAAGAGATAACTTTTACTGTAACTTGGGAAGTTAAATTTAAATAGTAACTTGTTAATACCTATAACTAATTACCTTTTCTGGAAAATAAATGTAACTCTAAAGCTATATTTCTAAATTTAATTTGCAACTAGTTACTTTTGATTTTTTTTTGTTGAGTAACTCAAATCCCCTACGCTAATTTTTTAAAAAAATATAATAAATATTTGAACTTATTTTTAAACGATGTAACTTGTAACTGCAACAATAAATAACTTCAATAATACTAATAATCATATTCTCATGCCTAAGAAAGAAAATATTATAGAAAATAAATGATTATAATCAATAAAAAAAATAATTTTGGTGAATTTCGTTAGAATTTCGTTAGAATTTCGTTAGAATTATGTTAAAAATTTTTATTAAATGTTTTATTTGCGATTGATAATTATTTTATTCAAGATATTTTGTTTTATTGGATAAAGTTCTTAAGATTTTTATCAGTTCACAATAGCTGACCAATTAAATAAAATCAATCAAATTGTAATTATATTTGAAGATAGAACCCTTTTTTTAAAAAAAAATGCAAATAAGTTTTGATTTTTAAAAAATTAATTAATGTCCACTCTTCACGGAAAGCACTATCTATTTTACTGATAATATTTAATTTTTTTTATTTAACATAAGAAGTTAACTCAAAACTCTATTTTTTTCCAAAAACTAAAAAGGTAGCTCAATGAAAGTATCTAAATGCGGGGAAAGATACAAAGCTAGACCCCCTCAAAATACCCACTTATGGTTTTTCCTTAAAGAACTCTTAGACAATTCAGAATTATACGGCAACTATTTAAGATGGTCGGACAGAGAAAAAGGTATGCTTAAAAGCCAATATAATTTCAATTTCAAAATAAGAATATATTCAGATATTTTTGCAAATATATTAAAATTACCCTCTGTTGAAAGTTTAAAATTATTTTAAAATAAAACTCTCATTCTTTGTAATATAGTCTAGTTTTCCTTGTAATATACGAGTATGATTTTAGATAAAATATCACAAGTATGCTTATGTATGCTAATGAAAAATATTTTTATTTATACTAAAAAAAGCTATATTCCGAATATATAATTCTTATGAAGTGGCGAAGCTATGGGGTAAAAGGAAGAATCGACCAGCCATGAATTATGATAAATTGAGCCGATCTCTAAGGCAATATTACAAGAAAGGAATTATGAGAAAGACTAAAAGATCTCAACGATTGGTGTACCAATTTGTTGGCAAATATGCACTTTGAAAATATGGATTTGATGTTTTTTTTTAAATATTTAATTCATGATATATTTGTGATTTAATTCACCTTTTAAAAAAATCAGCCAGGTAATATGGCATAAAGAGTAAACAAAATTTTTCAAACACATTTATATATATAAATAGGATATTCGAGAGTCGAATAAGTGAAATTGTGAAATATCCTTTTGAATATATTTAGCCCGATTAATAGTCTTCAACTTCGAAAGGATACTTCAACAATTTTACTTTTGGCTATGTTAAAAATACTTAGAAATCATTTCTTTTGCAAGTATTGCAAAGAAATCACGTTTTTATATTTATAATATTTATTGTAAACTGGTAAATCTAGTATTATAAACGCAATGATAATTCATATATTATATATTATGAATATTTATGATGTATCATTTATATTTTTACTCTTCTGGTATTAAGAAGAGTATTGAATCGTTTTTTATATAATTTTTGATAATATGAGAGGTATTCTCATTTACACGATGTTTAATTTACTCCATATGGGAAATTTTTATTTATAAAATATATTTCAATTCAATAAAAGTTCATTCTACATATGGAATCAGTATAAGGGGCGTCGTTAGTTTTTTTATAAAATGGAGTGCTAAAAGATGATAATTTATTTTTAGTGCCTAGAAATTTTTTTAAATCTATTTAAATAAAATTTATGGTGCGCTTCACCCACAAACCCCCTTTGGAGGACCTTCGGGTCGCTTTTGCTCTGTATTCGTCCGGCTGCATGTCCATAGATATATCTTCTAAAACATGTATTCGTTAATAAAAATTATATCTAACACAAATGTTTTATCCTTGATCATGACCAATAAAATAAATCCTAAAATAACCCAAATTTTAAAGATTTCGTTATCAAAAAAATTAGAAAAATATTTTTACTAAGTTCGTCCCTTGATTTTTTCTCCCAAATTAAAATGTGACTAATTAAAAATGATCATTAAATTAATTGAAAATTAATCACAACCTTTTATATTTCAAAAATCAGCGATATGAATGTATATTTAAATTTTACAATTAATATATTTTGATTCTTCACTATTTTGTTTTTGCTTAAGGCGAAAAGAAGGAATTTATAATGATAAAAATAATTTATGCCACATAAGGGAAATAACAATTATTTAAAATCAGGGATTCGAACCGAACCCAAACCCGGAGAAGTGAACCCGGGTTTTTAGAAAAAAACTCTGAACCCGAACCGAACCTGAACCCCATTTATAAAATTTTCAAAACCCCGAACTGAACCCAAGAATTTTATTTGAACCCGGGTTCAACCGGGTTCAGTGTATTATTTAAAATCATATATTAATATATGTAAATACAAATATTATATTTTCAAATTTCCAATTAAATGAAGTGTTAATAAATTTTAAACAACTTAATTCGTTTATGCCATTTTTAAATTTATTCTCGATTCCTATTGGAGTGTTAAAAAATTTTAAATAATTGAATTAATTTACGCAATTTATTTTTAAATTTTTATCTTATTATTCTTAAAGATTATTAATTAGAAGAAAATGGTTAACAAATCAAATTAAAAATTATTATATGTTAATTTAAAAAATTCTAAACATCTAACTTAAAAATTGTTAAATGTAGGGCAGTTTTTGTGAACTTATTAAAATGATTTTAGAGAAATTGATACAACTTAAAGAAAGGCAGGAGAAAATACTTAAAAGAGGGCCAACGATTGCTGAGAATTGGAACAATAATTACTGGATTTAGCGATTATAAAAGATTAGATAAGAAGGAAAATATTTTGCATTTTTGGGAGTCTGCTAAGCTGGAACACCCTGAATTATATATTTTATCTATAATCTTATTTGCTGTTCCTGCAACCCAAGTTAATTTATCATATTTTCACATATAAATACATTTAACATAGGTTAGCGTTGAAAGATCTTTTTCACATTTGAAATTCATTCTTTCACCACATAGATCGAGGATGAGTGAACAACTCTTGGAAGATATTATGCTAATACGTCTAAATAAAATTTTTTAAATTGATACATGACTATATGCTTTGTATTTTTAACTATATTTGCCTATAAATAAAATAAAAAATTTATTTTTTATATCAAATTTATGTCTAGTTTTTTATTATGATTTAAATATAGAATTTTTTTTATCAACTCAAAAATTCTTGAACCCGAACCCAACCGGAACCAAACCCGGGTTCAAAAATATTTCCCTAAACCGAACCCGAACCGAACCCACCTTTTTTTTATACCCCGAACCGAACCCGAATTGAACCCGGGCAAAAATTTTGTCGGGTTCGCATCCCTGTTTAAAATAGGCCCTTAAATTTCGTAAGAAAGTATTTAAAAAATATATATTAATGTATTTGTTTAAGTATTTTAAAAAATACATCAATATATATTTTTTTAAAAGGGTGTTAATTCACAAAATTAATGCTAATTTTGAAAAAGGGGTGCTTTAGCATCTAAATCACTTTGCTAGAGGCACCCTTGCACTGAACATTGAAAATATTGTTTATAACAATTCTTTTAAATCTGTATCTTTCTCTGCTTCCATTTCTAAAGTATTAAATATAATTTTTTTTTTTAAATTGTTTAATTGGGAGAAAATGGGGAATTTAAAGTGTGAATCAGGTTCATTTTCATGACTTAAACGTAAGCATAAAGATTACAACTCAAACATTTTTATCTTTAATTAAAATTTCTTTTAATTTCCTTTTTATCTATTCTATATACAAGCTTTTGACTTTTATAAAAAATATTTTTTTTAAACATAAATTTTGACAGTTTAAATCATAATTTATCAAATATATTGTAATGAAATATTATCAAAACTGACCTCAGACCTCAACTAAAAAATATAATTTATATATTTATATATACGTATATATAAAAAATGAAAAATTTATGTTTCATAATTTATTTTAAATATACTTTTCGCGTTGATCATATAAAGTATAATAAGTTCGCTTTGATGAACGTTTGCCATTGAACATGTAACTCGGTAAGATATTTTTTTTATAAATTATAACTTATTTATATAGTATTGTTTTAAGGTTTAAATATTTGTACATTTTCTAATTAAATAAAACAGTTCCATAACAGAGAAAACGGTAGGAAATTAACTTTCTGACTAATCTAAATTTTCTTCTCCATCTTCAAGTAGTGATCTGCCTCAAGTCCTGTCCGGTCCAAAAATTTTAAAAAAAAATTCGTACAACCCAGCTCGATCCTGAACAAATATTTTTTATTTGTCCCGAAAAGCCCAACCAAAAATAAAAAGTATTTGTCTGGTCGGCCCCAATTTATTTAAATATAGAAAAATATAATATTTTTCTTTATTGTAAAACTAGTATTCTATAAATAAAAAACATTAGCGCCTTGTTTCTTGCAAGAATTTCAAAAAATATCAATTTATTTGACAAAATGTAATGATATGATATTTAAAAATTTAAGAGAGACCCGGCCTGGGATTATAAATAGGCCCGACCCAGCTTGAACCTAAATTATTTTCAAAAAAATATATCCTGCCAAGGTACGGGTCGGCCGTGATTTGCAGATCTCTCTTCAAGTGTCATTTCTTCTATTTGTTGAGAGTTAAGCATTAATTAATAATCCTAATATATAACTTATTTTTTTATTCTTTCGTGCAATACAAATATATTTATAATCAATATGATTTTGTTCTGATTTAATGTAATCGGATCCCAAAGTATATTTTTTTCAAAGAGAGGTATACAGGGACCCGAACCTTTATTTAAAACGAATCTGTTTGGTTATGGTTCAGTATATAAAAATTCATAATGGTTACGGTTCGATTAAGGTTCTTAAGACAAAAGGGTTCATTACGTTTATTTGAAAAATTTTAAAATTATTTTTATTGAAGCAACACCATCTATATGATTTTAACTATAAATATTATTTATTACAATTTTTTCCATACTTAAGTTAATATATTGCTTATTTATAAAAAGGATGAGATGAATTTATTTATTTTTATTGTAAGTATCTATGAATAATATATAGAAATTATAACTTTGTACAAGAATTTATTAATGTATTTTTATCCATCTTAGCCCTGATCATAGTTTAAATGGCTGCTATATAGAAATATTATGATTAAATTTCGAGTATTGATGGTAAAATATATTTTTCCAAATTAGCTTCATGGTTACTTTTATAACAATACTATTCTAAGGCTTTAAATATACTCAAATGCCAAAATTAAATAAATAATATATAAAATTAAAGCCTTATAAATCTTGTCATTTTGAAATTTATATGGGAATAATCTTCCTTCTCTCTAATTACTCAGGGTAATCATATTATAATTAAAATTATTTTAATGGTTTAGATTATTTGGATACTAAAATAGATAAAATAAGGAATACGGTTCGAATACTATAAGAAGAAGGTAAAAGATTGAGGATTAATTTAAGTCATAGTGAAAAAATCAATACATACTTCTTATGGATATTAAACAAATTGATAATTTAATAATTATAAAAATAGAGTAATACCTTAAAACAACGAGGAAATAGTAAAATATATAATACTACAAGTTAAAGAATGTAAATAAAAAAATTAAAATTTCTAATACACCTTTATCTGGTTGATGTTACCTATAATCAGACTTGTCATAGCACCCTCATTAGATTTCATGCCTATATTTAATTTTATCTTTAATTACATTAGAAAATCTCATACCATCAGAGATATATTCGGATTCTCACATATAGCTTCTATTGTTTTACAAATAAAATATCTTATATATAAATTCATTTACATATTATCTTTCTCTTAACGTTTTTGCTTACATTATTTATACATCTCAGAACTACAATTAATCTTCTTTTATTTTCAGAAACATAATTTGAAATTGAAAAATTGTATTTTAAATGTACTTTTCTTCCCCAACACTTTCATTTCCTCCTCTTCTTTTGTTTAAAATATTATTAATATTGCTTCCATTTACATTATTTAAAGTAATTCATCTCAAGATCAATCTCTTCTTTCTACATTATCTAATAAATATAAAATAAATGAGTAAAAGATGTTTTTTAAAATATGTTGATCAATTCTCACTTTCATTCTTATTTTGTCTAAAATATTTTATTTTAAGGGTATCACCTTTACGCTTAGGATTGGGCTAGGCTCTGTATTGAATGCACATCTATTTCTTTATACTTATATATTTATACTAGCTGATAATCCGTCAAGAATGAAGGGGAATAATACATTTATCACTTATTTGATTATGGATGTAAGAAATCAACTTATCTTATAGTTTTGAATAAAAAATTTACTTTTATTTTGATGAAAGGTTATTTTGAAATGTTATATTATTTTTATATAATTATATTTGTAAATTTTAATTGTATCTATATTACAGAGTTGTTAACGCTCCTTTTTAAAAGTAGCGAGCTCCCGCTCCCGCTCCTACCTTCTCAAAAGGAGCGAGCTCCCGCTCCCGCTACTACATATTAAAAGGAGCGCTCCCGTCCAACTAATGGAGTGCCGCTCCATAACC